CTAATTGCGAGGAGGTAAATGCGCTAAGAGTGAGCCTAAAGAAGACACGCCCAGAGCTACAGTCATTGCTGATTACGCTACCGTAAGATGACGAGCTCAATTCTCCTTCTCCATCTCCTTCGTCATCACGTTGGAGATAAACAATATTTCTGGTCCTCGTTCCGCTCTGCAACATCATTAGTGGGAATCTCATGGGCTGGGCTTATATGACCTCTGTGGGAGATAATCACTCAAAGCCCACCATAGGCCCCCGGAGCCCCAATAATTATTGAGCTCAAGTGTCAAAAGTAAAATTGTTAATTGGGCTCTAAGGGAGCCCATATTGGCACTCAGATATTCAAATATTTAGTTTGGTTTAATTTTTGGAGCCGGTTTGATTCAGTTGAAAGTTGCATTGGTTAGTGACGAAATGTGGTTTTTTGGAAATCTGAAAAAACTGCGATGACTAACGAATCATGTTTAATTATTAAATGCACCTTCGAAACAAATATTGTTATTCGTAAAATTACAAATTTATTATTCTTATAAGTTTATTAAATAAATTTTTTTTCAAAGTGATTTTCATTTGTCGAAAATTTTGCAATTTTTCTCACATTTATCTTATCAAGACAGATTCAGTATTGATTAATTAGTTATGATGTTTTGAGCCCAAATAATGCGAGTCATATTGTGTGCACTGTGTGGTATAGATTGGTGTTTTTCTTATTGGACTTTTTATGGGCCAACTAAAATTAAGTTTAACTCACCTTATGAAGTCTTTGCTTATTATTGCTCAACCGGTTAAACACACTGAGCTCTTAATTGTATAAAATAAAATAAAAAATAAAAGAGTTTGAGAGAGCATATTGCTTTTCATTAACTCGGGGAAGAAGCCAAGATTTAGTTATTAGGAAGGTTGGGTTGAAAAACACATACAATACAAAAGTTAGGTATTAAAATTTCGGGATCCAGAGAGATCCCATGTCAATAATCCTCTCCTCTCTCTGCCACTAAATTAATTAGCTCTTCATTTTTAATTTTGGCTGCATCCATTATTTTTTTTTTTTTTTTTTCAGCTATGCATGGAACTTGCCACTCTGCTGGTACCTTTTATATTCCTTCCTCACTATTAATATATACATACATACATGTGTGTGTGTGTGTGCATGTACGCCATTGCCACCGAACAATCTAGTGTAAGGTCCATATTGCGATAATTAAATTCCTTCGTTTTAGTTAAAGTGTTAAATCATATTATTATTGAAAAGTAAATCAAATAATTCGATCGATTAATTCTGATTCGATACCAGTCATATCAATGCTCAATATAATTATATGGACAACACCTCCTCATATGGTAGAAGTCTTGGTTAAGCAGGACGCTGCTGGTTTTGAAATTCCTAGAAGAATAATCATCAATTAATTGTACTGGGCTTAACCCCTTTTTTCAACCAAACAAAATATAATTATAAAATTTATTATTTATAAGTCATAAACAACATAATTCATTTACCAGATTCGTTGAACAACACAAGGCATGATCAAGAACAAAAAAGTTCAGCGATAGGGTGATATCTTTTCCTCTCTTTTTAAATAATAACACTTTCTATCCTTAGTACAAGAGCTCGTTTAGCTTTTATTTTAGTCATAATATAAAATTTCAATCTACTTTGTTTCTCATATAGAATAGAAAGAGAAGGTTTTTTTTTTCCTTATTTATAAGTCATTTTATTAAATTTTTCTATAAATGTATTTTTTCCCTTTATTTATTAAACTTCTCTTTTTTTTATTTATAAGTCACTTTTAACGTGTTTCAAACAAATGAAGAAAATCTTAAATTTCATTAGTTCTCATTTAAAATTCAATAACTTTCTAATTTCATCCTTATTTAATATATATTATACCCCATGTAAACAAAATCAATACAATAAAATAAAAGGTAAGATTGTAGGTCCTTATAAAAGATTTCTCTTAATGCTTTGTAAATATGACTAAAAAATGTCTTCTTATTCTGTCTTATAAATAGGACCAAATAAGTAGTGTAGATAATTACTGTTTTTTAAAAGTTGTATATATCAAATAGGGAAAGAATGGAAAAGTTATTATATTTTAATATAGAATTAATAAAGTTTAAGATTTTTTTTAATTTATATGAAAAATATTTAAAGGACGTTATAAATAGCATCAGAAAGGGGTATATTGTTATTTTTAATTTCTCGTAAAACTAGCAGTCTTGCGAGTCCTTTACGTGTAAGAATTGGCTTTGTTATCATGGAAAATTAGCATACAAAGTCCATATAATTTTATTTTATTTTTGATCAAGTTTTTTTAGTTTTGTTATTGGATCTTCGTAATTTTCTTAATTATACTCATAGTTTGTTAATTTGTAAGAAAAACTAAGTTAGTAGCTGACGACACAAATTTCAACTGACATACACTTTTATGAACAAACTACTATATATTTTTTAATTTTTACATTGATAATTAATAAATTTAATTCCCTAATTTTACTTTTTTTTAAAAAATATTTTTTTAACTGAGCTAGCATTTAAGTCAGCTCTACTTAAATGGATTATGAATATATGAACTAATGCTTATAATTGAGAAAAATATAAAAAGCTATTAGAAATTAAAAAAAAACTAAAATCTAATTAAAATGGAGAAAAAATAATGATCGATTAATTTCTCCTCCTTACCATATCATCTATTCTATTCATTATGCTGCCATACATTTGTGCATTCCGCGTCCTTAGACAAAAAAGTGGAATAGCAGTTTACGAAGCAAATTAAAGAGGCAAGGCTTGATGCATGCCTGGTTTGTGCGGGTGGGGAGAGGCACTCTCTATACAGTATATATACTTTTGAGTAAACTAACAAAACTTGTCAAATTAGTTAATAGTAATAAATAGTATTATTTTTTATTATATTCTTACTAATAATATATATTAACTAAAACTATTATTTTATGAAATTTTTAATATGTATAACTATAACAAGAAGTATTCTAAAAAATAAATAAATTTAAGAGACAACGTAAATTAAAATGTTATGTGTTAAGATTAAATTAACGTTGAACTTCTTATGTTAAATATAAAAATAGTATAGAAAATAAGCTGACATCTATTAATGATTGGCCTGTATATACGTGTCTCTTTATCTCTGTGTGCGTACATTCGTGGATGGCGCGTTTCATTGGGATTCAAGTGCAACGGGCAGCAAGAAAATTGTGACGTCACGGATGATCATTGGTGTATATTAGTTCCCATTTTAATTATAAAACCCTGTTTATAGTTGAAAATAAAATCTCATAACGAGAACTGAAATTATTTAAGTTTCTTTGCTATCATCCCATTGTTTACTATCTTCAATTTCAAATATAAAAACTAATATATACATGTGTCTCTTTATCTCTGTGTGCGTACATTCGTGGATGGCGAGTTTTCATTGGAATTCAAGTGCAATGGGCAGCAAGAAAATTGTGACTTGAATGTAACAGATGAAAATAGCTTAGTTATTAGAAAAATTACTAAACCCGACCATTTTTTTTATATACAAACTAAACCCGACCACTGATTGGGAGTATTAGCTAGTAATTAGTACTGATATTTAATGGCCAATATAAATGAGAACTAATCACGTCTATTAGCAAGCAAAGGCGTTAAATAAAACCTCAAACAAGATTGTGTTTCTTGTCTTTTCTTTTTCCTTCTATATTAAATGGAATTTTGATGTCACGGATGATCATTGTTGATATATTACCTCCGATTCTAATTATAAAACCCTGTTTATAATCTAAAAACGAGGTTTTATTATTAAAAACAAAAGTAGTATATACGTGGGTGCACGCTTATCAATCCCTGCATGCGCGTATTGGTCGCATTATTTAAACTTCCTTGCTATCATCCTATTGTTTTACTATCTTCAATTTCAAATATAAAACTAATTTATTTATTTAAATAAATTTAAAATTTGATTTAATTGATTATTTATAATAAATAAGTATTATTTTTTTGTAAAAAATACTTTTTAAGAACGATTATACAAACTATGATGTGCTTGAGCAAAACTCCTTCTCGGATATTTTATCATCATGGAACCGTACAACACTCAACCAAAACATAAAAATAACAACCCAGTGCATACAAAAAATAATCGTAAAAATATGTATTATTAGTCAACACAGATTATCCATTAACAAATTCTTCATGCTGAGAGCAAGTTGAACCGAAGCCACTAGAAAATAAGTTTGTCTTAAACTCCCACTCCGGACTAATAATTAATCTTGGTTGGTTTATATAATTATTTAAATAATAATGCCTTCCCCAGTTATCGCTTTATACACGTAAACGTACTTGCGTGTTCTACATGAAAGTGTACTTATTTAAAAGAATACTTAATTATAGTGTGGATTACTGTCACAGAAGCTAATCTTCATGTCCTCAAATCAATGGTGAAAGTAAGGGCTACTTTATTTAATTATTTAGCTTTATTCTTTTGGTAAAAACTGCTTTTGACTGTTCACCATATGCCATGGGCCTCATGATTGTCGTATTCAACCCAATTGTGGAGCCCACATCATGACGCAAGCCAGCTCTCCCCTATCCATCATGTTCTTCCACGTGTCACTCCCAAACCCACGAGCCCAGTCTTCCCTGAGATCAACGGCTAGATTGTGCTGGCTTATATCGCTTTCCGGTATGGGACCTACGTGGGTTTAGTTTATTCAGTGATAATGTTCTGGACTGACGTAAGGGGGGAGGAGGATTAGAGTCGATAACTCTAAGGTCAAATTTAAGGTCACCATCAATGGCTGACACCAGAAAATTCATAGCAAATATATTAAGAATAAATATAATTAAAAAATAAAGCGACTCGCTCAACAAGGACGAGGCTGCCACTTGATTTTATTTAGTAGTTGTGTCATCTTCATGGGAGTCTTTTCTCTGTGCTTGTGTATTATTCTGGAGCAATTGATTACAGTAAGCAAGTCGAAGTAAAGGTGTTTAATTTATTATACGGACATGGTAACCCCACTAATTGTGAGCAATATATATAGTCAGAGTCGGGACAAAACACGAAGAGGAGGAAGGAGGGAAAGTGAGAGAAATGAAGCAGAGAAGAGTACAGAGATTAGGTCGAGCTCAGAGATAAGCTCTGCCATTGAAGAGCTTTCGGTGTTGGTTCTCGTTAAACCTGGAGATAATCATGAAGCTGCGCTAATCCCCACGAAACCTTTCCTATCTCTATGTTACTTGGTTTTACAAGTCCTGGGTTGGTTTACTTGCTTGATCTCTGTCTTCTCAACCCCAAATGTTTGCCTAACAAGTTTTACTACTTGTCTATGATCCATGCTTCTGCAGATAAGATAGGACCAACAATGACTGTTTTGAGACAAGACGTTCAACAGAATATTAAGGTGAGGCACAATCAAATTTACAGGTCTCTATTACTTTCCCTACGCTTCAGGTAAATCCACAGAGCAACCATTGAAACTACTTCGTTGCAGAGACTGGAAATGGTTCTTGAATCAAATTCCTCACTGAGTTCAAATTTGGTCGAGATTTTGAAAACCGAGACGAGGGAAGGCAACGCAAAGAAGGGGGCCAGCTGCAGCAAGGCCTTTGTTTGGCTTACTAGGTGATAATATGCTATATATTAATATCTTATTCCCTCGTAAAAATTGGGTGATGTTCACTTAGAAGTATCTGCTCTGCAGATCTTTGGATTTCGCCTCAGCATTATTACTGACACTGTCGAGAGATTCTGGGATAAATATGGAGGAAGCAGTGCAAGAGGCTTATAACATCACTTTGAAACCATGGCATGGATGGATTTCATCAGCTGCTTTCAGAGTATAACACACATTTCTTCATCTCTTGAATGAATGTACCTCCATTATACATTTCACCACTAAATATTATAACCCTGACGTTTATTGTGCTTGTCTTGCTTCTGAATCTTCACCATCTGCTAAGGTAACGTGCATACTTTTGCAGGTAGCTTTGAAACTAGTGCCCGATAGTAAAAGCTTTATAGATCTCCTCAAGGCAAACGATGAAAGCTATGATACCCAAACGGAGAAAATTAAGATTTTGGTTTCTTTGCTTGCGCCATTTCTTGAGGGTATCCATTGTATTCTGGTAAGCTCAATTTTATGCTTCGCAACAAAATATTACTTGTTGGTGCAGTTAATTGCCTGTGGCTCTAATTGCCTGATGTATGTTCATTCTGCAGAAAGCCTACGACTTGAACAACCTCAAGGCCGCATGAAGTTAATAGCTAATGCACAGTTTCTTGTTGCACATGTATCTGTTTCTTATCGACTCTTCATGTAAACATGTAAATATCTTGTATAGTAATCTTGTTAACAGAATCTTGCATTTGGCATCATGTTCGCCAAATGTTTTCTTAAGAATCAGAAAGATCCATAAAGAGAATAGAGGAATTCACACAAAAATATTGCAAACAGATGTATAATTTTCAGCCGTGTAAAGCAAAGGAAAAAGGACAGCCTCACATCTTGCTCCATCCTCCTATACTCCAATTGTTGATATTCGAATGAAGCTCTTTAATTATAGTACTCGCTTTACAAACCTTTCTTTTTCCTAAACTTTCATAATCTTACGAAAGCATTGGAACAAGACTTTAAAGATAATGGAGGAATCAAGAGGAATAATCAGAAGCATTTCAATTATACCCATCATTTCCATCCCAAAATTGAGTCCTTCACATCTTTTGAATTTGAGAGCGGAGGATCTTGAAGAGCAATAAGTGCTGCAACTAAACCAGCATTGTTTGCTATGGTCGGTTCAGTGAACCTTGGTTGTTTCCTATCATCTAGGAAATTATCACGTAGGCCCGGTCCTCCTACCATGGCTCCCAAAAGAACTTGTGGATTTGGGCTTTCTGAGTTCAACCATCTTTTCCCCCCATCACAACTATATTGCTGACCATCCCACGGGATTGATGCACTTCTATGATGAACCTGCAATGGAAACTTGTCTCCATAACCAACCATATAGCTCATCTTCATCGGGTTCTGTCCCAGGATGTACTTAACCTGAACACAGCACACAGAATAGACCGAAACTAAGTCAGCCTCTATTTACACTGGTTGATATTACAATTAAGGACTAAAGAGTGGGCAAATACCTGAGAATTGGCAAAATCATGGAGCATCTGCAAAGAGTATACATCTGTGTCGCAACTTGCGCCAGATAGTTTCTGATGATCAAGATAATCGCTATACAGTTTACTGAGAAAAGAGGATGTTACAGCGTATTGGAGTAATGGCTCATCAGCAGGTTTTAAGATGATCAACCCACCTACAAGTGTAATATATAGCACGTTCATATACTTATAAACCAACCATCTATAAGCTTCCATTAATTAAACTTAATAATTCCAGATGAAACAACAGAATCATGATTGATAAGAGTTTACCCGGTGTCCTGCTGGAATATTTGTTAAATAAAAAAGAACACATGAGGGATTCTGTCAAGTTTGATGACAATATCAAAGCATCTTGAGACGAGCCGGGGTCTTGAAAGTACAGAATGCGCGATAGTAAAACCTACAAAAATCGTTTTTTTTTTTTTAATGGAATAAAAAGCAGAAAGTCGACACTTAAATTCTATACACAGGTGCGACAGAAATTACCCCAGTAGCACTGAGCTTATTATTCCAATAGAAGACCCCTCTGTCCAAATCTGTTTCATTGTTCTTGGCTGACTTGAAAGTGTCAGCAGCGAACTGAAGATAAGATATGTTTCTAGTGGCGATGTACAGCCAAGTTCCTCCCCATGCTAATTCATCTTCATAACCAGATGAGTTGTAAAACATTCTTGCTTCTCTTCCACAAACATCATTGGTCGTGTACTTCCCTTGCAATGAAGGATCCTCAGTAGTAACTATATCATAAAGGCTTTTTGCTGCTTTGACTAGTCTTGCTGAATAGTCCTTGTCCTCTTGAAATACTAACGACGCAGCAGATAGTGCTGCAATAAGTTCACCGGCTAAGTCTGAGTCAGAGCTATTACACTGTGAAACTGGTCTCGCATAAGCCATGTCTTCAGGTCTTTGCCAGCACGTTATATCATTACGCTCACCATTATTATTCACAACAGTACTTCCAACCTGGTGAAATTTAATTTAAAAAAAGTGCGTAATTTATATTTCCTAATTTGTAAATATGAATTATGGGACACAAAATTCCACATCACTTGCCTGAGAATACAGTATCAAGGGGGTTTGAGCAGTTACATTTGGGAGAACAAACACCTTGAGCAAGTAGTCACTACCCCATCTGATTATGTCCCTGACATGATCAAGCTCACCAATATCAGCATATTTACCCTGATATTCTATCACAGTCCAACTCAACAAGGTCACTGTGTAGGCTGTGGTGAAGGTGAACTTAATGTTATTGCCAGAATCATAAAATCCACCAATAAGATTTTCAGGTGTGTTCAGCCCGTCTTCCAGCCCTGAGTCTCCTCGAAATTTCACCGGACTATTCCTTGGATAGTGTCCAGCTGCAAATATAAAGTTTCTCTTTAGATAACATCTAGAAGAAAATAAAAATTTTGACATGGTCAATGGGAAATACATAGAGACACAAATTAGTACACTTTTGGGCATCATAAAATGTTAGTGCTTGGTTGATTGCAAGTTTGAGATTCCCTGAAGATCTTTGGTGCCTATGCTTGTGAGACTGAGACAAGAAGTGCACCAGCAGAACAGCTGCTATGACAAGAAAAATGATTGATACTACTATAAAAAGGAAACGATAGAAGTGTTTCCTGTCAGTGATAGCAAGACTGTAATCAACGGATTTTGTGTAACTGGAGGGGATAGGATGATAAGTAGTGGAAGAGTTAGGGGCAAGGTTACAGTCAAGGGCTGTGGAGTTCCAGCGGCTAGCTGAAGGCAGAAGGCGACCTCCCTCTGAAACCGTGTGGGCATATCTCACAGGGTGCTTCTCTGTTTCAAAAGCAGAAGACTCTGTTGGAGGCATGATCATTGACGATGTTGTTACTTGATGAAATTATTAAATGAAAAATTGATCATGCACTACCTTGAAAGAAGCGACTTCAAGCCTAATCGGTTCATTTGGCCCATGGGACAAACTTAGTCATGTCTAGCTCTTAGTAGAACAAGTATGTGAAACATATTTTAAAACAAACAGACAAACATGCATTATCTTTATCGCCAAAAAATCAAATGTGACTTTTTTGGGATCAAGATGTGACGGATATATCAATGCATGCGATTGTCTTTAGTTTGCCGTCCAAATGGAACCATTATGATGCCTAAAGAGTCACAGGCAGAAAGCCAAAAAACTATTTTCAGCCTCCAGACTTGTCATCCTCGCAATCTTCCAAATTGCAAAAAGCTTTACCTACTACCTTTTCGTTATTACTTAGGGAGTATTTGGATAGAAATCAAATCATGGTTTTAGAAATGCTTTTACGGATTACGAAGTAAATATATAGAGGAGGTTACCTCGTTTTGCAGAAAAGTGCTTCTGAAACCGCAGTTTTGAGAATGCCAAACACCCCCTAGTCAAGAAGAATTACCTGAGACGAAAATGGAATTCAGGCGACCTCTCTCCTCTGACCTTATTCGTGATTTCTCTTCCTCTTGTACGGTTCACGTAACAGCTTCATCTTCTCCTAGTTTGTGAGATCTTAATATTATGTGTCATCTCAAGCTGAAGCGGCGGTGTTTAGACCAGAAGTCAGAGAGTCCATGCACAAGTATCTCAATATTTTTTTAGGGATAAAATTTTTTTTAATGAATATGACATCAAAAGCATTTTTTGTTTTAAAATATTATGTTAGTTCCTGCAATAGTTTATCTAATATATATTTTTCAATCTAATACTCAATAAAAACATTAATTTAGTTTTCTATCACTTAATTGGTGGGCTAACTGATTTTTTTCAATATAATAATATTCTTAAAACAATCTCTTATACTTGCGATTATTTATTATGTCTTAAAACAATCCCTGTTTCTCTAAGATGGTCCTTGTGGAATGTCCCTATATTATGTGTGCAAATTGCTCGCCCTCTCCAAAATTTAGGGTAGCAATATACTACTTCTCCCACCTCTTAATACTACATCTGGTCCTACTTATAAAATCTTTGTTTGTAGACTTATAATTAAGACCAAAAGTAGTATAAGAGCTATTTAGCTAATTTAAGTAGATAAAAAAATTAATTAATTTAGTTATTTGTAATAAATAGGTATTATCTTTTTCAAAATATATTTACTAACAAATGTATTAGTTAGAACTATTATTTGATGAAACATTTAATATGTGTAACTCATATAAGGACTATTTTGAAAAAATAGATAAATATGAGAGACAAAATGAATTAAAATATTATATTTAGGACTAAATTGAATATCAAATTAGCTCTTATATTAAAGATTGGATATAATTTTTTTCTTTTAAAAAAATACAAACCATGATATTCTTCTGATTTTATTTATAAAGCACTTCTGTTATATTTTATATAGATAAAAAAATTTTAAAATGTATTAATTCTCTATTAAAATATAAATTTTCAACTTTACCTAATTTAATATATACACTTTTAAAAACAATCACTATCTATAATAAAAAATACACTATAATAAATAATGCATTGACGTTAAAATTTAATGAAATAATTTACAAATAAGATTAAAAAAAAAAATTTTCCCCTGTTTTATAGATAAGATAAAAGCCCGCTTATTCCTTCCCGCCTATTTTTTTCTCTCTCATTCGCATGATTCCACTCTCTGCCCCCTCTTCGGAACCCAGCTCCCTGCCGCCGTTGTCACCAACCGTCATAACCAGTCGCAGAACTCCATTTTTCAAGCATTTTGACTTTCCTTTTTTTTTTTTTTTGGTTCATTCTCTTTTGGCTATATTTTTGTTAACCCGATAAACCTAGTGAGCGTATCTGGCTTGAGGTAGGGATCGGGAAAACTAAAAGCCTCTTGAAATTTAGCTGGGTTTAGAGGTATGGACATCAACAGTGAAGAGGAAGATGGAGAATTGGGATTCTCGAGAAACTATTTTTTGGCAAAGGAATTGGGCTCCTCGAGCAAGAAATCAACTCACAAGCTTTCCGACATTGACGTTGTCGATGAACAGGTATTTTAACCACTAGGACTCATTCCCCTTCATTCTATACACGTTTGTTGCTGCTATATCTAAATTTTTCCTATATATAGGAATTGAGGGCTGCAGCAGCCAATATCGAGCCGAAGCATGAGAAGGAGATTGCCACATTAATTGATGGTTATAAAAATATATATTCTGCATGGGTTTTTGCCCTAAGGTATGGTTCTCCCGCTTGTTGCTAATTTGATACAAAAGCAAATGTATCTCTTATCTTTCTAGTTATACCGCAATGTGTTTGCCAGCAATTTTGTTGAAATGCCTTGGATAACTCCACAGTATTAATCAACTGCTATAGGAGCACTTCACTTGAAATTACTGTATAACAATTTAGACAACCCTATTTTCTGTATGAACAGAGATGTATTGCGTTCCTCAAGATTGCCGGTTAACGGGATCCTTTATCAAGAATAATCTTTAAACAAGGGCACAAAGCTTTATGCTACCTAAAGTAATGCTGGCGTCTTCTGTCAACGTCCATTGTTGCTTCTTAGCGGCATAGCTTTTAATTTGTTGAGACTTCCAATTAGATAAATTGTACCATATTGTAGATTGGATTCTCACTTTTCCCCACAATTCACGAGCCAGGTGTGATTTTTCCTTACTAATGTATGGCTTTGGGTCTAAGAAGGCTTTACTTGAAGATTTTGCTTCGACGGCATTGGCTGAATATTCTGTAATTGTTATCAATGGTTATCTTCCAGCCATAAACTTAAAACAGGTACCTTTCAGCATTTGCATTTCCAAAAATGTGTGTTTTAACAGAACCAGAATAGAAAATGCAAACCGGAGAAAAGTAAATGTTCATCTGTAAGCAGATACAATCACATTTTAAGAACTCATCCTCCTCATGATGCATGACAAATGTTAATGTTTCTGAATATAGGTTGTGATAGCTTTAGCTGAATTGTTATCAGATCAAGTAAAAACTAAACAGAAGGTTCTCAAAAGTGAGCAACCATTCAGTTCTCAATCCATGGAAGACCTTCTTGCATTTTTGGATGGAGCAGAAACAGAAGAGGAAGATTGTTTTGTTTGTGTTGTCATTCACAATATTGATGGGCCTGGATTGAGAGACTCTGAAACCCAACAGTATCTTGCTAGACTAGCTACTTGTTCCCACATTCGTGTTGTTGCCTCAATTGACCATTTAAATGCTCCTCTTCGTAAGTATATTTGCTATTTCAGTTGTTATCTTATAAAGAAATATTTGCTGTATTTGTTTATAACTTTATATGTTATCATATCTGGTAGTCTGGTTTAAAATGGACTATGGGATTACGTGCTAACTTGTGGCCCCTCAGGAACCCCAATATCTAAAATTTTTCTTGAGGCTAATATGCTGCTATATATATGCTGTATGCACTAGTACCTTAAAATTGTTCTCAGCTGCGTCTACTGCCTAAGGATCTCCATCTGGGTTCTGTTTGTAGTCTGGGACAAGAATATGTTTCACAAGCAATTTAATTGGTGCTGGTATCACGTCCCCACCTTTGCCCCATACAAGGTTGAAGGGATGTATTATCCTTTGATTCTCGCTCAGGGTGGTTCCAATCAAAGTGTTAAAACAGCTGCAATAGTATTGCAAAGTTTGACACCCAATGCCCAGAGTGTATTTAAGGTTCTTGCAGAACATCAACTCTCTCATCTTGATGAGGAAGGCAAGTTACTTCAATTTTTCCTTGGATATGCTGTTCTTCATTTAACAGCATATGCATGTATATTTGCTAATTTTTTGCCCTTATCATCCAGGCATGCCAATCAGTGATCTTTACTCGGTCTGTCGAGAACGCTTCCTTGTAAGCAGTCAGGTTACACTGAATTCCCACTTGACTGAGTTTAAAGACCATGAATTGATCAAGGTTAGGAGGCATTCCGATGGTCAAGATTGCTTATTCATTCCTCTGGCGGCTGAAGCACTCCAGAAGGTGTTGCTGGAGATCAATCAATAGTGTTGATTTTGACTAGAATGAAACCAAATGGCATTAGTGAAAGAAGTTGCTTATGCAATGTTAATTTTCATTTTCATCTGTCACTATCGGATTCTCAACCAGATGCACAGCTCATTACCTCCTAGATTTGTGGAGGGGTCAAATTGGGCATAACAAGTATTACATGGTCGTTAAATCTATCCCACGCTCACGAGCCGAGGAAAAAGTTTAACAGGCTCATTTATGTCACCCGCTATTCTTTCTGGGCTCTGGGCCATCCTCTCGCGTTTCGTCATGCAAATGTTGTGGATAGACTGATGGAACAGTAATCTGGATTTTATTGTGTATCTAGCGAAGCTAGGTGAATGGAAACAGTAGCTTCGGACCTTAAAATTTGAAATTTTGTGCGTGTTTCGGAATGGTAGTAGAACAAGGGACGAAAAGAGAGAGGACTATACATAGGGCTGTCCCCCCCCCCCCTTTGGGTGGGATTCATAAATCTTGAACGCATTATATTCATAAGCCCTAAAAATAAGTCGTATTATTCATAACCTGTGAATAATATGGCTTGTTAAGATATTGTGAGGCTTTGATGACTAATAATAGCATACCTATCTATAACATCTATTACTTCCGGGCTTCCGGTTTTAAATATAAGAGACAGTTGACTAATTTGAGTAAATTAAGAAAATAAGTTAAGTTGGTTATTTGTAATAAATATGTGTTATTTTTTTAAAATATCTTTGTTAATTAAATTTATTAGCCAGAATTATTATTATTAGAAGGGTTACTTTAAAAAAAAAGATAAATATGATAGATAAAGTGAATTGAAGTCTTATATTTAGAATCAAAATAAAAATCAAATGAGGTTTTATATTAAGAATCGGTAATAATAAATTTTGCAAAATATTACGTTCTTCATTTTGTCTAAGGGAGTATTTAAATAGAAACCAAACTATGGTTTTAAAAGTACTTTTACAGTTTACGAAATAAATATGTGAAGGAGTTTAACTCGTTTTACAGACATTCCCAAACACTCCCTAAAATGATGTAATTGCATGAGATCAAAAACTTAGAACTGTATCTGTGAGGCAATTCTTTTACCCTCTTTACATCTGTTTATAGGTCCTCTGATGTTTTCGCACATGTCCTGGACTACAATTTAGGCGGATCAAGATACAATTTAATTTTTTTTAAAAGAAGAGTAATTTGCGTTAAAACACTTCTTTAAAAAGAATATAGTACTGCTATAAATATTAATTAATCAATAATGGGCGATTCAAATTTTCAGTCATGAATCAATAGGCAAAGTAGGAGTATGGTGTATACAGAGAAAACACCTCGAGGCCCGTGCCCATACTCCGGGGAGTGGGAAGCCAACGGTCATTTGAACGGGAGCTCCCATTGCCGTGCTCTCTAAGCTCAAAAGCTTGGCTGAAGAACACAAGAAAGCACAGTGTGATCGAAGATTGTGTTGAAAAAATGGTGGCGACTAAACTATCCTACGAGGAGAGTCGCCGCAAAAGATTGGAGGAAAACAAGAAGAGAATCGAAGCCCTTAATTTGCACCAGCTTTCTCAAGCCCTACGAAATTCCCCTTCTCCCAAGCCCTCTCCTGTACTCTTTACCCTCTAGCATTTGTACATTGTCCTGTATCAAAATCATTATATCTTATTTCCTTGTTCGTTTTACCACAGATGAAGCACACCAAAACTCGTTCAGTGGAGAAGCAGATTGTTGTTGTAAGGAGGTCTGGCCGTGTGGCAAACATGCCCGCTCCTGTTTACAAAGAAGTGAGCTTTTTCATGATTCCATTTCCCATTTATGGTTTCTACTTTACCTTGCATTTGATTGCATTGTGGTCTTTCATCCTGGACAGGTGGTTATTGATCGCGTGGCAGTACCTAGAAGGTACTCGTGGTCTCAAGTTTCGCGAGTCAGAGATATATGACCACTATGATCTTTTTTAATAGAAAATAATTAACATACTTTACGTGTGTAGAGTTTATGGGACCCGAAGAAATTTATCAAACCGCGGACAAGCATCAGAGGAAGCGAGGGAGGAAGCTTTGGCAAAAGCAGAGAAGTTACTCTCGGATTTAGAATCTGAATATCCGACATTCATAAAGCCAATGCTTCCGTCGCATGTGAGCGGGGGGTTTTGGCTGGTAAGTTGTAATATTCTGGCATTCTATGTTAGTTTAGGGTAATCTATGTTCCCTTTCTTAATTTTGTATTCCTTGTCAAGTAGAAAGCGCTTAAATCATAACAAGGTAGTTGAAAACCGAAATGTATTTGTTGTTTGACTCTGTTTGGTCACTCAAACTTTGTTTTCTCACCTTCAAAAGACGTTCTTCTTTCAGATAGAGCATCTTAGCATGTGTTGCCTTCTATATGACAACTTATGTCTTGGTACGAAAACACCCAAAATCCTCTATGCTCAGCATCAGCAACAATTGTGACCTCTGCACTGTACTGCATAAGAGAATTAGTTTCTTTGAATGCTTAGAAAAATTGTTTCGTTTATTATACACGTCCTGCAGTCTATAAAGCGCTAATTAAAGTGGCAATATTGGACAATAGGGTCTTTCAGTCCAGTTCTGCAAGACTAATCTGCCAAAGCAGGACGAAATGATTACTTTGATAGATGAAGATGGGGATGAGTATCCCACGGTATATTTGGCCCGTAAAAATGGACTTAGCGGTGGATGGAAGGGTTTTGCGGTTGCTCATAACCTAGCTCATGGGGACGCATTAGTGTTTCAGCTAATCAGACCTACGGCATTCAAGGTGATGTAAGATTGACTTTTGATTCATTCAGACCTTCCTTTGAGCTTGATCTTATCAATTATTCTAAAGATATAGTTCATTTTTTTTTCTTTTTTCTTTTTTCTAAAAAGCCACATACTTTTGTGGTTACTGTTTACTCACGGTTATAGCTTCTTACTTGGCTAGCTTACTGACTTATTTTTGCCGCTGTTTTCTCCCTTTCGAACTGCCCTAGTGCTGATTTTTATACAGTTGTAGTTACTCAATGTTGTTCTTGTTTGTTCAGTTACTGAATTAATATACTCCTCTATCTTCACCATTATAGACTATGACATACAGGAGTTGATTATATTTTCTGCCAGGTGTACATTATTAGAGTGAAGAGTCCTACTCCTACAGAGGGCAATTGGCTGTAAATGAATTCCACATGGAGCTTTTCAAATCAATCTAGGTATTTCCTTTACTTGGTGAACATATTGAATCTTAAATTGTGCCTTCAGTGGGATATGATGTTACTGGTGCCAATGTCATTTTTTTTGTCTCTCCCTCTTAGTCGGCTCAGAAATTTCTCCTGGTTGGAATGAAAATGTAAATTTCTGAACAGGTTCTGTTCATTGGCTACTTGCTGTCTCTTATACTGCATGTATAATCTTGGCTAGTTCACTCTTTAGTGGCATAAATATTAATATTGCTTCTCAGATCAATGATATCCCTAGTCGCATGTGCGGGTTAAGTGGACTCTTAAATTGGGTCTGGCTTCATTTAAGTTCTCCCCTCAGTTCCTTTGCTGCTATTTTATTTTATTTATTTATTATTTTTTGGGCAGATGCTGTCTAAATCTTTTTTATGATTATACTGAAAATATTGCAGGGACTATACTAATCACTAAGGGTATGGGTCTAAAAGGCATAGTGGGTCCATTTTAGTTGGGCCAAAAAAAAAAAATAAGAGGAAGAAGAAGAAGTAGGTCCATTTTGTCTTCAAATGAACATTATCTTTACGTCTGCTTTTTAAGCACTCGAAGTTACTCAAGTTAGCACTAGTTTTAAATTTTAATCCTGATTTTTGCTGCTGAATTACTTGACTACACGGCAGCAATTTTTATTGTCTCCCAGTCATAAAGGTATCCAGTTTTTTTCTCCACAGGTACGAACTAGCTGATGTGGTTATATTTTGTTTTTGGCTCAAATACTTATGTACGAGATCAAGATTTTGAGTAGAGTCTACCGACTATAGTAGTTTCGGCTGGTCTGCTACGTGTGAAGACTGAGCTTGTTTTGTATATCTCCACTCAGACAAGAGCATAAAGCAACGTCGTTTAGTTTATGCATATCTTCTTATTCTTGATTATTTTCTATTATCCTTTCTTACCTCCATAGATGAATCTTTCCAATGAAAATTATAACCCAGAAACTCGAGATTTAAAGAGAAGAATAAGAATATTGCATGCGACGACCCCTCAAGACCCATGAGCCGTGCGTAGATGGGGGTGCGATCAGGAATTGCCACGTGTCAGATATGTGTTGGCAGCAGTACAAGACAACGGAGAAAGTTGGGAAATTTTATTAGGCTCGTGCTTCGGTTGACATTTTCGGCCCCAAAACCTGGTTTCTACGTGTCTGAATTGGCGATTCGATTTGGATTACATTGTCCTTCTCACTGGAGCAAGTTAATCGTGGGGCCCCTTAAGGGTGTGATGAGCTGTATGGGACTACACGGATTTTTTTTTTTTAAAATTTAATATCCGATGCCGTGGTCGATGGATGTTCGATGTTCACAGCTTGCAAAAAGAAAGCATAATTCTTAGTGGAGCATCTTATACGCTAAACGCATAAAATCATTTAAAAAAATAAATAATAATACTACCACTACTCATTCTCTTGTTTTGGATATGGCCTCTTGTGAACATTACATAAAAGCAGAGACCCTTCGAAGAAGTTTCGCTTTTTAGCGGAATTTTTCATTAAAAAAATGGATCCAGACCCGAAATATGGATTGTGATCATTTTGGTGCGTCCATGACGACAGACGCAGCATAATTGATGTTCGTGTCCTTTCACGCGGAGCTTGCCACGTAACAACCGCACTCGAACGCCTCATCGTACAGTACCAAGCATGTTGAGATTTATTATTAATAAAAAAGGCCGACAATTAATTAATCAGTGAAAGAATGAAAGATAATTTTTAATTTCGATGTATCATATTACTACTATTGACCTTAAGCGGTGAGGTGAGCGGACACCTGTGGGAGCGATGATTGGTGCGGTGACTACGGGGTCTCCGAATCGGGGTCAATGGTGTAGATTAAATATAATTGGATTGGGTTGTCACAGTTAATAACGGGCCCAGCCCAGGGCCCACTTTCACTAGCAGTAGTCTGGGACGCAATGCTCACGGCTCGGCGTGGCCATTTCCCGCCCAGTGATGCATGACCAGGTTGTCGTTTGACCAGACTGGGTCTATCTGTCCGTCCTTAATCAGCGCGTATGAAAGGGGGCAAGAAATTAATATTAAAAGCACGCCTATAAAAGAGTTGTCTCAGATAATGAACCAATCGCTTCTCTGGTTAAGGAAAATCCGAAAAATGATTATCATGGGACGCTTTTTCATGTCAACATGTGGGCCATCCTATTTCGGTCTGTGACTCCTATCCAAGTAGTACGACCCCCAAACACGCCATCAGTGTTAACGCTTCTCTCAATAAGAGAACCGCGACTGCTCAACTCAAATCTACTGTGATCCAGAGATAACTGACCAATATCCTATTGTTTTACAAAAATTCAAATCTACTGTTTTTAAATAATTTTTAGAAGCTCGAATAAACTCTTCTAAAAATACATTAGTAATTTAGTAAAATCTTTTTTAAAAAATGTAATTTACTAAAAAAAATTAATCCGACGGGTTAATGTTAATTTTCAAAACAAAAAAGATGTAAAATTTAATAGTACAAGACAACAACGTATACGACAGATGTTATTATTTTTTGTGTTAATTATAAGATTTTGTTAACAAAGTTTTATAATTAAATTATAAATAAGATCTTATAATTACTACCGGAGATAACATTATTATTCAGACTCAGATTGACTTCAAATAACGTACATGAGGGTTGGAACTTGGAAGAGAAAATTAAGACATGAATAATAAAGTCCAAATTCGCAGCCGGGCGCAAGCAAGAACGACGTGCATCGAATGTAGGTAGCTCGTTTCGTGAATGGCTAGGTGCGAAGGAAACGAAGCATTTGCCACGTCATCAGCTTCGGTCATTTTTCTTCCTTCCCAAAAAATGAAAAGGAAAAAGCTAGACGATGGCTCATTGGCGCTTTATATTTCTATCTCTCTCCGTCTTTCGTTAAAGTCTTTGTCCATCGACAATGGAATTTTCGCTGGGCGCCGGGATCCGCGTTTTTCCATCACCCAGAGTAGTGCAATTCAGCGTGGTTCCTTCTTTTCGCGCCTGATCGTCGTTCTTTCTGTTTTCTCCTTCCTGTAAATTCTTCTTCTTTTTCCTTTCCTGTCTTCCCATCCCTTTATCCTCCCATCGTTCACGTTTTTGCTTTCTGCCGTGCTTTACAATTTTGTTGAACTCATTCATTAGTATTCGGTTTTATAATTAAATCCTGAGCTTTTTATATCCTAATCAAATTTCCTGCATTTTTCTGAACTTCTCCTCATTCTTGTACGCTTGCAATTTCATTTCTGATCGATCGACTATGTTCAGTGTTTCACCATTCCGGACGATTTGCATATGTTCCATCATTGTGTTGTTATGTTTTTCATCTGAGTAAATGAATATAAATGTTCGATCAGCATTTAAATAGAAATTGGGGAAAAGGAAAGAATATTGAGATGTTACTTATGTGTGCAAATTTGTGTTTATTCAGGGTCACGCTCTGTTAACGCATGGAGGATTAATCTTGTGCGCATTCTTCTGCGGTAGGTCTTAGTAGAGTTGTAAGGTTGAGGGGATCGAAAAATGTCTGCAAGGAATGAACACCATACCGTCCCCCTTTCGGTGCTTCTGAAGCGGGAATTGGCAAACGAGAAAATTGAGAAACCAGAAATTATGCATGGTCAAGCCAGCCAGAGCAAAAAAGGCGAAGATTTCACGCTAGTAAAGACGGAATGCCAAAGGGTGGTGGGAGATGGGGTGTCTACTTATTCTGTTTTTGGGGTGCGTCATTGAAATTTTATTCCTTGAATGTAAAGCATGTTGACTTTTGTATTGGGATTTCCTGGATTATAAGTTTATAACTTATCACGGATATTGATGCAATACATCTGGAGTTAATATGTGATGGTTATTACTTTATGACATGACATAATGAATGGTACACGTACACCGTTTAAGTATCTTATTTTGCCATGGGTAGGATGTAACAGGATGATTTTATTGACAGTAGAAGCTTCCAATGAACATAATGATTTTAGGCGTGCTGCTTGCTGAATGGTAGTTTTAGTTTAGTTAATTAGGAAGGGGTGTATCTTTTTTTTTTCTTCCCCTTTTCCTTCTCCTTTTGTGGGTTTATGTTGTTACTTCATCGTGTACTTGATTGCCGTAGATTTGTTTATGTTTTCCTTTCTTATTCAATCATATCAGTTTGATCACAAGAATTTCAGCCACTGATGGATTGGACTATTCATTTTTTTCTCAATGTGCTACGCTTTGTTCCCTAGTTTCTTCTGTTTCTGTTATTTGCTATGAATTCTTACCTCAAAGATTTACAGTTGTTTGATGGGCACAATGGATCTGCTGCTGCGATTTATGCTAAGGAGAATCTCTTAAATAATGTTTTAAGTGCGGTTCCCCCAGATCTTAACAGAGAGGAGTGGGTGTCAGCAATGCCTAGGGCTCTGGTTGCAGGCTTTGTCAAAACTGATAAAGATTTTCAAGAGAAAGGTATGGATAGATATTCATATCATATCATTTACTCTGGCCTCTATGTTAACTATTTGATTGGAAGAGGCAAATTTATGTACTCCAGCATGAATCTTCATTTTAATTACCACTAAAAGTCATCCAAAGTTATGCCAGTTTTAAGGGCTTGTCAATGCTCGTAGTCTGAAAACTTAAAATATTGAAAATCAAATGAAAGGCTTTGTAGGGATATATGCTGGTTGATGAACATGAATCTCTTGTTTGTTTAACCATAGCAATATTTTCAACTTTGTTGTACTTTGAATGCTCACGGATGAGGAAGTTTGCAATCAGAAATGAGAATGTCTAGCTTTTCCTCTCATGGCCATGTAAGTTTTTTGGCATTTGATATGGGAATGACATTGCAACTCTTTTTAGACGCTAAATATAAATCTAGGCTTTTTTTCAACCGCAGCTTCAACTACCTTAATTGCGAAATTGATTTGGCTTGAGCATTCATGTTGAGTTTTTTTCCCCCCATAATTTCTGGATTAACGCTGGTTTATAGTCCCGTGTTATTGAGCTGTGACCAAACTTTTACTTTGTTAAGTAGTTCTTATCCTTCTTGTATAATGTTCTTTCTGATTATTTTTGATCAGTTTGGTTACATGCATGACTTTTATATATTGTTACCTTCACATTCGCAGGACAAAAATCAGGAACAACAGCAACCTTTGTGATTATTGAAGGATGGGTTGTTACAGTTGCATCAGTTGGTGATTCTCGTTGCATACTTGAGCCTTCTGAAGGTGGGATATATTACTTGTCAGCAGATCATAGGCTAGAAACTAATGAAGAGGAGTAAGTTGTTATCAATGTTTTTGTTGCATGGCCTTTTGCGTTTCCTTTTTTTCCAGCGTAGCTTGACACTTTGTTTTCCTTCTGTTAGGAGGGAACGTATAACTGCTAGCGGGGGTGAGGTTGGTCGTCTAAATACTGGTGGAGGTGCACAGGTACACCCTCTTTTAATCATACTATCCCCCTTTTACCCCATAAGCTACTGGCTGTGCTAAAAAGCATTATTTACCTACCTGTTCACAGCCAAAAGAAAGGGGGTCTGCATGTTGCCTTGTGCGCAAATCCTATGCATCTAGTTATGTTATGTTTTAGACATGATGTTTTTAGTTAAGCTACATGACAAGAGAGTAAGAAGTAAACTGGTTAATCATACCGCGGTCAATGGAAATGCAAATACACTCTTGTTGATACACTGGTCGCTGGACAATGCTTGATGCTATGCGTAGGACCATCAGTATAAGGGATCAACAAAACTTAACGATCTTCCAAGGGCTTGTTGTTTTCACTATAAAGTTTTAGTGACCATATGTGATGATAGATAAATTAATTTTCATGTCAACTACCAATTATCTTTCTTTTAAAAAAATTGACCGTTTAATGCTATTTTGCTTGACTTTCATAGTTGTTTTTGTAGGTTGGTCCTTTGAGGTGTTGGCCTGGCGGCTTGTGTCTTTCGAGATCCATTGGTGATATGGATATTGGTGAATATATTGTCCCTGTACCTTATGTGAAGCAAGTGAAGGTTGGTCTTTACCATCTTTTACTCTGACAAAAGCTTGACCTTTTATTGATTAACGTTATATACATATGTACATAAGTGTGTGTGTGTGTGTGTCTGTGACTACCTTGGTATGATAGTAAAAATCATTTGATGCAAATCTTGCTAAAATCCGGCAGTGGATGAGTGGTTGAGCTCTCCATGTTACTGTGCCATAAAAACTTACGTTTTCTTTATTTATTACTGTAAATCCTGTATGCCTCTTCTCCAGTGATCTTGATCCTGGTGATGGCAAAGTAAAAAAAAAAAAAAAAAAATCCTGGTTTTTAACCTTTAGCATCATTTTATGCAGCTGTCCACCGCTGGAGGCAGGCTTATTATCTGCAGTGATGGTGTTTGGGATGCTTTGACTGCAGAAGCAGCCCTTGATTGTTGTCGTGGCATGGCAGCAGATGTTGCAGCATCCCTTCTTGTTAGAGTATGCTTAGATCTTTTGAATCATTTAACAAAATGGGTTTTGTGGCTAGTTTTCACATTGGATATAATACTATATTATGACTTCTCCACAAACCACTTGGGACGTAAATGGATCAGGGGTAATGGCATCTTTTTTCATTATACCTAGACTGAATACCCAAATATTATATTAGAGTAATAAGTTTAATTTTTTTACCTTTCTTTAACATTATGCAGAATTTGGGCGGCTGGGTCATGATGTGATCTCAACATATAGTTAAATTAAATCCATGCCTGAATAAGGCATACCGCAACTAGATGTTTTGAGCATTTTTCTTTTCTTGCTTCCCAAAAGGATAAATACTCACTAAAAACATATCCATTTGCATCCCAAAATGAAACCGTCTGTGCGGTGTAGATTCTAGTCTCACGTGGTATTGCCATTTTGTGGTGTGATTGTTATCTTAACTCTTTTAATGTATTGTTCTACTTTCAGGAAGCTTTACAAGCAAAGGGACTTAGAGATGATACTACCTGCATTGTTGTTGATATATTACCTCAGGAGAAGCCACCTGCTCCTGTGCAACAACCGAAAAAGGCAGGAAAAATGTTTAAGGCAATGTTTCGCAAAAAGTCCTCTGAATCATCTTCTTGTAATGACAAAGAGTATGTGGAACCAGATGTGATAGAGGAACTTTACGAGGAAGGATCTGCTATGCTTTCAGAGAGGTCCGGTTTGTAATAAGTGCTTGTTAAATTTTGCAGCAGCTCTGAAGCTCTGTGCCTCCTGACATGAAATTTTTTTTATCCGAACTGCAGGTTAGATACAAAATACCCACTCTGCAACATGTTCAAGTTGTTTGTTTGTGCGGTATGTCAAAAGGAGATCAAACCTGGAGAGGGTATTTCAATCCATGCGGGTGTATCCAACCCAGGAAAATTGCGTCCCTGGGATGGACCTTTTCTTTGTTTAAGTTGCCAGGAAAAGAAAGAAGCAATGGAAGGGAAAAGAACATCAGGTTTTGAATAAGCTCAACACTACTATTTATCTGTCTATCTGGAGATTCATTTGTCCATTAACTCTTTTGATTTTTCGCTTTCAGATAGACTGAGCAGTGGAAGTGACTGACAAATTCTCGTGTATATTTGCTTAATGAGAGTGCTAAAGAAGGTTCGGATAACAGGGAGGTCAAACCTCCAAGCCACAGTAGTTCCCTTCTATTATCATGGGAGCGTCTCTGAATTTCGATTTATTTATTTATTCCACATGAAAATCCATATGGATTTTTCTCTCATTTTTTAAGGCTGCAAATGTAGACTACCAATAGCAGCTTGTTAGAAGAAATCTGACTTGGGGGAGTGATATTGCAACCATCCATGTGTTGTGAGAGGTTGTGTTACATGTGGTATAGTATACAAGAGTATGGCGGAGGTACTGTATTTTCAAATTCATATATCAAAAGTTGACTTGCGTTGTAATGTGATATACGGAGTTTAATTAGACTTCCTAGAGCTCGATTCCACAATAGGTTAGAGATATGTTCAGCATTGTGAATTATTTATTCTTGTAGCATTTGATTTTGGTCATTCCTTTCACCAAACAAACATTAAATGTAATAGACATACTTGGAAAGTGAAGTATATATAAATTTTTTTCGCATGCTTTCTACGCTTGTTAGATGCGTGGCAGGCGAAAATTAAGGATTGGAGGTGTGGGAATTATTTCTTCACCCGATTGCATGCAAGGGCACTCCTAGAAAGGGAGGCAAAATCCTTATGCTTAAGCAAGCAGTTTGGTTGCTGAAATCCATCTCCTTTACTTTCTGTGAAAAAGACCAGATTACTTTGGGAGTTAGGCGAAGGAATGAAATTGTAGAATCTTCTCTGTTAGCAACATTGGCCCCAAAAAAAAAAAAAAAATTCAAAAGAAAAAGAAGGGAGATAAAAGACAGAAGAAAGAAGGAAAGAAAGAACTCCCTTTGCCTATGTGCTGAAATTCATTGTGTTTCTTTGTCACCACCTTGTCAGCTTTGCAACGCCATTGTCGACATTACCACCATAATTGTCACTACCATGAAATAAATGGCTATTTTACTATTTGCATAAAATGAGGGTGATCCTTATTTATTCAGCCTTTTCTTATTATTGTATTGTTTTGATGCAATAACTAAAGAAAATTATGAGCCCTTTCTAGAAGTGATCTAATTAACTATGCCCCTCTATTTGTGTGCATGTAATGTCATCATTTTTTTAAGAAAAATGAAATAGACAGTTCAAACAAAATAAAGGAAAAGTTTGCTGTTTTTTTCAAATGTAATATCGAATGTGATTGTGATTTATGAACAACATAATTCCTTTTAATTGCCTGTCATAAAACCCACTTCTAACAATCTAACTTCAATAGTCCAGTTGTCCGTTGTTCTTGGAGTCATTTGATTTTTATCATCCCCCCTCGATTATTTGGAAGGAATGGTTTTTAGATGAAAAGAGTGAAATACAATATTAAAACATTTTGTAAAAGCAGCATAATTTTATAGTCTTTAGTGATATTTTTTATACACTTTAAAAAATTACACACCACTTAAAATTAATAAGCAGCATAATTTTAATGGAAATATTTTTAGTAAGGATAAAATTCTAAAAGGTAATAAAAGCACACAATCTTATGTTATACTCCTCTAGTCCTATTTATAAGGCACTTCCAACATGTTTCACACAGACCAAGAAAAACCTTAAACTGTATTAACTCTCCATTAAAATATAGCAACTTTTCAACTTTACCCCTATTTAATATATACTCCTTTAAAAAAAGATAACTACTTACACTATAATAAATGAAGGACAAAATAGTACATTGACACTGAAAAGTTAATGAAATGACTTATAAATAGGACCAAAAAAAACTTCTCTTTCTGCCCTATAAATAGGACCAGAGGAGTATGCTAGTGTCGTGTTTGGCGGCATCCAAATGACATGCTAATCAAAATATGTTTGCTCTGTTTGTTTTTTCTTTTCTTCTCCATCTTGCTGTCAAAGGAATGCTGAAGTTTCGCAGTTGGAGTCCCAGATAGCTGTCAGGTAATTGAACAACGGACGACAAGCAGAGGCGATAGCCATTATGTACATCTTGCTTTCGGATTACAAGTCACTGGATATAAATGCATTGGACTCGCATTTAATTTTCTTACGCCTTTCCCTCTGAATTAATTACCACCACAACCAGATTACCTCATCATAAGACAATTAAATGAAGCTAATCTTAACAGTCAATTTCACTCCTGTCTCGGTATTTAAATTGGGTGTGACTGCCCCCTCTGGCTGCTTGAATTGGAACACAGAAACACAGACTGTAACAATGTTTTCTTGTTGGCTTTTAGTCCTACGACCTCCCTGCCTATTAGTTTGAACTTTAGATAGAGAAAGGATGGATATTCAATCGAATGGCTCATATCAGATGCAGAGAAGATAGGGCTTCCCCACCCCCCCCCCCCCAAAAAAAAAAGCATCGCTGTATGAAATGTCAAGTGTCTGTTTCTATTCTGCAATTTTCTTCATCTTTTATCTTGAAAAACTGATTAAAATAAGGAATTCTCAAATATGGGATTTTAAGTGGTGAAAAGTGGGGTTGATGAAACAGTCCAACCAAATAATGCCTTCATGATTAAGATGTTGACCTGAACCATGCGTACAAAATTCCTTTATGCTGCATGTGGACCACTGCATGCACTTGTATGTGGGTCTCTCCCCTACCTCTCTGTTTTCTACCCCCCTCTCTCTTTCCGTGTCAGTTCGTAGTTCGTTCTCGACTTGCACTACACGTTTTGATTCTAAATTTTATATTTATAATATGATTGTATGTAAAAATTCATCCTTTATGATATGCATAAATGTTTATAAATATACGAGATTCAAATTTAAATTGATTTGATGCAGTTTTCGTCCCCATCGTCGTGTCCCTATAGCAGGGGGCTACCTTCACATGAGACATTAGTCCTCCTGCTTCCTTGAGCTTTCGTGTTCATCAATAATGGGGGTCAACATGCTTTCATTTTACTACTCTATCGGCCACATATTATTACCCATACGTATTGTAATAGATCACCTTTTTCATATCAGATTAACCCCATAAAATAGTAACATTGTGTTTTCTTGGCAGAAGAGGAAAGAACCAGTGACAGTGAAAGAAGCAGATAATTTCTTGAGCAATGGATTCAAAAGATTCCATTTTGATATGAGGGGTTTTATGTATTTGTACATACGACGATTTCTTCCCCGAGGGGACCTTTCTCACTGCAAAGGCCAAGTTTGCCAAGCCACGCCAATCCCATTTTTGCTTTAATGGCCAAATTTGGATCCTTCTGGCCTCATTTCCAATATCACTACCGAAATTGCTGTTGGACACTTGTGCTTTCCCATGGCCCCACAAAAGCACCAACTTTTCTTAACACACGAGTGAAATCCATCAATATCATCTCCCTCAATTCATTATATGAACAGTTAATTTCACAAACTCTCTCTCCATCTCTCTCACTCTCTGCTCCAGGATTCCTTTATCCCTCCCACAGGCAGGCATAGCTTTGTTGAAATTCATAGAGCATGAAAAGATTGTAGACCCCCCACTCTCTTCACCACTGAGAAAAGTTGCAGATCAAGAATTTCATATATATTATCTCCAATCTTGTTAGCTTTGAGCAGAATCTTATAATGATGGAAAGGCATCAACAACAAAAGTTTGAAGAAAACGATGTGGAAAAGAGAACTGAAGGATCCAAGCTAGAAAAGGAAGAGAGTAAAGAAGGCCAGAGTGGAAAGCAAGCACAAGCATCATCAACATCCTCTTCCCCAGCTCATGACTTCTCCTTCACAATCTCTCTGCATAACACTTCCTCAGCCACAACCCCTGATAAATCCAAACCTCCACCTTCATTTGCTGTTGATCTATCTCCTGCAGATGACATCTTTTTCCATGGCCACTTGCTTCCTCTTCACCTTCTCTCTCACCTCCCTGTTTCTCCTCGCTCTTCCACCACTTCCATGGACAGCATCAGCCTCCCTGTTAGGGACTATGGAAGCATCACTAGCAGTAATAAGAGCAACTTCGCCATGGACGACATCAGCAAGAACAACAGCGGTAGTAATAGTAGCAGTAATAGCAGCCAAGAAAGCAGGAGGAATAGTGGGTCCAGAAAGGGAGCAAGCAAGGCCAAGTCTTTCTCAATCTTCGGATTTACAAGAGGGCGTAAAGAGTTTCAGGTTACAGAGAAAGACGATAAAGAGAAGCACAAGAGGAAGGTGAGGTTGGATTTGGTCCATGTTGTGAAGAAATACTTGAGAATGGTGCAGCCACTTGTGATTTTCCGAGGGAGAAGAGAGAAAATTAGACAATCTTGTTCATATTCAGGTAATCTAAGTGCCATAAAGAAGCGAGATGTGGTCAAAGGAAGAAGAGGAGAGTATTCAGCGCCGGCTTCAATGAGGACTTCGCCTACAAATAGTGGCCTATTGCTTCCAACCTCAACATTCCCTCCTCCAAGTGATAGTACCATGGAAGACCTCCAGGCCGCCATTCAAGCTGCAATTGCCCACTGCAAAAACTCAATTGCGAAAGATGATAAAATCAAATGCTGATTCAAGGGTAGATTCAAATGGAAAGTTTTTGCATATGCTTTTCCTATTCATTAATAATTATATGTTGTTCCCTTATTTGATATTTTGTGCATATTTAGATACATAAATGATAATGTACTTCTATCCAGATCCAACATGGAAGCACCACTGTAATTGTTACATCATCTCAATTCTCTATCTCGGAGGATTTTATTACCTTCAGTTCAAACAAGGGGGAAAAATGGGTTGAAGCAGTATCTAGCAATAGTACATACAGATTTTGAAATATTCATCTCACTAACGGTTTTTATATAACTTGAAAGAAAAAGAATTTAGGTTGGGAGACGACACATTGTCAGTACAAGTTACTGTAGTGTTTTTTGTTGTTATTTTACCGTACTTATCTACATGGATTCTCTGACATACCGGTAATAAACACACAACGACCATATATATGTCAGAGTTTATTGAACTGTGAGTGCCGATGTTAATTCTGACATTGTACTGTAGACGACCCATAGTGTCCGAGAGTTTATGCTTCCTTATTTTTTCACCTTAAATTTCTTTTTCCTTTTCATGTGTATTTTTTTCAAAATTACATCCAACACAAGTCGAACTGAGACAAATTGGGCCATATATATCAGATTCCATGCCAAATAATGGTTCTATCTTGTCGCAATCACGTCAGAATTCTAAGAAATGGGTAAGGCTACAACTGTCAGTGATATACACGCAAAGAAGCGCCAACTTGTTCATCAATGATCACACATCTTTTTTAAGATTGCAAGGAAATCGAAGCTCAATCCAATGTATCCACAGTATACCATATACCAACCTAAACACATCGAAGCTCGGGTGGATTACATCAGTTGAGATCAAAATAATGGCAGCTCAATACACTGATTGATACCAAACAAAGAGAATAGAGACAAAAAGGTCAAGAAATCTCTGGTGTCAGATGCATTGGAAAAGGAGAAGGAGAAAGTAGAAGCATTTTGAATCGTGAAACCTGTAAAGATGGTAGGGCGCACAGAAAGAAGGCGTGGTCTGCACCATGTGGGTCTCAAAACTGGATGTGATGGATATATATGTGGGCACATATATAGCTGCATAAACATATAAAATAGAACTGGGTAAATAACAAGCACAGAAATTACTGGGTTGACCCAGCCAGGGTGCTATTTTCTGGAGTGGGGAGAGGGAGGGGTTAGTGAGGAAGCCATAAAGATTATAGGAGTGATTATTTACGAATAAATTAATGAAAAAGATAATAATAACAATAATGAGATATATAGAAAGATGCGTTCGAGGACCACTAAGCGGCGCAATTGCCCTAGACGGGAGAATCCCAATCCATGTAGGGGTGCGATTCTTGTCTCTCGTCTTCATTCCACTGAGCTGTACGAATTACCACCCTGGTTATAGATATAAGTGAGAGAAGTTTTAGACCTAAATATTAGTCACTTATAATATATTTAATACCTATTTTTTAATTTTATTTTTATTTATTTAATGCCTATTTTTAATTTTATTCTTATTTAGTTTTTATTGAAAACAGAAATAGAAGGAAGAAAAACGAGAAAGATTTATAAATGTAAATAGAAAGAGAAAAACTTTTAATAAGAATAAAATTAAAATTTTATGTTAATTTAATGCATTTTTTGACATACAAAAATATGTTAGAACCCAACTTCTTATATAGGGTCATTATCGTTTATGGGATTTAAGAGTTGAACCAAACAGCATTTTAAGATCGGTTATCAAGAATCTTTTATAACGAGAGAAATGAAGAGAAGAAATTTTTTTAATGAATTTGACTTAAAAATTTGAAAAAGTAAAATTAAAAAACTTTTAATTTATTTTTCTTATTATTTATCTTGCAAAATTTTTTTAATTAAAATTTTGTAACTTTAGTTCTTTGTTTTTTTTAAAAAAAATCAAACTAATGAAGATCCCCCTTCCCAGACCTTCAACGTCTTGTCCAAGCCGAACGGTACTGTCTGACTTGCGTTACCCAGTGACATGAAAGTTTGCGTGTGAAAGGTCAAGCGTTGAATATTAATTTTCTTGTTTTATTTATAAATTATTTTTAATATATTTAATATAAATTAAAAAAAATCTTAAATTTCATTAACTCTTATTTAAAATTCAATAATTTTTTAATTTTTTTCTATTTAATATATACTATACTTGATATAAATAAAATCTACACAATAATAAATAAAAGATAAAATTATACATCCATACAAAAAATTTCTTTCATTGCCCTATAAATATGAACAAAAAATATCTTCTCTTTCTGCCCTATAAATAAAACCAAAAGAGCATATTGTAATATTCATTCCTTTAAATAATATATATATTAAATTTTTTATATTCAAGTATTTACGTGGAGGCCTCAGCATATTTATTTACCCACTTGCTCTCCATCTCATCTCATGTGACTTGTCTGTTGTTATTTGCCCCATCAAAGCTTAGGTATAGGCTAGCAAAATATATTACTGGAAACTATGGTATTTGACTCTTAAAGTTAAAGCACAAGAGAATTTAGGAAAAAAATAAAAGCAAAGGAATCCATTTTAAAAAAAATCACAATATATATATTATATTCAACTTGGTCACTGTTCTTAATTGATTTTTAATTTGCTTTTATGTTTGGAGACTACAAAGTTTTATGACTTTATTTCAATTCATATCATATAATATTTTGTATTAGGCGATTTTTTTATTTTTTATTTTTGGCAATTCGAACATACTCATTGGTAGGGCTGCACATGGGTAGGGCTGGGCAGGGCAAACCCCTTGCCCGATGCCCAGCCCGAAAGATGAGCGGGCTGCGTTTTGCAGCCAGCTGCCCGGCCCTGCCCAGTAGAAGCCCTAACCATTTTGGGCAGGGCAAGGACGGGCTGGGCAGGGCGGGCTTTTCTGCCCAGCGTAATGACACCATGCCTTATATCATATGTAGAAAAAAAATTCAATTATCGTGTTTTGAGACAAGTGAGAGGAAAAAAATTATCACGAATGAGTCTATCACTCATATATATATAAGGCCTATGTAGTATTGTTCTTCAACTTTCAATTTCTTATGGGAGGTAAAAAAAAAATTTAATAATTAGAACATTTAATAATCAAGCTAAATCAGTAGTTCAATTCCTTAGTTTATTCATATAGTTGGCAGATTTTTATAATCATGTGAAAGCACAAAATTTGAAAGGTGGTTTTATTTTTCTTTTTTTTTTTGTTTTAAAAAATTGGATGTAAGAGAAAAAGAAAGAAATTTGACTTGGAGTAATTTAGCATATTGAATCTTATATTTTGATATTTAGCTCTTTTATATAATTATAATTTTATGTTCCTTTCATTTTTTCTAATTTTACCTAATTTTTTTGGCCAAAACAAAAGAGATAATTGCTTAAAATAATATTATCTTATATATATAATTATATATTTTTTCGGGCAGGGCCAAATGGGCAGGGCAGCATACCCTGCCCGCGGCCCTGCCCTGCCCGTGAATCAGCCCAGCCCGAAGATGCCCATTTTTGCTTGGGCATCTTTTTACTGGGCTGGGCTGGGCGCTTTTCTTGCGGGCTTGGATGGGCTTATTGGGCATGCGGGCCTCATGCACACCCCTACTCATTGGTTTAAACTTTAAATGACAGTGCACCAACCAAATGGCCGGGAGTCATTTTAGCTGTATTTTTTTCGGCCAAACGTTTTAGCTGTATTAGGCGGCATTTACACACACACACACACACATATATCAAAAGTTGTTTTAATTATCCAGATGCCTCTATTAACTGAAATTCATTGAGTTGCCGGCACCCTTATAAAAATATCAGATGGGATTATATTTCCATAAAAAGATGATGAACCAAATTTAGATGACAAAAAAAAACAATATATACAAAAATTCTTCAATCACGTATTTATTTAAATCTATTGGAAAATTCAGTCATATGGGCATTCCACTCTTGGACCATCAAGTCTCTAATCTCACAAGTGGTATGACTTATTTTCCCTAGCTATGAGTTCCAAGGCGCCAGGCCTTTTTTATGTTACAATCCAAAGCTTCAGCCTTTAGTGTTTTTTTTCAAACTATGCATAAGCACCTTCCTATTAAAAGCAATTCTGTTTAAGGTACTGTTGGGTGTTAAATATAGGCATCTTTTTTGGTAAAAATCTAAATCTTAGTTCATTGTATTACCAAGGTCTAATTTCTTTCGCTAATCTGAACGCTTGTTGGTAGCGTTCAATTTGCATCACAACAAACTCGCGTCTTCTTAATGATTTTGGGCCAACATATCTGGAGGCCCAACTGGATAGTCCACAGTTCCGCGATCTTACAATGATAAAAGCCCAAGTCGCAATTAAATCCACCGATCCAATTGGCCAAGTCGTCCCCTCACTAGTCACGAGCTCACGCCGCGGTGCTTTATCATCAAGCATCATTATTCATTCCCCTTGGTCCGGTGAGCCTCTAACAAGCGTTCCTTCCATGTCCATTTATATCCCCATCTCTGCACAAGGCTGATCAGCTACGTTTTTCCGCGAATGCATCTCCTTATTACCTCCTGAGTTATCCTTGTCTTCAAAAACTTTACTAGGAGGAATTTTCGACTCCAATTTGTCAGATATATACAAATCTTACAACACATCGTCTTAAACATTCGCACTGGCCGTGTCCACTCTAGTCAGAAACTTTATTAATTTCTAATCTCTTCAAAGTTTTCTCATATAACTTGGTTTTGTTCTTTGAGATGCTGTTAATACTAATTCGGCTAACCTTAACAGAAGATGTTGTTTAGATCCACGTTTGTACTCCAGCATTATAAACTACTGGGACTAATTCAGGGTGATCTGTCGGGTAGCCACAAGACTCTCGTTCTGTACATAACATGCAGCAGATGGATTGATTTATTGGAGCGCGAAAGGCGATTAATGGAAATTTGTAAAAGAGCAGGATAAGTTTTCCTCCCCTCCTGGTTCAAAGTCATCTTCTTCCCTTGTTCATGCTGTGAAGTGAGCACAATCACTTGTCTGTGTGAACACACACTTAACAGATAAATGAGGAAGAGGTCGCTGGAAATTCCTGGGCATGATAAATTTTTAAAAATGCAGCATCGTTTCTCATTCGTAGTCCCTAGTAAGACATTTTCATCTGCTTGTCTCTTCTTCGGTTTCTTTTATCCGATTGCACGTTTCATTTTTCCTATTAAGTTAAATTAGTATTGTAGTCCGTATACTCCACTTGCTAGATTCTTTAATTTGCGACGGATTGAACAAGTACGTACGTATAGGCTCGGGAAAAATGGAATTGATCGAAATATCACTTTGGAGTTTGGTCAGCTTCATGAAGTAAATATATGCGATTGCCAGCTGAAAATTGCGGAAGTGCGTCCTGAAGAACAAATGAATTACGACAAGAAACAAAGAAGTGAGAAACTTCAGGACCTACTGATCCTGATGTTTAAATACTTGTCAGCCAAGTGGGCAAGATTTCTGAATTCGCTGTCATCAATGAAGCCATCGTGGTTGGCGTCTGCAGATTCGATCTCCCTTTTGCTCTTCCAGGAAGCGAAAATCCCATCGCAGAGTCGCACGGCCTCTCTCAGTTCAGAATGGCTGATTCTGCCGTCGCCGTTAGAATCGAATCTCTTGAGCCACCGCTTGAACTCCTCCAGACTCATCACTCTCTTCCCATCGCTCGTCATTACGCTCCGTTCTATGAACGCCATTCTGTTATATTGCTCCTCTTCTGATTCGCCTCTGATGTGTTCCTACTGATCTGCTATACATATATTTTGCCTCTTATAAGCCTTCCCTGTTTATAGCACCCATTTCTAGTGTGACAAACATGCGCCAATAACATAAAAATACTCCATGTTATCATATTTAGTTTATTTGCTCCTTCGCTATTGGAGAATAAGAATCCTATATATATACTCTATCTGTTTCCTATATATATACACTACCTAGCTATATAATATTAGCAGTTGCACCGCCTCGTCCATCTTATCCCTCTGTACGTAGCAAACTAAAGAAAAAGGACATGTCATTAGCAAATTAAGAAATGTAATCTGTTGGGACATTCATGCCTCTTTAATAGGTTCCGTTGTATTAGGACAGTTCGGCCATCCCCTTTATACTTCCAGTCGGTATCGTATCTACGATGAACAGATCCAAGCTGTCTCTGAATTTCTAAATTCATTACACATGACGTGTCCCCCTTGCAGCTTAAGTGTGTAAAGAACCTTAATTAGTTTCCTTATACTTTCCAAGTTATCATCAATACAATAATATATATGTTGGGAATGAATCATTTTATGCGCGCGCGCGCACATGTACGTCTAATGTCTTTTTTGCCAACTATTTTTTTTTTTTAACAACATGTACGTTTAATGTCTATCGTCCAGCATAAATATCAATTCAGATGTTATATGTGTTTTATTATTTATCTGCGGTTAACTTTGTAATTGATATACATTGTGTGAATTCAAAATAACTTGAGTAAGTACCGGCAAAGCAACTACCAATATTATTGTTCTCTAAACCAATGAAGAAATTAAAATTCCTTGCATGATCTCTATTTTTTTTAAACACGTGCTTTGGAGAACCTAACTTGAATAAATACCAATATATAATACTGTAAATAGCATCTTGTTTTATGGGGACAATTATGCCTAAGGACCAAAATGATAAGTTTATATATATATATATATATATATATATATATATAAAACTAAAGACTTTAAGTTTCTGAAATTATTCTAAAGGACAAGTATCTTTGGAATTAAAAAAATATATGTAATGATTGAAATTAAATACCCATGAGACATAACCGCCTTATGCATATTTGGTCCAAAAAGAAGAAGTTATGCATATGAAATTTAATATATACACTAAGATAAAGAAGATTGAATATTCATGCATAGGTAATTTAATATACTTTGAAAATTCTTTATATAAGACTATGAAACGCACCTTTGTTTTAGTAATTAAATTATTTATGCACAACCATTAATAATTTTATTATATATGATGACTAATAAATGAGATAATAAATAATTTATTTTATGGATATTTCAGTCATTATACTGTACATCTCTTTATTTTCAAAGAAGGATCGATGTTGATCCGGCAAAATAATTTCATAAATTTAATATTCTTATTTTATAAACTAAAAAACTTACATTTTGGTCCTTAATTAAGCATAAGTCTTCATGTATATACGTACCTACGTATGTATGTTGAGATTCATTCCTCCATTACCCAAAGAAATGGATTTGTGTCTTGGCTGCAAAATATAAATGAGCCAGGAAATGTCGGTTCTTTGGTTTGAATAGGGCAAAACCAAAAAGGATCGAGAAGCATAGCCTTTTTTTTTTTTTTTTAATAAGAAGCATAAGGTTTTGGCACAAAACCAAGGGCCCCAAGATAGACCAATTGCGGTATAGCGCCCGTTGATTTTTGCATTGACTATAATTACGGCCAGAAGATTCGGATTCTTTAGTAGCGTGTGGAATTGTATTACTGTTTGGCTGCCCCAGTGTTGATCGTGTTTGATCAAAAAACAATAACTGATCATGTTCAAAATATATGAGCTGATTAGACACGAAGCCCTCCACTGTTTAGAACATATATATTCCAAGTGTTAGAATTGACTTCTCACCGCGCCTTAAATTGATAATTAAAAGGGTTTGTTTGCGCAATTTAATATTTTCATCCTCAAATTTTAATTAAACTATGATAAATAGATATGAAAAATCATTAACAATACATTAATAATATGTGCAAAAAATAATACATTAATAATAAAATATCATAATTTTCATTATTGTTGGGAAATAAATGCACCCTCAATCTTATCGACCCAATTTGCAGTTAATATTTCAGTTGCAATGTTGCATCTGCATTCAAGTAACCAGCCGCCTAGGTTTTCCGTGGGTTTTCCAATTTGAAAATAGAGATACCTATCAAGTCAGATTTTAGGTAATTTCAAGGTATTTGAACTCATGCATATTGTGGGCGAAGAAAAATTTCTTATCTGAATCTTTCTCACAATGGTTCCAAAATCGACTTGCTTTTTTTCCTTTCATGTCTAACTTAGGAAACCTAGAAATAAAAACATATAAATCATATTATATGATTGAATAATTTGGATATGAAAAAATAGCACAACACCTATTGAAAAGAGATTGGTAGAAAATTGATTAAATTATAGTTTAAATATGTGTAAAGAAGACCCAAAAAAAATCTTTAATTCGTATGAAAATATACAAAGAGAAGTGAAGGAGAACATTTGAGAAAATTAATTAATAGAAGAAGATCTTATTAGAGCCGGTAATATGGGTTACACGAGGGTCTAACCCGCCAACTAGCCAAAATGACAAGTTAAGGTTGGTTAAAAGTTAACTCGCCAGCAAACGAAACTTTTAACCCGCACCACATAACCCACAACCCACTGGCTAGCCTACGCATTTATTTTTTTTTTTTATTTTTAAATTTTATTAATTATTATAATTATATTATTATATTTTATATCTTATCTAAAAAGGTTAAAAAATACTAATATCATTTATTTGATATTTTCCATCAAATATTTGAAGAAAAAGTAAAAATTTCATTATATTTTCTTTATATTGTATAAGAAAAAATATTTTAAAAATAAATAACTTAAAAAAAAGAAAATAATAGTTAGCAGGTTGATGGGTCAACCCGTCAATCCATCATGACGAGTTAGAGTTGGTTTTTACACAAGTTTTTTTTTCAACCCGCACTGCTTAATCTTAACCCGTCATAGGCCAACTCGAGGCTATTATCACTCCTAGATCTCATGATGAATAATATATGGTTAGTCGTTTGATAGAGTCTGATATAGTATCATGATTCACAAAGCCAACCTAGTTATCGGCGAAAGCTTGCTATTGTTGTTTGTGTATGTATAATTTGAACAATTTACTTTCACGCTCTGGCAAAGAGACCAGTTTACCTCCAACAGGGATGGAATGGAAATTGAAGAACCAACTCTTCTTAATTACTCCTCCGGTCCTAATTATAAGACCCAATTGACTTATTTGAGGAGATTAAGGAAGTAAGTTAAGTTGGTTATTTATAATAAATAAGTGTTGTTATTCCTAAAATATCCTTGCTAATTAAGTATATTGGCTAAAACTATCATTATTAGAAGGATTATCTTGGAAAAAAATGCATAAATATAAGAGAAAAAATGAATTGGGTCTTATAATTAGGACCAAATAAAAGTCAAATTGGGTCTTATAATAAAGACCGGAGGAATACTATCTTTGGTTCTTAATATAAGAACTAGTTAACTAATTTAAATAAATTAAAAAAATTTATTAAGTTAATTATTATAATAAATAGGTGTTGTCTTCTCTAAAATACCCTTACTAATCATGTGTATTAACTAGAACTACTATTTGATAGAACTCTTAACATGTGCAATTACTACAAGATTACTTTAGGAAAAATAGATAAACATGAAATACAAAATGGATTAGAATCTTATATTTAGGACCAAATTAAAAGTCAAATTAACTCTTATATTAAGGATAAGAGATAGTAATTAAGATTGAACAGTGATGAAACGTACGCTTGGACATGTTTGACCCACAAAAATAGAAAGCTTTTAACTTGCGTAATCAGTTTCTGTGCATGAAGCTGCTCATCAGAGAAGGACCGAAATGGGGCAGATGACCCGAAGAATTAGAAATTGAAAAAAAATAACTCAGAACTTAGTGATCCTGATGTTCAAGTACTTGTCAGCAAAGTGGGCAAGATTTCTGAATTCGCTGTCATCGATGAAGCCGTTGTGATTAGAATCTGCAGATTTGATGCCTCTTTTGCTCTTCCAGGAAGCAATAAGCCCACCGCTGAGCCTCACGGCTTCTTTCACTTCAGAATGGCTGATTCTTCCGTCGCCGTTAGAATCAAATCTCTTGAGCCACCGCTTGAACTCCTCCAGAGTCATCACTCTCTTCCCATCGCTCGCCACACCACGTTCTATGAACGCCATATATACGTATATATGTATATGTATCCTCCTTCTCTCGCGTGTCGCTAGCTACTAGCTAGTGCTTGTTAATTATATGCTTCTAGTTTCTAAGCCTTCCCTATTTATAGTCCCAGTTGCATTTCTGGGGTGATAAACATGCGTCAATGCATATATGCAATACTTAATTGCCTTTCGATATTACGTGTCTTTTTTGCTTATTCCTTATTCGAAAGAGTAAGACTTTCCACTACGATACTGCGTAAACAAATTACAGGCTGCCGCTTTCTGCTTGTCTCCCTTTGCCTAACTCAAAGGCAAAAGTATATGCTGCTTGCCGATTAAGAATTAAGAAATTATAATTCTAAGGGCATTATCATTAGATTACTACAAATCGTCTCTGGTACGTTGCATCAGCACAAACTGGCTTGCGCCTTTACGATTCCATGCTATCTGTCATAAATAAATCATCCAGCATATCTTAGGATTCATTCACACGACTCTTTCGCCCTTCCATTTCATGCGTGTATGCCCAAATAAAGCCTTCTTTCTTTATTTTTTTCACATGAGATCAAATAGTAAATACACTAACACTATGACCTAAATCAGTTAATCTAATGTACCAAAAACTAGTAACATGGCCAATAAGTTATGACAGCTGATAAGAAGTTAGCTTATAACTCACAAGGTCGTAAGTTCAAATCTCATCGCCGAAATAAATATTTTTGTAAGTATTTTTTGAACCTGAAGACATTTCTTGGTAGGTGAGCTTTCAGGACCCAACTCACTTATAGAAAAAACTAATAACATCACATCATACGCTAATTAAAGGGAATAATGTGGTGTGGGTTGCCCCAAAACAGAGTCAAGCCCGAGGCCTTAGGAAGAAAGAAGATGCTAGTTTATTTTCAGCCTTAAGGCTCATTCAATGAATGACCGTGCTGGGCCATTGAAGCAATATTCTCATGCATCTTACAACATTTTCTCATGCTTTGATTTGATGTTCCGCTTCTCTTGTTAGTCTTGCGCTTGACAGCCTTGTTCATCCCTACAATAATAGGTAATTTTCCAATGCAACTCCACATATATATAGGTCTTTGTAATTTAGATCTCAATGCATTTATCTTACAGCGTCCGTTTTCCTATTAATACTGCCCCATTCTAAATGTGAGAATTTATTAGAGAGTTGATTTTGGTTTTATACATAAGAATTTAACTAACTTTGTCTTTCAATTCAAATTCATAATATACTGTCCAAACTATTCCTACTGATTACATATATATTAAAAAGATTTTCATAAAATGCAGTTTCAGTACGAATCATAAAATAGGATATTTTAAAATTACCAACACATATTTATTAGCAATAACTAACTTAATTAATTTTTCTAATATCTGCAAATTAATTATCTTATCACTGCATTTAAAACATAAGGGAGTACTGGATGTTTCATATTTTACATCTTTTCTCTTATATTATTTATATTTTTTCATCAACCTTTGTTGCGTATTTAGTGTATTATTACTATAGGTGTAGTGATGCTTTCTTTTGATACCCCAGAAGAACAAGAACTGTCATTCTAGAACTTCCTCGCTGGATTCCGTCAATAACACGATCACTAATATTGTAAATCATCATTTAGCTATTGCATTTATTTTACCTGGCTAATATGCATATAGAGCTAACTTTGGATTGGATACATTATAAAAGATTTCTTGCAGCACATATTCCTCTATCGGGAATAGATTGGATTGTTGACTTTGATTTTTCTTCCTTTTTAGCCTTTATTTGATTTCTTACTTCAGATTTGTACTCATTCTAGTCTCTCTTTTACCTTAGCGCATATAATTCTCTTCTACTCTCTTTAAATATGGCATTGTTTATTAATAGATTTTCCTGTCGTACCATGATAATGGGAAGTTACTTCTTCAATAAGTTATGTATCCACCCACTGGTTCATAGAAAGAATCTTACGCTCCCCAAAAAGAGTAAATAATTGCCTTACCGTCGGGTGTAAATGTTGTTCGAGATACATTGTCGTCAATATTTGCAGGGAGAATGACATGCATATGAGAATCACTAGAAATTGGGAATTAATTAATATTACCTCATTCTAAATATAAAAACTAGTTTGACTTTTCATTTAGTTCTAAATATAAAGCTCTAATCCATTTTGTCTTTCATATTTATCTATTTTTTTAAAAATAGTCCTTGTAGTAATTATACATATTGAAAGTTCCATCAAATGGTAGTTTCAGCTAATATGTATGATTAGCGAGGATATTATAGAAAAGACAACATCTAATTATTATAAATAACTAACCTAACAAATTTTCTTAATCTATTCAAATTAGTCAATTAGTTCTTATATTAAGGATCGGAGGTAGTATATGAGTTTAATGAAACGAGATAATTATACCGGGGCGTCTAGTATTTTTAGATATATTAATTTTTCCTGTCAAATTATCATATTTTTTATAATTTAAAATTATACTGCAATGGAACTTAATGACAAATTTCATATAACAATATTTTTAATTATGACTAATAACAACTACAAGTTTAATAATGAAAATTACTTTTCAATATATAACAGAATGAAATGTTAAGTATGCATGATGAGTAATTAATACTTTTTACCGTAAATAATGACAAATAAAATGTCATTTGTAACAACTACTCTTCAGAATTAGGCTTCCCATGAGTATTTTATTTTATATTAAGATTTATACATGTGTCAAGTGTTTTGTCTTTTCCTAGCAAACCAACCACCAGGGTTTCCATCAACTATATTCCTTTTGTTGCTTCTTTGAGGGAAAAAATAAAGGAAAAAAAGAATTGGTGGATGAAGGCAATATCCGTTCCATATTGCCACTATCCTTACATGACTTGCTGTCGTTTTTCTTTCACCTCTTTGTTCTACCAAACCTTTCTTGTCAGAAATAACAACCTCCAACTGAGAATTAATTAAGGTTTTCTCTTTCTTTTGTTTCTCGAGAAAGAAGGCATCTAGAAGAAAGAATAATATAGCACAACGTGATGCATGCCCATCATTCAAGGCGAATAATAATGAAGAACGTGGCTTCAATTCTGCAAAGGAGCTTAGGCAATTTCCTAATTTTACTCTGACTTCAGACAGCATAGTAACATTTCCACTGGTGATGGCATGACTTGTTGGGCATGGCGACTTTCCTGCAAAATGATGCATGAATTGCAATTCATCATTTTTACTTTTGCCTGTTTGGCATGATAGAAGTTGAATAGGAAATGAAATCAGAATGAGAAAAATAAATGAAATGGAATTGGATTTCAAAGATTTGTTTATATGAAGATGATATGTGTAATAACTTCCTATCCCGACACAGCTACATCTTGATACCACTCAGAACAGTAAAAAAAAATTCTATGGAATCCAAAAAAATTTAAAAATTGGATATATGTCCAATGGATCACACCTACCTAGAAAAAGTATTTTGCTTTAGTTTGACCCCCTAGCTAATTATATATGAAATAGTGGATGGTATAAATTTAGTATTTTTTTTCAAATAATAATTTGAGATTAGTTGCGTAGATTCAAAAGTTTACAGGAAATGCATTATTAACTTTTAAATGTTAAAGAGATTATCTATATGTGAGTCTAATTAGTTTAGAAAAGTTTTAGCCTTTTGATAAGCATAAGAAGAAGCGAAAGTACTATTTATTCACTTTATTTTTTATATTTATTTATTTTTTTAAAAGCAGTCTTTGTAGTTGCACATATTAAAGGTTATATCAAATGATAATTCAAGTTAATACACATGATTACTAAGGGTATTTTAGAAAAGACAAAATCTACTTATTACAAATAATCAACTTGACTAATTTTCTTAATATACTTAAATTAGTCAACCAGTTCTCATTACTAGAGGTAGTATAATAGTTAATTTCACATACCCAAACCATAATAATGATGTCCAACCAAGGTGAACGGAGAAAAAAGAAATACAGCGAAAGAAGAACGAAGAGGTGGAATTAAAGAACAAAGGTGAAGGTGCGAAGAGTGAAGGAGTTACGACGCCGAAGGCCCAACTCTGATGGTGGTTGAGATCGTGAAGATGGGATGGAGAAAATGGTGGTCTCTGTCATCGTACATCGGAGGGTGGAGCCAGATGTTTATGGGCAGAAGAAGCGTGAGAAGGCAGAGGTACGTGGACATAAAGCAGTGTAGGACACTTGAGATTTTTTTTTTTTGGGTACAATAAAAGTTTAGGTCAGTTGGTCCTGGGAGCTCACCAGGGTCAATGCACGCCTCCAGACTCATATAGCGTTTACAAATATATTTACAGATCGCTCACTAACAAGGTTCTTAAATCGACAGCAGGATTCGAACTTACAAATTTATAAATTATGAGCTGACTCTTACTAACTGAACCAACCCTTGTTAATAGGACATTTGAGATTTGAATAGCTGAATTTCATGAAACTCAACTTATTTCAAAGTTACGAAAATGTTGCTTCACGAAGGAGTGCAAAAGATTACTAAATAATAATTTATTGCTTTTTCTATATTGATTTAATTATTATTAGAAGTGAGTTTACAAGATTATCGATTGAAGGATTAAATCATAGGGTTCTGAACATATTTGCTCGGTATTTAAAACGTTTTTCGCCTAAATAAACACGTTTACGTATCTTGAGCCAGCGGGGCATGTGAATATGTACGTGAAGCATGTAATTTAACTGCTACAAAATTAGAATAAGTATATTTTTCTTACCATATCAATTAACAAGGAGATATCGATCATAGATATTATTTATAATCTTTTATATCATATTTTAATAAGGGTTAATATAATGATTGGTCCTTATAATTTGCCTTCATTTTGCTTTTGGTACTTGAAGTTTCAAATTGGAGCTTTTGGCTTCTCAAGTTTGCTTCGTTTAAAACTGTTAGTTCCTCTAACTTAAAAAGGATTTGATGCTTGTGTTAATGGTGTCAATGATGTCTATAATATCGTTAGTTTTTGAATATGTATTTGAGAAAAACAGTTCAAAGAAAAGTAATTGAGCAAAACGTAAGGAGCAGCCCAAAATATATACTTGAGAAGACTAAAGACCAGTTCTCGAATATATATTAGAAAAATACAGTTCAGAGAAAGGTAACTTAACAAAATATAGGGAGCGGCCTGAATATGTACTTGAGAAAACCAAAGACCAGTTCTCGAATATATATTCAAGAGGACCAGTCCTCCAATATATATTAGAGAAAAATAGTTCAAAGAAAGATAATTTAACAAAACATAGGGAGCAGCCTAAATATGTATTCGATCAAAGACTAGTTTTCAAAAATGTATTTGAGAAGACTAGTTCTTTTATATATATATATATTTGAGAACTAACCGTGTTAACGACACATCAGCATTATTAACACTGTTAACACAAGCACTAAATCCTTTTTAAATTAGAAGATCGAACTAATAGTTTTAAATGGAACAAATTGAGAGACCAAAAACTTCGGTTTAAAACTTAAGATCAAAAACAAAATAAAGACAAACTATAAGGACCAATCCTTGTCTGTAAGGACCTTTTAATAATAATATTATAAGAAGTGCCTCTGATTCACCGGATCTATTTTCAACTAACCAGATCCCAGAGACTTCCTGATGAGAAGGACAGACGGCCCGAAAGCAAAAGCATGGAAAGAAAGAAGGAAAGTTCAGAAGTTAATCAGTAATTCTAATGTTCAAGTACTTATCAGCAAAGTGGGTAAGATTTCTGAATTCGTTGTCGTCAATGAAACCATTGCGATTTGTGTCTGCCGCTTTGACGCCTCTTTTGCTCTTCCAGGAAGCAAAACGCCCTCTGCTCAGGCGCACGGCCTCTCTCAGTTCAGAACAGCTGATTCTGCCGTCGCCGTTAGAATCAAATCTCCTGAGCCACCGCTTGAACTCCTCCAGACTCATCACTCTCTTCCCATCGCTCGCCATACTGCGTTCTATGAACGCCATATTCTTTTTCGTTCTACTCCCTCTCCCTCCCTTCCTCCTTTGCGTTGCTACCTGCTTCCCATAAACGTCTTTCCTATTTATATGGCATTCCACAGAATCATAGTCCCATCGCCATCCCATATACTATACTGATATTATAAACAACTAGAATATAATCGTAGGCCAGAGGGGAAATACATAAAAGAAGCTTCTTATCATTTTAGATGAATTAACCGTGTAATTTATAGCATGGTCAAACTAGCTAGCTTACAACTCCCTTTAAAAAAAAAAGCTTCTTATCATTTTAAAAGACACGCCCTTCATTTTTTTTTAACGGTAATCTTTAATTTAAAGAAATTTTTTTATTTTATTGTCTTTTTAAAATATTTAAACAGTAAGCATGGTCAGAATTTTTAAATTAAGAAAAATCGAATTTCTTTAGAAAATATTTCCCTCGTATCTAATGTGGATAACTTTGATTTTGCCGAAAATCTAATATAAGATCATCTGAGGAATTATTCACGAGACGCGGCTCCCCCTGTCCCGTGCATGTATGTTGAAAAGGATGCCCTTCTTTTTATTTTTGTGGTCAAGGAAAAAGATGCCCTTCCCATTACATTGAAAACATTGGGGCATTTACATTAAATTAAAAAAAAAAAAACAATAGGGCCTACTAAAGCTAAGGTGCCCTTACGAGAATAGCGAGGGTTACCCCCAGACAGAAGCCGGGCCCCTGCCCTTGCTAGGAAGTTGGTGCATGAATGTGAGACTCGACAAAGCAATCGGTTCAGGCGATTTGGTTTTCCTTCAAGCAAAGCATGGAGTTTAGAATTTACGGATGGAGAAGACTGTTGCAAGAAAAGCATAACATCGGATTTGGTTTGGTCAAAATTCAAAACTCAATGTAAATTGGTATATTTTTGTTTGGCAAAGAGAGAGAGAGAGAGAGAAAAGAACATCAAGGCCCAATCTTTGGTGGCCCGTATTGGCCCTTTCTGAACATTCTCATTCAATGGAACACGTGACGCGGGCCGGACTCATTTCGACCCAAGCTATCCAAAAGCAATCTAGCACCGGGCGGAGGAGGCAAGACAGGGGCTGCTTGCACTCTCTGGCGTTCCAGACTTCCATGTCTTCAAGCTTGAACATGGAGTCCTCAACGAGCCCTCTCCTATCGTTTTCCACCTTCATCCATCAGCACTTTGTCCGTCTAGGCGCTGAGCTTTCGAGCCGATTCGAAGAAACCAAGCGGCTCGCTGGCAGTTGGCCGCGACCTTCTATTTCCCTGGCGTTCCCGCCTCCCTTCGCCTCTCTGGCACACACCAAACACGCCCTCGCTGCTACTCTGAGTTCAGACCACGTCGCTAAGTCCCTTTCCGGCACATCTGTCTACACAGTTAGCAATTCCAACAATGAGTTTGTTCTAATTTCTGATCCTGATGGAGCCAAGTCTATTGGATTGCTCTGCTTTCGCCAGGAGGACGCTGAAGCTTTTCTTGCGCAAGTTTGTATCTTCCTTTTTTCTTTTTCCATTGAAATATTAAATGGGAAACGCTTATGCAAAGTTCTTCCTTGCTGAGTGGAAATGCTATTATCTTTTCTTGCCTTAAGAATTCGTTGCATCTGCATTCTGCTGTATGAAGGGTCGCCTTTCTGTTGAATTTGTCTTCTGCATTTATGATTCGAAACTGGAGTCATGCACACACTACTCTGTTTATTCCAAGACCCGTTCTTTTGCATGCTAACTTGTTGCTCGGTTTTTAAGGTTCGGTCGCGGAAAAGAGACCTGCGAGGCCAGCCTAGGGTTGTCCCCATAACTCTTGACCAGGTCATCTCACTGTCATATCTATCTCGTGCCAATTATGCTTTTGTGAGTCAGTCGTATTAAGCAAAATTTCCACAGTAGATTGCTTTGCAGAGTTGTAGGATACTGGTTACTTCACTATGCTGATTACTTTTAGATTGGGTTAGAGCTAGTAAGTCATCTGTAAACATGACTTCCCAGGGTATCTGTATGATAGAGCATTTTACTTGTTGCAATTAGATTCCGAATGCATTAGCTTAGTGGCATTTTTTTTACTGTCAATACTGTACCACTTCTGGTATAACATTTTATTTTTAAGAGACCATGTTCAGCAGCCACACTATATTCGACATTTGCATCAATTACTGTTCTTAGTTGGAAAGTCTCAAAGGCATATAAGGGATTCCTCATGCCTGGATTATTGTGTTGACGCTAGGGGTACAGTTTGTTTATACGTTAAGCATTGAGTCTCACCAAACTACTTTGAAAATCTAAACTCCCATGCTTGAAATTAAAAAATGCATTATACATCTCCAAGCACCAAACATGTTGCGATTGCACTTTCTTTTTTTTTTTAACCAAAATATCGTATTAATACATTATATAGCAAGTGGTAAAGATGTTATTGACCGATGTAAAGACAATCTGTTTCAAAAATTTAGAGTAAATTAACTTTATGGTTCCCAATACAAAATATATAACATTAACAATAAAGGTAAACCAAAATATTGTTTCAAGAGCATTACATTTTTAATCAAAGAAATCAATATTATTATTGAGGATATTATGCTCATACTTTGGCTTCAGGAGAATTAGTTAATCTTTTTATAATAAAGGGGGAGTGTTGTATGAGGCATCTCTGAGGGGAGCTAGAGTAATTTATCCTTTTTCCTATTTAATATATTTACTCGTAACCAATTAGTCATGTTCTTTGAACATATACCTGTGGTTTATGCTTTATGCGCCCATGAACTTATGTCTAGTTTTTAGAGGTCCTCCCTTCTAAACAGGGGACCCCATGCCAGTCACTACAAGTGAAATGCGCCTTCTAATGGTTATTACCTTTTCAAGCCTCTTTTTACATAATGGTATACTTTTTTGCCATGTAGGTATATATGTTGAAGGTTGAAGGCATCGCATTCCGATTTCTGCCAGATCCTGTTCAGATAAAGAATGCTTTAGAGGTCAGAATCTCTATGATTATTGTACAAGTTTCACTCACTCTGATCCATGAGCCCTCACCTGTATTTTTATTCACAGACAGTAACAATACTTTAAAGTAAAGCCAATTGACAAGAATATAAATTATAAGAATAAAGAAGCTTCAATCTGATAAGCTTCCAATCTTCATGTTAGTTGGCGCTGTCACACAATTAATACTCAATTGTACTTGAAGAAATTATAAGTTTAGTCTTGGATTGCTGAGCTTAAGTTTGTGTCTCATAGTGTTCTTCATCTTTAACAGCTGAGAGCAGCCAGTAAAAGTGGTTTTGATGGAGTTCCTGTTTTTCAGGTATATTATCTTGTTAAATTTAAGATCTCTAAACATAGTTATATTGGTGCAAATATAGTGTAAGATTGTTTATATTTACAAAGTAAAAAAGCCTACACTCTCTTCTTGCATCATATGGTTGGCGTCTTTTTGTTTGGAAAAAAAATTGTTTCTCCTGAATTGGAGAAAAAGAGGGAATGGTGTGATGTTTATAATGCATATATAATACAAGTGAGCATCTCTCTCTCTCTCTCTCTCTCTCACACACGCGTGCGCGCGCACACAATTGTATCACTAATGATTCCAATGCATCTTCATTCCACTCAGCCTCTAGTTAGCTAATTAACTTTAGCCCACCTATAGCATGTAATTGGTATATTTTTCCCATCCAATAACCTCTAAAACGCATAGTATCCTTTTAGTAACTAAATCTGTACTCTTTAGTGGTTCTTAATAAACCCTTTTGCTTATTTGACGAATATCCTTGCACTCTTACAGTCTGATCTTTTGGTTGTGAAGAAGAAGAACAAGCGATACTGTCCTGTATACTTCTCAAAGGTTTTTTTTCACCCATTAATCTCTTTATGGATTCGCTTAAATTGTTTTGACATTAATTGGTACGTGGGTTTATGGAATTTTATCATACAGATGTTGTCTCTTACTGATTAACCGTACAGGAAGATATTGAGAAGGAGCTATCTAAGGTGTCTAGGGCATCTAGAGGACCAGGAATTTCTCAGCATATTATGGTATAAATTCTGCCTTTCCACTTCCTTGTTTCCTTGAGTAATGAGTATGTTAGACTATCAGAAGCTTGGAAATAGTTATTAAATTAATTCTAAGAAATGATTGACATGATTTTCTAGCATGCTGACAAAATTTGCATCATGTTTTTTTATCATCATCACAAGTCCGTACAAATTTTATCTTTGAAAAAGTGGAATGGTTTATTCACATTGCTTAAAGAATTAAAAAAAAAAAAGAGAAGAAGCTGATTCTGCATCTTTAACCGTCTTGAATAAAATTTAGCCTTGGGGTTCTTTCTTGGATTTGATCATCATGATGTGCCATTTGATCTTTACTTTTATTCCCCAATCTTCTTCCCTTGATCGTAGATGTTCTATCATAACCATGCACACAAGCATTCATGTACATACATCGCACTTTTGTAATCGGTGATATGCCCTTGGTCATATTGATAATTAGGTTTAGCCCAAGTATCCCAATCCAATTGGTTGCTGAATTGGGATCAGGTTGGAGCCTTTTTTTTTTTCCCCCTTCTTTTTTTTTTTTTTTGGGAATCTCTGGATTAGCCGACTAAACAAAGTAATATATATCAAACTATACTTTCTAACAATACTTATATGGTGTTTTGGCAAGTGAATGAGCCCCTACCCAATGAATCGCGCATTACAGATACATCATGAGAATTGTGTTTTCCAAAAGTATAATTTTCCAGCAATTTGATAGAGCTGAAATCAGACCTTGCGGGAGAAAAAATTGATGTCTACGGGAATTAACTTGGTGTAGTAGATTTTTTACAGCGGCTATTTCAGTTGTGTGTGTGTGTGTGTGTTTTTTTTTATCATTCATTTGAAGTGTATTTTCCCTTTTCTTTTAATAGGTTGGCAGCTTGGAAGATGTACTGAAAAAAATGGAGGTACTTTGTCTGGCAACAATTAAGTTTCTTAAATTTTATGAAATAATTTGAGTCTTACCAAGTTTTTAACCTCTCCAATGCAGATGAGTGAAAGGAATTCTGGGTGGGAAGATTTGATTTTTGTTCCTCCCGGAAAAAGCTATTCTCAACATATACAAGAAATTACTGCTTGAATCCAGGGTGCAACTTAAGCTAACCAAAGTTTTATGTTGTTTCCCGAGCAAATTGGGTGTTTTTGTTCTCACCTTTCAGCGGGTAAGATGGCTGGACCTCTCTCTTCCCATCAATTGTTGCGTTCTTCTACTCTCATTTCCTAAAAGAAAGTCTTTCTGATGCAGAGATTCTCGGAATACAAGATATTTGTGTATGTGAGCGAGCATACTGCTAACATCCATTTCAATAAGAGGTCGCAAGAATGCTTACATTGTGTGTATTATGTATTTCATCTATGAAAGGTGCTTCTAGCTTCTACTCGTATATGTATAGCTCAATATTTATTTCCGAAACAGCTGTACCTTAGACCTTGAATTATAGTTGAATAGACTCAGGGATGATGGTGATATTGATGTACATTTTGTTTTGAAGACTTAAATTTTGTGTTTACCATTGTTGTCGTTGCTGTTATCTGGCATTTTTCATGCCCCCGGAAAGGCAGCTATTGTCAGAATAATGGGTTCAGCACCTAGGTGATTTCACCAAACTACTAAAAGTCATGGTTGACCTACTCTCGCACCAATCTCCTCGTAGGCTTATAGTCCTCAGCTCTTTTTTATGTTGGCCCCTTTCTCAGTTAGTCTAATCATCGCAAGGAAGGATGGCTTTGCTATCAGAGATATGTGATGGTTTACCTTTCTTGTGGGCTGTGTTCGTGCAAAACATGTAATGCAAGCATTTTGACAACTTCTTGAATGCTGACGCGCAACCCTCAAACTTATTTTATTTAAATAATGAACAGGATGAACTTTAAAAAAGGACTTATTATCGTCTATCGGGAATTGGTGGAGCCTCGCCATTCAGTATGGAATGCAAGTATCCTTCCTTTGCATGTTAGAAGTTGACGTCCCAACCAAATAGTTGTTGGGCGTGCCGGCTTACCTGCCCTTAACACCGATCTTAATCGGTTATTTATCTTCTGCTTTTACTTTTCTGCCCTTCCCTGTTATTTCTCAGATCTGAACTGAGCTCCCATTCGTTGAAACTGGTTGGTCGGGCCAAATTAATGAAGCCAAGAAGCGGAAAACATGAGGATATTTTGGTAATTTTATAAGGATTTCCAGAAGAAGGGAAGACACATGGAGATATATAAATGGTCCGCATTGCTTAAAGGTTGGCTCTAATTCTCTAACAACTACCTCTAAATCCTTCCTTCTTATTTTAATCATCATGCTGAACTACTGCTTTTAAACTTGAAAAGTTGGAAAACTATTCAGATATATACATTAGTCCCCGTCCCAGGCATTGCAAAAATTACTCAAAGGGATGGAAAGTTCGGCCCTCCAAAAGATGGTGAAGAGCACACCATCGAAAGCGTTAGTCATCAGAATCAACTTGGTTTTCCTTGCCTTCTTTCTGATCGCCTACGCAGCCTTTCTTCTTCGGCCATCTTCTTCAATCTACTTTGATAATGCAGCCTCTGTCGTGAGGTGTTCCTTGCGTGAATGCCATCATAAGGTAAGGTGAGCCTGCTTTGATGGGTCTCTTCGCTTCCGACAACATTTAGATACAACTGTTTACTATCTTGTGGATATTCTCTTTATTCGGAAACCGCGTAATATATGATTGAGTCTTCAACCTTCTTCTTTAATTCTGTGTCCTCCGTTTGTTTGGCAAACATAAGAAACGTGTTCTCTGATGGGTCATTGTGCTGTGAAAATTCTAGGCAGAAAATAGCATTAAAATGAAAGCAGTGTTGGAGCGGCCTCAGGTAAATTCACGGAAGCCGAAGGGTATTGCGAGTAAGGTGGAGGTACCAAACTTCTTTGGAGAAATGGGGAAAGGGATGAAGATAGGAATGGTGAACATGGAAGAAGATGATGTGGAGGATTGGAGATCAAAGGGAGAAGTAATACATGTTTATTACGACAGGGTATCCCAGATGTTCAACTGGACAGATCTGTTCCCTGAGTGGATAGACGAGGAAGAAGAGAGCGATGTTCCGTCGTGCCCGGAGATACCGATGCCGGAGTTCGAAGCGTACGAAAACATGGACGTGATCGTGGCTAAATTGCCATGCAAGTATCCAGAGGAGGGATGGGCAAGGAACGTGTTTCGACTGCAAGTTCATCTGATAGCAGCAAATCTGGCAGTGAAGAAAGGGAAAAAGGACTGGGATTGGAAGACGAAGGTGGTATTCTGGAGCAAATGTAGGCCAATGATGGAGCTGTTTCGATGTGACGATTTGGTGACGCAGGAAGGTGACTGGTGGTATTATGAAGCAGAGGTGAAGAGGCTGGAGAGAACAAAATGTCATTGCCTGTTGGTTCCTGTAAGTTGGCCCTGCCCCTCTGGGAACAAGGTAAGCCTTCACATCTCAATTTCAACTTCCCTTTCTTTTACTTTTTCTCCTTCAGGTAATTAGAGAAACGCGCCCAAAACATAAAGAATCCTTGTACTCACAATACGCGCCAGGTAGGGGTCGAACCTACGACTTTCTGCTTAGGAAACAGACGCTCTATCCACTGAGCTACAGGCGCTTGGCTGGACTCTTGGCATCTTCTTTTATTTTTCTCGCTGAGAATTTGCAAAGTCTTCCAGTATACTAGTATTTTTATAAAAAAGTATATTTTATGTCGTCCAGATTTTAATTTATTTTTTAAAAATCAATAAATAAAAATAGCTGGTAATTATGAGTTTTTAAAAGTACAATGATTTAAACTACAGAGAAAATTTTCAAAATAAATCGATACATTGAATAATCAAGGAGTCGGACTATTTTAGGACAACTATAATTGAAGTCGATACATCGAATTTTCAGACAATTGCAACAACTATATGATTTATTCATCATAGAGCATTCTTTATGAATTAATGGTACAACAGTAACATCATTACAGAGCAGCCACCAATTACTAATATTAATTTTTTTTTTAGTATTATTTAGTTTCTTTTAGAAGCAAACATGGTTTTCGTGATTCTTATGCCATACAAACAGAAATGAGATGTTTGCTTCAGACCAACTCACCGACGCTCTCTTCATGTTCTAATGCCCTTTAGCTTAAGTTTTAACAAAACGTTCTCCCACTTCCTTAGAAAAATATGTTTTCTTTTTATTATAACTCAAAGTATGTTCAAGTTATTTTGGATTTAAAGCTAATATCTGTCAAGTCAGGAACATTAAAGTTAAAGTTTTAAAGTGATAAATACACTTTTCATATGCAAACTTATGTTATCCTCTATATAAGGATGATATAGCTTATTATCTTAACTAACGGTTTGCTCATCTTTAGAAAAATATGTTTAACTTATGTTTGGGAATCAATTAGAAAATCAATCACAAATTTAAATCACGGTTTTGACAATTCCCACCCTAGTACTATATCCTCAAACCCAAAATCAATTATGAGACTATCAATCAATCATCCGTTAAATTATTAGATTGTTTAATATGGTCTTTTCATTTTTAAGCCTAAATCAATCTAATTCTGTTACCATGTCAACTACAGTTACTAAAAAGTACTGAATTGGATAAAAATGGGAATAACCCAAGGAACAAATGAAGAAAGTAGATAAGCCTAGAAGACAATTAAAAAAAATTATTAATGATTTATTTTTTATTTAGAAATATAATATTCATTTCAGGAATTGACGAAGTGTATGACTTGACAAAGATTCGGAAAAGCGTGGCGAGCGGAGCAAGAGTGAAACGCGAAGCCTACGCCACCGTGCTCCACTCTTCTGAATCCTACGTTTGCGGGGCAATAACGCTAGCCCAAAGCCTTCTTCAAACCGGAACCAAACGCGACCTTATCCTCCTCATAGACAAATCTATCTCCGCTCCCAAGCGCCAGGCCCTCGCCGATGCGGGTTGGAAGATCCGGATCATCACCCGGATCAGGAATCCCAAAGCCGCGAATCGCACTTACAACGAGTACAACTACAGCAAGTTCCGCCTCTGGCAGCTTACCGACTACGACAAGGTCATCTTCATCGACTCCGATATCATCGTTCTGCGCAACCTCGACATCCTCTTCCACTTCCCCCAAATGTCCGCCACCGGCAACGACCAGTTCATCTTCAACTCCGGCATAATGGTCATCGAGCCTTCCAATTGTACCTTCCGTGTATTGATGGACCGCACGGACGACATCATTTCTTATAATGGAGGAGACCAGGGGTTCCTGAACGAGATCTTCGTCTGGTGGCATAGATTGCCGAGGAGGGTGAATTTCCTGAAGAATTTCTGGGCCAATACGACGTTAGAAACGAGCGTAAAGAACGGGATGTTCGGGGCAGATCCGCCGAGGCTGTATGCGATTCACTATCTAGGGATGAAGCCGTGGCATTGTTACAGGGACTATGACTGTAACTGGGATGTGGAGGATCAACGGGTGTATGCGAGCGATGTGGCTCACCGGAGGTGGTGGAGGCTCTACGATGAAATGGATGAGAAGTTGCAGAGTTACTGTAGACTGACAAGGCGACGTCGGACGGAGTTGAATTGGGAAAGGAGAAAAGCTGGAAAGAAAGGATTTCCAGATGGGCACTGGAAAATCAATGTTACAGATCCCAGACGAGCCGGCTCTCTTCTGATGGAGTAGAGTTCTCAATTTTTGTATTATGCCATCTTTGTTTTCTTTATCTTCTTCTTTTCCCGGCGCATTTATGCGTGCTTCACTTCCATTTCAATGTTACATGCTCTTCCATGCATAGTTTATTTATGTGTGAATAGTTACACCTTCAATTCCCCAATTCTTGAGTATTCCTTTCCAAACTAGATAGAACCGTTTTGTGTATTAGGCTATTAGCGTCGGGCTGAGAGAGACAATAATTTGCACTACTCTTTTCTGTATATTCTATACCGATATCAATACGCTATTCTCATTTTTTTAATAAACAAAATAGAACATGGTTATTGTTCATTTTAAGATCAAACATCTTCCATCTCCCCAGACTCTCAAATGAAAATATATTTACTGTTGTCATTTCTGTATCTCAAAATCATGTTATATAATGCTAGTAAACTATTTTATTGTGTTGTGGCTATGAAAAAAGTAAAAACAGTTGACAGGGTCCTCGCATCTTATTAAGTCTAAAATGAATTTTGCCCTTTTCTCTGTAAGAATATAAACTGTGGTGTTCATGACTTGAAGATAACAATGTTATAGATTCTCTATGTATTTAGCATTGAATATTGATACATATATATACATATAGATGGTACAATAAAATTAAAAACTGTACATGCATATACGCATAACAAGCCAGCCGAATGAAATGTAAAATAAATGTTGGCCACAAGAAGGATGAAAAGTAAATAAAAGATTAAAAAAATATGAAATGATTCTTCATTGAATTCAAGGTTTATCTATGATTTCAAACACATATATTGTGAGTCCCACGTTGAGAAATCTCATGAGTATTATGAGATTTATAAATTTGAAAAGTTTTCTTTTTTAACATGCTAGTCTTTTGGGATTGGACTCTTTTTTTGAGTTTATACTCATTATAATATAATAGAGTATGTAGCTTCTATAAACTCTATAAATTGTCACCTATGAATATGAACGTCAACATTGTAATAACGAAAATAATATCAATTTATGTATTTATATGATGTGGCTTCTAGCTAACATGAAAGAAACGTCATTAAGAATATAAAAAAACAATTTTAAAAGATCAGGCCTTATTTTTCTGTCCACAATTTTATCCTTTTTTCAATTTTTTTTCATGACAGAACTTTATAGTTGTCTTCATGCATTAATGAGCATGATGATTTGCTTTGGCTGAACACAGAAGTATATCCTACTTAAAATTACGTTCATGCTGGATAAGAGCATGCAATGCCAGAAGCAGAACTTTTTCTCTTTTTGAATTTATTACCTGTTATAGGCCCTGCAATAAAAAGCGGTCGATGATTTTTCTTTTTTTGCCTTCTTCTTATAAAAGGAGGTCATGATGACATACAACGAAACTGGTATATGGTACTTACCAAGTCTGACTGATTAGGAAGTTCAGCAGAAGTAGGATTATCATAAGAATCATATTTTCAGCAACTACCCTTAATCAGGTATATGTAAGTATATATTAACTTATTAATCAGGTGTTTTGGTTACATAATGGACATATTTTAGGGTTTAATTAATGTGAGGTGAGGGGTCAGTGTCACGTAGAGTACTAAAATCCCAGAAATTTCTGAAGCAGCAACTGCATAAAATGATTGGGTGGAATGCAAGACTCCATCAGAGAGAACAAATTGACCAGTACAGCGATGGTTGAGCAAACCCCTGCACAGGTGCACCAACCCAATCAACGAACCTTTATATTATTATTGTTGTTTGTTAGTGGTATTATTTTTTATTATTCGGTTTTAATTTTATCGCCTTATGTAAATTCAAGGGAGAATTTCACTAAACCTCATCAATAGCCAATTAATATCAGCTAACCATCAAAAAATTCTGAAATTTGCTGCACCCTCTTGACCGAATTTTTTTTTTTTGAGAAGACAAAAGCATTCTTATTTTATTTGAGTTGTAAATTATCAAATTTGTATTATAAATTGCGGAATTCTTGTGGTAAATAGCTAAATTTCTGCTGTAAATTTTATGGGTAAATAAATGAATAACTCAAATTCGGCGATTTATAATAGGAATTCGACGATTTGCAACATAAATTTGGTGATTAGCAATTCAACTAAAGTAAGGGTGTTTTTGTCTTTTTCACTCAAAAAATTTGAGGCAACGAAATGCAGTGAAATTTTAGAACTTTTTTAGATTTTTCCTAAATTGAATTGTATATTGTCAAATAAATAAATAATTCTTCTACTTGATAAGAACATTATTCAAAGTACTACCAATAGACTTATATATAGGAAATAAGTCATATGTAATTAGATAGCATTAATCATCATCATTAATCATCATTGTTCTTTCAATTCATCATTTTGTTAAAGGTTTCGCATGGTAGAGTCATGATCAAGGAAGCTACAAACAACTCCATTTTTTTCTTTTGGGTTCTTTTTATCTTAATACGTCAGGTACACCCTTCTCTTTAGGCAACTATCATAAGGAGACTTTTGGACCAGCTCGTGACATTAGTTTGTGAGTTTGACTTTATTCTCACCAACTATTATTCTCACGAACTTTTAAAAAATGGTGCAAAGATAAAACTAACCAAACAAGTGTCTGTTTCTCTCACGCGTGGTCCTACCTCGAAACATCAATGCGCGGACAAAATGCATACGTTTAATGTAGTTTGAAAAATAATTAACACTTGTGACATAAAAAATAGAAAAAAAAATTTGATTCGCATCTATTAAAAAAATTTTTTTGCCCCTTACACTTTCTTCCTTAATTTGAAGATAGTAGGAAAGTGAAGGACGAGAAAATCCTGGGAAGGGAAGTAACTCGTCTGGGCTAGTGACAGCCGGCCCATTATTTGAACTACTGGGCTTCGACTTGTAGGTTATGGGCTGCGTGGCCTTTTAATAGTTTCTGGAATGAAATAATCTTTTCAGCGTATAAGAGCCCAGTCCAATCATGGGCTGTTCATTGATGAATGAGCCGTTTGAAGTAGACGTCACGCAAACATGCGAGTACAAACACTATAATTCAACGTGGCATGTTTGATAATTGCATTATGACAATTAAACATACGACTGCGATGAATATGATTATTCTAAAGTTAATGTCCACATCAGATATTTACTTATTATCTTTTTTATTTTCATAAAAACTATCAAATCACATTAGAGTCTTCGGGCCATCAAGTAAGCGCTTTTACTCTTCTTTTTTTTTTCCCCGGGCTAAGTGCGGTGTTTCAAGGATTATTCTATTTCTTTCCTTTTCCTCTCTTCTCTCCTCTCTCTCTCTCTCTCCCTCTCTCTCTCCCTTTTAACGTAAGCTTTACTTAACCCCAACAAAAAGCGATCCATTCCAAAAGCCAAAATATAAGGGAAATAATTTGTAGTCAGGTGAGAAATTAAAAACAAAAAGGAAACCTGTGATATTATATATGTACTCAGCTTTAGCGTCGAGGGAGGCTTGTACGTGGCACTCTTGGAATGGTCAGTGATTTAGTGTCGTCACCAAGTATAACCTGAAAATTACAAAAGTGGGAGAGTCGTCCAATAGCAATTTGAGAATGGAGAAATGAAAACGCAGAGAGGTCCCATTGACATTTTTTTGAATCGACAGCAGCCGATTTGCCCCTCCCTCATGGTCCGCATCGTTCATCCACAATTTATGATCCTCTCATCTGCCAACTGGACGGTCCTTCCGCTGCCAAGTGGCCTGCGGTCCCCAGGGTGATATAAATCCACAGGGCCACAGCCGCAAGCCAAAATGACAAATGGAAGTAGGGTCTTTTCGGTCACTTAACATCCATCGAATTCAGTGGATTACGTTGTAGCAGCTATTTGGCGAATTTCCAGACATAAAAAAACAGGAAAGGTTACAATTTATTTTTTGTTTTAAAAAAAGCCAACATTTTAGAAAATTTGTTTTTGAAAAAAATTAATTATATTTACTGTTAATTATTTTACAGATAATATAAATATATAAAATTTGGCAGCTCCCATAACGTGTAATGTGACTCCCACCACTTGTACTTTTTCCCCAGAAATTAGGGGTGGCGGTGACCTTTTAAATGACCAACCTCTCGTCACCGCTCCCCCAGAGAAGGGAATTGGGGACTTTTTATTATTTATTTATTTTTGTTTCCTTTATTGGGGCCGGATTGACCAAGCATGCCAGTGAATGAACATGTTAATGCGGTGACGTGGCAATCACTGTGACCACCTACAGTTTTCTAAGGAGGCTTTTGTAATCTTACATTATATTCTGTCATTAACTTCGAGAGGGAAAAGCAAAAGGAGAAACTACCAGGTTGAATAAAAGAATAAAAGAGGGCCATCTTGGCAAGTAGAGCAGAGCTCCCAAGCTGTGATATTGCAGTCAACACAACTTTTATTTTTTTGTTTTTCCTTAATTTACCCGTGCCCCTAAATTTTCCTCTATTTTTTAAGTCCTCCTCACCTCCGAAACGTATGTGCGTGCTATTTCTCCTCATACCACAGTGAGCTTTTGGTGAGGGGGGGGGGGGAATACAGCGAGGCGCCTTTTAGAAATGAAAATATAAGTTAAATATATGGGTCCAATAACAATTAATTAACAAATTTTTTTAACTCGCACTACCAAGCCTGTAATTTTCTATGAGTTAGCCTGTCAACCTAAAAGCGAACGTGCACTTATTTTTTATTTTTAAAATTATTATAATTATGTTATTATATATTATATTATATCTAAAAATTTTTTAAAGATATCTATATAATTTATTGGATATTTTCAATCAAATATTCCATAGAAAAAACAAAAATCTCATTATATTTTTTTTGAGATATTGAATAAGAAAAAAATATTAACAGATAGAAATTTAAAAAAAAAGAGTAAATAATTGTTTGGGGTTGGGCCCCATTTTGACAGGTTAGGGTTGGTTTAAACAACCATTTCTGACCCGATCTATATGAGTCCAATTTGTTATTTCTAACTTACGAGTTGGCCCGTATTACCACCCCTAGCGCTTTTCTTACGGAATCTGAGACAGGTTATATGATTCATAGTTTATATATTACATATTCATTTTGATTCTTTACTAAGATATTATTCATTAACTTAACTATAGTTTGAGAGCTCATATAATCCCATCTTCATCATTCTTCAGGGTCAAATTAATGAAAAATGATGTTACTTTCATTCAATTTAACTAGATTGAAGCTGATCATTATTTATTAAGTACTATCAATTAGTGAACCATTTACCTTCCATTTAGAAAGGGAAAAAAATGATAGTTTTAAGATATTTGATTTATTTATGACTTCACTTTTTACACTGTTTTAAGTATGATTCTGACTTTCAGACAACAGAGTTCTTCATCATTAAAAATCCACTTCGTTTTGTTGATCTCAACGAGGGGATTCGAGTTATATATCTAACTCAATAAAAAACATCATATATAGCTATTTCTTTTTTAAGAAAATAAGCCCGTATAGATTTGGGATATAAAAAGGAAAAAAAAAAAGCTGTATAGATCTGCAAAATCTAGGGAGGGGACCGAGAAGCAATTTAGTAATCTACTCATTAGTTTTGTCTAGGATTCCCGATGGTCTGCGTTATGACTTATGACATGAATCATGATCACCGTTCATGTAAATGCGGCCGTTTTATTGCAAGCAGGATAATAATTAAAATAGGGTAGGTGGAAAATCCAACAAAATGACTGGGACCTAAGAAAATTTAAAAAGAAAATATATTTCCGGAAAATAAAAAAAAATTTCTTGACGTTGAAACTTGTAAGAGAGAATAAGCGAGCACCCAGATGGATCTCGCCTGTGTGATGAGGTAGGCTCCACTATGCGTGCACCTTCCCCGTTTTTTTCTCGCTTCTATTCTTAGCTGCAACTTTTCCACCTTAATTATTTTTGCTGAATCTAATTTCGATTTTCATGGTATTTCCGCCTCAATTTTCAGAGGTCGCTAATCTCTGCTAAGTTTCAATCGTCTTATTCGTCTCTGCTAAATCTGGGTACGTTCTTCTTTGATTTCATTTTTCCTCTTTCTTAGACTTTCCTTTCCCCTTTTCCGCGCACCTAGTTACTTCATCCTTTTTGTCTTGATGTAATCAGTGGGTTCATTCTTTGTTGTAGCTTTAAATTTGAGCTTTGGCAATTTTCCTTATTGAGGATAGTGACTCTTTTAAGTTGAATTACTGTTGACTGGAGCAGGATATAATATATTTCTCTTCTGGTCTTGTGATTGTCTGTAATTATAGAAAAGAAGACAGAGCTTGCTTGGGAGATAGTGGCTCTGCTGTAAGTGGGGGTTTCACAAAATTGTTTTTATTTCCTCCCTCGGTGTACAAATATCAGCAGAATTCCGTGATATATTTTTCCAGAAAGCACTTACTGAACCTTTATGTTGACAAGTTAAAACTGACATCTTTGCTTTGAAAAGGTTAACCAATACAGATGGTGTACGATATTGGTCTAATTTGTTTTTTTAATTAAAAAAAAGAGCTTCGTTGTAGAATTTCAGGCAATTCACTGAGAGTCCAAAACTTGTTTCAATACCGTTTTCCTTATCTCTTCGAACTGTTGGGCAGAGATGAATAGAAGAAACAACTTTATTGATATATGGAGATATTCTGTGCCTAATCCTGGGGAGCACTGATCCCTCTTATTTTTGAATTCATTCATGGCGATTTTGTATTTCTAGTTTTAGTTCTAATGGTGTTGCTGAAACATTTGGAAAATTTTTCTTGTCTATGCTTTCATTTTTCGCCGATTTCATTTATCACTTGAATTTTAGGCACTTGCTTGACACTCTGAACTGCTTTTTTGGATGGAGGATGCTGAAGAGAAGCCATCTCTCCCAGAATCATCCTCGAAAAATGCTGAACGGATGTCATTGGCGGATCTGCCGAAAGAAAATAATGAAACAATAAACTTGATTGATAATCGTTCTTATGCTGAAACTCCAATCAACTCGCTTGGTGATGGAAAGGGGGAAGCTGGGACTCATTTGCCTGTGACTGAATCTTCTAAATTATCAGCTCCACAAGATGCTTGTAAAGGTCAGACTGTAGGAAAAGATCGAAATCTTCCTGAAATTGATTCAGCCACAACCTCAATCAGTAATGGGGATAAGGAACCCAAGACTCATTTGCCAGTGAGTGAGTTCTCCAAATTAGCAACACCACGAGATGACTCTGACAGCCAAACTGTAGGACAAGATGAACCAGCTTCAACCTCAATCAGTAATGGAAGAGAGGAATCTGGGACTAATTTGCTGGTTACTAAACACTCAGAAGTTGCAGCACCACAAAATGCTTCTGATGGTCAAGCTATAGGACAAGAGGAAATTCTTCCTGTCGATGGTTCAGCATCAAAATCAAATGGTATGGTTGGCATGACTGAAAGAAGCAACAATGGGACTGTGACTGAAAATTCTAAACCAGAAGCTGTGGAGAATATTTCTGACTTGCAGGAATCCCAAGATGGCTGTTTGACTGTCTCTGTTGACACTGATGTCGATAATCAGATTATCCACTCTGCTCCTGCTACTGTTCATGCTGTGCAGCCCAATGCTAAAAGAGGCCTTATCGATACAGCAGCCCCCTTTGAATCTGTCAAGGAAGCTGTCTCTAAGTTTGGAGGGATTGTGGATTGGAAGGCTCATAGAATCCAGACTGTGGAGGTATGTCTGTTGCTCTGTTTTTTACCATTATTTGCATGTTTTCCATGATCAATTGCCTTAATAAGTTTCCTTTAATTGCATGTTTTGCATTAAAATTCATTTACCAATACTATTTCTGCCTTATCAGGTAAATAATCTTTTGACCGTTTTACTTACTTTTTCTAAGAAAAATCCTAGCATCCATTACAAGGTATCTAAAAGCCAAATGCCTTACTATGGCAGCAAAATTATTTTCATAGTTGTCCGACACCATTTTGATTATTAGCCTCAGTTGTGATGGTTAAATGAATGCTGGGGATTGTCACTTTGATGCCTCATTTCTAGGGGAATTAATTGTTTATGCTCCTGATTGTATACAGCCAGTAAATACTTCGGATTCAATTAGTGACAATAGCAGTGTTTGCTACTATATATGTGTGCTCTGCAATTTGCATTATGATTTCCTTGTTTATCAAGTAAATTTGGACAACATCACAACAACTGAGTTGTAGTGTGTATGTCTTTCTTTTTTCTCTTCTGGGCATGTTTTATCCATGTTTGCCAAGTTGTTACTTCTGATGTCTAGCACCGGTTTTGTTTGCATAGTCAGATGGAAATATTTAGGATATCCCACTCTTTACCAGAAATAGCCTCTTTGCCTCCCAGAGCCCCTATTAAATTATTTTAGTTTTGAATATACAGAGACGCAAGCTTGTCGAACAAGAACTTGAAAAGGCTTATGAGGAGATCCCTGAGCTCAGACAACAGTCAGAGGCTGCTGAAAAGGGAAAAACAGAAGTACTGATGGAGTTGGACAGGGCTAAGAGACTAATAGAAGAACTAAAACTCAACCTAGAGAGGGCACAGACAGAAGAGCATCAGGCACGACAAGATTCAGAACTTGCAAAACTTAGAGTGGAAGAGATGGAGCAGGGTATTGCAGATGAATCTAGCATTGCAGCCAAGGCACAACTTGAGGTTGCTAAAGCTAGGCATGCAGCTGCTGTTTCAGACCTACAATCAGTCAAAGAGGAGCTGGATGTGCTGCATAAGGAATATGCTTCCTTAGTGACTGAAAAGGATGTGGCTATTAAGAAGGCTGAAGAGGCTGTTGCTGAATCCAAGGAAGTAGAGAAGACGGTGGAGGATTTGACTATTGAGCTGATCGCTACAAAGGAGTCATTGGAGTCTGCTCATGCAGCACACTTGGAAGCAGAGGAACAAAGAATAGGAACAGTCATGGCAAGGGATCAAGATTCTCTCAACTGGGAAAAAGAACTCAAACAGGCAGAAGAGGAACTCCAGAGACTAAACCAGCAAATTTTGTCCACCAAGGATCTGAAATCTAAACTGGACACTGCCTCAGCTTTGCTTCTTGATTTGAAAGCTGAATTAGCTGCATATATGGAAACTCAATTAAAGCAGGAAGGCAGTGAAGAAGGAATATCAAAAGGAGACCTAGAAGAACCAGAGAAGAAGAATCACAATGAAATACAAGTAGCAGTAGCATCAGCGAAAAAGGAACTCGAGGAAGTAAAGCTCAACATAGAGAAAGCAACTGCTGAGACTAATTGCTTGAAAGTGGCTGCCTCATCATTAAAATCAGAACTTGAACAAGGGAAGTCAGATCTTGCGAACATTGGGCAAAGAGAGGGGATGGCCTCCATTGCAGTTGCGTCTCTCAAGGCTGAACTGGACAATACTAGATCAGAAATAGCTTTGACCCAGATGAAAGAGAAGGAAGCCAGGGAGAGAATGATTGAGCTGCCCAAAAAACTACAACAAGCAGCTGAAGAAGCTAATCAGGCCAACTTGCTTGCCCAAGCAGCTCGTGAAGAGCTTCGGAAGGTGAAGGAGGAGGCGGAACAAGCTAAAGCTGGAGCAACTACCATGGAAAGTAGATTACTTGCAGCTCAAAAGGAGATAGAGGCTGCTAGGGCTTCTGAAAGGTTGGCAATAGCAGCGATTAAAGCATTGCAAGAGAGTGAATCAACTAGAACCAGCAACGAATCAGATTCAGTTTCTGGCGTGACACTCTCTCTAGAAGAGTACTATGAGCTTAGCAGAAGGGCCCAGGAAGCAGAAGGGCAAGCCAATGTGTGGATTGCAGATGCTAATTCTCAAATTGCGATAGCTAGGGAGTCTGAATTGAAAACCTTGGAAAAATTGGATGAAGCTAATAAGGAGATGCTTGCCGGAAGGGAATCTTTGAAGATAGCAATGGGTAAAGCTGAGAAAGCAAAGGAAGGGAAATTAGGTGCAGAACAAGAATTAAGAAAGTGGAGGGCTGAGCATGAGCAACGAAGAAAGGCTGGTGAAATTGACCAGGGAGTAGTGAACCAGAATAAAAGCCCAAGAGCTAGTATGGAGGGCAATAAGGGAGCAAATAACCTGCACCGAGCTCCCAGTTCAGATAATTCTGGACATTACTTGCCAAGCCCAAATGATTTTGCGCATGAAAACAGCGCTGAAAATGGATCATTCCCAGACGCAGGAGCTGGAAAGAAGAAAAAGAAATCAATTTTCCCACGTGTTTTAATGCTCTTTGCCAGGAAGAGATCAAATGCGACCAAGTCAGGGTAATCCCTAATTGAAATCTTGCGGGGTCACCCTGCAGTTATTTTGCCTATCATCCTTCTGGAGATCTTGAAGCCCCCTAGAACTGCTCAGACTAATCAAATTATGTTGAACCTGTATATTTTGGATGATTATTGTATGTATGGTTGATTGGTTTATACTGTGTCTTGGTAAAAGGATCTACGAGTGGTCGCTTGGTTGGTTCTTTATAAGGATAAGTTCGCCATTCTTGGTGAAAAAGAGAGAATAAGACGGATCTGATTTGTGTATAGGCCCCTTTTGATACGCTGAAATATGCTTTTTGTAAAGCTGTGTGAGATTTGATGAAGTGAAAGAGGTTTTCTTTTGCAGTGGCTGGTCTAGAAATTGGAGGTCATTTATTTCCGAATCCAATTTTCTTTCAATGTCATGATGTGTGCATATTGGAAAACCGTCAAACTGATAAAGTGAGAGGGATGTGAATTCTGAGATTATCTTCGATTGCAAGAACCATAGAAGTTTTTATTCTATTGTCTGTATCACTTTGATATTATACTTTTGGTGAATGTATTAAAGACCACGTTTTTTTATAGGCACAGGTAATTAAAAACCTTGTTATTGTTATACAATTCACCATTCGTCTGTATACTAGTAGTTGACTGGCTGTAGAGGAAATAATTTCTTTCATAATTTAATCAATTCGTGATGTTACACAGCAGAGAAGAGCACCCCTTAACTAGAGCTGCCAAGGGTCTGAACAATAGTTTTGTGCCATGGATTGGAAAGATGTGCCACGAGGTTATCAATTGGTCCAACATGAGTCACTGAAGCTTGCACAAAGATTCCAAGCATTGCGACCATAGCAAGTCTCCCTGAAAGCACGAGAGTCACCAGTATGGAATTAAGCCTCCACGTGTATGTTAAATTGGGAAGGGAAACAAAAAAAAAAAAAGGATCAATCTAAAAACATGCATATGCAAATTGTGAGAAGCATACCGTTCTTGATCTCTTTAAGTTTCAATTCGTGAGCGTTCTTTATATCTTTAGCTAGGCCAAGAGGATTTAGCAAAGGACCTCCAGGGTACCTGGTTTTTTGAAACATAAACCATCAACCTTATGTCCACCATGGTAAGTACAAAGGAGGCCTAATTCATGCTCAGTACAATCAGTAAAGAACAAATCGACGGAATCAAAATTGAAAAAGAGATGATTAGATAAAGATGGATAAGAAGTTTTAGTTCATCAAGTATACCCTGGTTCTAGACCTTCAAATGCAGCTTCCAGTCCAAAGAAGGATCCCTCTTTAGCTTGAGATCCTGGACTAACGAAATCCATGTACCTTTTTGTTTCAACAAAGCTGCGCAGGAAAAGATGACTAATTGATGCATTATCCGAAACAGGAAAAACATACAAGAGTTCCCTCTCTTTTTCTCGCCTAAGTTGTCAGCGAATAAAATTCTACCCCATCAAAAATAGCTGGATAATGAGCAGAGTCTTAGCATCAGCAAAATATTTTTCTGCACCGGCCTCATACCAAACTGGTATCGTTTTAAGTCCTGCGAAGCGAAGCGTCTGCACAACAGTGTTAGAGATCGCAGGAAGAACATAAAATCACCGTTGCAACTAAAGGTAGAGCGCAAGAATTTGAAAATAAATGATTAAATTAAATTATGAATCCTTTCAAAGCATAAGGATTACAGATTAATGCCAAAACCCAAAAGGAAAAATGAAAGTTGGAGTGATATGACTCACATCTGTGAGCAGAATTCCAGAGACCCCAATCATTGCAAAGCGAGCATGAACCAGCTCTGCTTGCACATACCACCTCAAGCTTGCCGGGTCTTCTCCAAGTCCCAGTGGATCGAACCCAAAATCTCCAGCCAGACTGTAAAACTTACCGTGGTGTTACATTGAATTCAAATCACGTGGAAGCAGATTTTGGAGAAGATGATGAATTACAAGTAGAAGCGATAAAGCAGAAGGTTGAAGGGCTCACGTTCCATCAAGATAAGGGGGAGGATCGAGTCCTGGGAGCCACGTAGGTCGTTGTTGAGCTGCAATACAAGTTCGCCTACAAGGCCTTGTAATCTCTGCACCAGCATGCCTGAGCCACGAGGATGTGCCGCCTGCTGGAGATTTATTAATGCTCGCGTTTTTCAATAAAGAGCATGGCTGCAAAGGGAAGCTTCCTCCAGTTGCTAAGGCCATTCTTCTTTATCTTCTCTCGTACTCAGGGACGTCAAATTGAGGACTCAGAATTTCCACTTTCACCACCACAGATACCACATCATCATAGGCACTGTTTGTATCGGTTGAAAGAACATACAAGGAAAAAACGTGGCCCCACTTATCCATGGACATTGGACAAAAGGATAAGAAATGTCTGTTTCTGAGGCCTGGTCTCCTGGACGCCACCATACCAACTCCTTAGCGCCTAACTCTTCAGAAATGAGATCCGACTATACGGGATTCAAGATTATAATAAAGCCAGTTGTTACAACATATTCCGTGATCAACATATTGCGATTGACATTCGATTCCTCACTTATTTGCACACTCATTTTTCACACCTAACGAGATTAGAAATAACGAAAAGGAAAGATCCGAGCAGAAACAAAGGAGATGACTGATATTCCAAGCTTTCAGGTCCAACATTACAAATTAACAGAACTGAGAATGAATACACCGGTACAACTTGACAACTACATCTAATTTCCCATTCAAACAGACATCATACATACAATTGCGAAGTGCAAAATAAAACGTTTAGAAAACTCTAGAATGTTTATGTCGCTACTTAAGCAGTTATGCTACGAAAAAGCTGACTAAAAATAAAACGCGTATCAAGGGTATCATCGCCTGCTGGATATGCTGAGTGAGCTAACTTTCATTGGGGTCGCAATAACCAATGGAGCCTCAGGAGAATCAGTGACCGCAAATTTGTCATGCATGAAACGGCTATCAACAATGGAATCTTCCTTGAGGATAATCTTATAGCAATAACAGCTCTTAAGACCCTGCTGATTACGGTAGCATTCATGAGAACCGTCCTTCACCTGTTGGAAGTTCCATATCACACTGAACTTCCCCACTGTGGCCACTATATGGCGCTCCTGCTTTCCATTCTCTGTGACCTGAATAACCAGTGAGATGGAATGCATCAGTACATGTGAACATGATCATAGAAATCCAACTGACATAATAAAATTCTACACCTGCGTCTCAATTTTCAAAAGTTTAACTGGAGCAAGTCAGGAGTCATTTTTTTCTCAACGCCAAAAGGATAAGCACAGAAGCAATTTCTAACGATTGGAAGCAAGCTATTATCTCTTGAAAATAAAACCACGCAACTTGATTGGCCAAGTGGAAGCATATTAGAAGTAGATTACTTCATTGAAAATGATCTAAATCCCGGTCAGACTAGCTTATCTGCTAATGAAAGTAAGCATGCGATAGAATTCCCAATTTCATGGAAGTTTCTATATAACTCCCATAGCGAAACAAGCATACAAAAAGTTGCATGCAAGGGCCTTGGCCCTAGCCAGTGCAACATCCACAAATGTAGCATAATTTCAATTGACTAAGCAGTTTCCATAAACATCGGCATTAGTATATCTAAACTTTTCCATGGACCAGTTAAAAATTCGAAGACGCAAGGCAACTCTGAGAGACAGTTGGACATGAAACACTAGTTGGCATTTCGAATTCAAGAAACACAAGACGGCAATTCAAGATTGAAGAATTTAATATTCCCAACACGGTATATATTATATCATAACTGAGCAATAACAGAAAAATACTTTGTCCTTACCCATGAAAACTGAGCATTGCGGAACTTATTATTTGTTCCAGCTAAATGTGAATCCAGAGGAGTCAGCTTCAGCAACCTTGGAGCGGCGATCCTATTTCCCATGCGTCCGCTGAAACCAGTTTTTGTCTTCCCGTCTTTGTCAGTGAAAAGAGTACAAATAAGGACCAAGTAGGTGTCAGTAGTACCCACAACCCACTTCCCATCGAACGTTACATCCACATGTGTAATGGGTGAGCCAAGGCCAGGAAAAGCTGTTTTGGCTTGTCTCATTGAATTGATTGAATACAAACGGATCTTCCCATCAAGAGATCCTACAACTATGGAACCATCACCAGTAGTGGCAAAGCATTGAAAGTTGGTCCCCCGTGAGAACTGATGCCCCTGGGTCCAATTTAAAACAGGAGTATTAGAGTTAGCCAGATCCTGAACAACTCCATGGCGGTCACGCATATCCCACCTACAAAGCCTATTGTCATCCAATCCTAGAAAAGTAGATCCTGAAGGATCCAACTGAGCTCCCTTGCTATCATTGACGATATCTCTCATTGTAATGTCAACCCCGTCCTTTCCAAACTGCCACTGTGTCACAATTTTCCCAGTTTCAATATCAAGCTGGTGAAGGTTGGTTGAATGAAGCTTCCCAGCTCCAACTGGATTCATGAGGAGCATGTTAGTCTCGGCCTTCATCAGAAGAGTCTTTTTGGGCGTAGCATGTACCAAAGATGAACCGTTACTTTTATATCCACTGCCAAAATTCACAAAAGCACCTTTTCCATGAATTCCATGAGAAAAATTCTTCACAACCTGAATGCCAGAATCACCAACCAAAAAACTGTTGTCCAACGCACCCAACGCCAAGCTCTGTATCCCACTGTTTGCTGCTTCCTCAAACTCCTCCATCAAGTCTTGGTTTGCTCTTGTTGGCGTTGGCGTTGCAGAACCAGGGCTTTTGGAAAGGCTATCCTCGGCATCCTCCCACATAGAATCGTCAGCAGCCTCTGGTTTGGCCCATCCAATAAAATCCTTGCCGTAAATCTTAAGCTTGCTTTCTTCCGTTGCCTCAACACCATACGTGTTCTCAAACAAACAGTTCTCGAACTGAACGACAAACGCCTTATAATCTTCTTCAGAAAAGAATTTCATAGCCCAAACGCCCCGAGCAACGAAGTCAGCGCGACGCTGGTCCCCAAAAGTTTTCAATTGCATCTCGGTATCCACCTTCGCTCGAATTTTTGAACCGACCTTCAAAACCCACCATGACTCTCCTGCCTCGTCACCTTCATCTTCATCAATACCTCCATCACCATCGTCAACTCGGGAGGTCCTAACAAAATTGTAAGTAGTGAGTTTTTCAGAAGTTACCCATTTAGCCTTCGGGGTGGTTCCACCGACATGAAGGTAGAGCTTCACGGCATGCTTTAGATTAGGATTCTGAGAAGATGAGTATTTGAGCTTCAAGGCCTTAAGCTTCGCCTCCACGTCATCGAGTGATGACGGAGTGCCTATTCTCCGGTCCGCAGAATTTTTGTGCTCTTCTTCGGCATCGTGGTAGCTTGCTTCTCCATCGCTGTGGTTCGGAGAATAACTGTCTTCGTCAGAATCGGAAATTTCTAAATCTTCACGGCTGTGAGACCCACCCATGCTTGCTGCTTTGGATTGATAAGTGAAGGATTGGAAGATCCGAAAGATGGGATCTCAGGATTGCTGGATTGGAGAGAGAAGTTGCAGAAGGGGTTGAGCGCGAGTTCGAAATTTGAAATCGGCGAATTTTGAAATGGGACAATAGGAGAGTAGGAAAGTAGGAAACCCCATACGGATTCACCGGCTCCGCGGCATGCCCGATTGGTTGCTCGCGGCCCACCCGGATCACCCCAAACGATCCAATGGCTTTCCAGTGACGGGTTCAGTGAAAATGATATCGATTCTGTTCACATCCCTCACAAATCATCTGTACAAAGAAATCCAATGGATCATGATTATGCTCGTTCCTTGAGTGCTATTTATTGCTATTTATTAGGTAATTTTGTGGAAGCAATTTAAATGCAATCTAAAATTAGTATGTTGCAGCAATTTTAGGTCGCAATTGCAGCTTGATTATTTTTAATTAGGACTTAGATCTTCTAATTATGGTCCTAACATTTCTTTTTTTTTTTTTGATACAAATGGTCCTAACATTTCTTGAAGCTTAGCTATGCCTTTTTTTTTGTTTTTTTTGCCAATGCATTTTTTTTGTTATGTAGTGTTTTGACTTTTGAATTCATTATTAACTTTAGATAAGATGATAAAAATCAATTCATAATAATGGTTTCACGGGTTGCTTTCATCGTGCTTTTAACATTGTAATAAAATTTTCTTAATATCCTTGAATGAAGCTATTAAAAAAAAAAGAAAAAGAAACACAAGCTCACATTTGTCACATAGGTCGCTTTTTAAATTTACGAGTTAAATTTTTTGCTGAATTTACAAGTTAATTGCTTTTAAAATTATGACAAGGTGTTCTCAATATATTATAATATTTGCATTCATGATTTTTCATAATTAACTCGTATCTGTTAATACCACTTCTTGTTTTTAATATAAGATCTAATTTATAGTTTAAATTGAATTATAAATTCGGTCTTATATTAAAAATTTGTGGTAGTATTAACTAGTTATTGGTACTGTTTAATTTGCACTTCACAAAATTATCATATTTGCTTTTTTTAATTTATTAAGCAAACAATTGACCAAAAAAAGTAAAAATTAATCCAGAAGTCCATATAGTTTTACCATATGTTTAATAATTTTTTATGGTTTCACCTGTTTTTAATCAAGTTTATGTTTTTTTAATTAAATCTTTATAGTCTTACCTAATATAATTTTTAATCAAAACTTTGTAATTCCAAGTGACCTAATACAAAAATGATAACGATCTTACTGAAAATCAAATAAAACTGTAAGAACTTTTGTGTGTATTTATATACGTGCATAAAGGCATGATTATAAGTAAGTGAAACTATACATAAAAATTATTGAAAATTAGGTAGAATTATAGGGTTTTGAAGATTACTTTTTTTAATTAAACATAATTCCCTTTTTACTTCACTTCTGTGCCCGTCTCATCCGCTTCTCCGTTCATAATTAACATGAAAAGAATATCGGATGTCCCCGAAGGAACAACGAAAAGAACATTAAAGAGATGGACAAGTCAAAAGCATTGACAAGCGCAATGACGCCAATGGACATAGTAACTAATATGGCCAATCGTTTTTCATGCGCAGCCATAAGAAAATTTTTTATTTCATGCTTATATTAATGGAAAATCGACATATTATTGTTATTCCCATCAATTTGATTATTGGAGAGGGCCGTTATATTATGGCAGTAGTAGTGGAGTTCCCACACGGCGAAGTCTTGTCCACTGGTGGCGAGCACTGCGTTTTGAGGAAGAAGGTTCTTGAGATCACCGTTGGGTCCAATCTTGACGACGACTTCTGGTCTATCTCAGCCATGTACAGATCAGCATCGGCTGCCAGAATGCTGACGCTGCTCGTTGGGTTTATCCCATTCCTCTTCCTTATGTCCGTCAAATTCTTTATGGGCGCTCGCTGTTCTACCCAATCGATGTAGTGATCGTAGAACTGCACACGCAGCATAACACAGTAAGCATCTGTATTCTTCCGAAACAAGTAATTAAAACTACAGAAAAAGAGGGTACGTACAATTGTGGGATGGCCTGGGTGAGTAAATATGTACGCGTATCCAAGCGTGACTTTGTCCTGCGGGAAGGGCCAGGTTTTCTGGGACCAGGTGTCGTGGTTGTCGACGAAGGTGACGGCGTTGGATGGCTTGGTTCCGATCATCCCCGGTGGCTTCCCGTTCGCGTCCTTCATCCTCCAGAGTTCACCTTGTACGGCGGCTCCCAGCACCATTTTGGTTGTGAAGTCGAACGTTGTGACGGCGCCACCAGCGTCTCGCACCCACTGCACCAGTCTAGCACGATGCGGATCTTGGTTCGCCAAGGGTCTTCCGTCTGAGCCCATGGTCACGCTCTCAAAAAGCTCTCCCACAGCGAATTCCGGTTTGGTCTGGTCCATGTAGATTTTTGTGAACCTCGGGGCGTAGCCTAACACCATGTCGAACCTCCATCCTACGAATCCAACGTCCGACTTCAACCAGTTCATCCAGTCAGAGAGCTCTCGCTGCACCCTGGGGTTGGTGTGGTCGACGTCTGGTGCGTCCCCCCAGTCCATGCCGGTGTCGGGATTTCCGGCGCCCTTAAACCGTGTATCTGTGGAGCAGATTTCCGACACATTCCAGTCGAGACGGTCGTCGGGAGTACCGCCTTCGAAGATGCTAAGTCCTCTCTCGTCCAGTCTCTCTGCAGTTCTGTGGTTGATGACTATGTCGGCTATACATTTCACTCCCCTGTCGCGAAATGCCGCTATCAGTGACTTCAATTCCTCCTTGTTACCGTATTTTGAGGTGTCAAGATCATATAATCTTTTCGGCAAGTATCCTGCACGTTGAATGCAAATATATGTGTGTGTGTGTGTGTATATTTTAAAATAAACAAAAATTCACAACAAAGTCGCTGCACGAACCGAAAAGAGTTACAAGTATTGTAAGACTCCCAACCTTGAGGACCATCAGGGTGAGAGTTGGAGGGAGGAGGAAGCCAGACATATTCGACTCCAAGATCTGCAATTAAAGGCACCTGGGTCTTGAGATAGTTGTAAAATCCTCCTGCTTTCTCAAGGGATGCCCAGTTGAAGCCCTACAGGTGCACACCGAACGTGTTAAACTCATTTGTATGGGTGTCTGTATTAAGAGTGAAGGATGAGTGATCAAGGAAATGAATATATGGGGTGATACGTACGTACCTGGAACAGTATGGTAGAAGAGGAGAAGAAAGGGAGAAGTGAAATGCAGAGGAAGGCGAAACAGAAAGAAGCGAGAGACTTCATGTTTCTCATTAGATGTTGTGGCCTGCTGAGGATGAGGCTGATTCTGAGACATCTTATAGGCATCAACCGCGGCGCCTATCTTCTTTGAAATTTCAAAGGACGTATGTGTGTCCTCTCATGTACTGTTAGGCATGAAATATGAGATCACTTCAGTACGCGGAAAACAATAACTTTCAAGCTTTGACCAGAAAACTAAATATTTCCTACGCTCCACGGCAAGCATTCCATAAAAATGTTTAATTAAGAGTTCATGGCCTTCTCATTGATGCCTTTTTATATTAAAGTAAAAATCTAAAAATGTACCTTTTTCAATCTATAATCTGTCTATATCATACTATTATTCATTAATTATGAACGCAGAGGCCTACTTAAGATTAACTCTGTACATATAAAACATACATAATCTCACGATTTGATTTTAGCAAGTGTTTTGGATAACTCCCTAACTTAAAATAAGCAATCTAAACAAATATACTAATATAACAGCCACATGGAGATTAGATATAAGACTTAATCTATTCTGTCTCTCAAATTTATAATAATGATCTCTCCAAAATATTTCCAAGATCGCAAAGGTCTCCACGACCAAAGGGTAGTTACAATGTACATGATTAAAAAAAATAGCTTAGAAAAATCGATACATATTTGTTACAATTAACTAACTTAATTAATTTTTTTAATCTCACCAGATTAATTATCTGGCTCTCATATTAATCACCAAAGGTAACATATCTTAACCATGTTCCATTAAAGTGTCATTAATTTGAATTAAGAAACATGCATTTCTATATGTCTTCACATTCCTACATGTTGCACAAAATTAGAAATTTAAAAAGGTCTGTACTTAATTTCAAAATAAAAATTTCATTAAAATCTATTTAACACACATAATAAAACAATAAATCAACGGACGTAACTAAAAAAATAATTAATAAATCCATGGAGAAAATAATGACTATATTATATTTTTAAAATAATAAAAGCTAAAATATTTAAACAATAATTTTACAAAATAATTATAAACACTGTAAAAATATTTCGTAATAGAAAGGACCTTTTCTTTTTTTGCGTTTGCGGCGGCGATGCGTTTGTGGGGATGAGAAGGACCAATTAGTTTACAAGAATAACAATTTGAATTATGTTTATTATAATACTTCCGTTCTTAAATATAAGAATTAATTTATAATTTAATTTATACTACAAACTAATTTTTATATTTAGTACCAGAGATTGTTGTCGTGGCACCTAAAATATAAGTCACATGCTCTTTATACCATGAAATATTCTTTCTGGAATGCCCCTCATTAATATTGTTGAACCAAACACTAAGCATGGGTTTTCAATTATTAACCATCCTTTAGCTTCCCCAAAACTCTCCATTAATTAAGGGCAAACAATATTAAAAAAACATGTTTTTATTATAAATTTAGTTAGTTTAATTAATCAAGTTTAATTGATTTTATCGGTTTCGTATGAGATAAATATCAGTGCCTTTTATATAGTTATATTTAAGGATGCGAGAAGCAACTGTGCTACCTTGTCTTTCTAATTAAACAGTGACAACTTGAATGAACGCGGAAATGGATAAGAACTCTCCTTTCATTTTTCTCCCTCAGTGATAAATCATCTCCAGGAGATGAACAGAGAAAGCTGTAGAATTGAAATTTTTTTAGGCGGCTGTGGGTAGCTAGCTGGCTACGACCCACAACGAAGAAACAATAGTTATCCAAACGACGAGTGCGTAGAGATGAACAAATGGCGTGAAATCATGGAGTGATTGAGGGAGAGGATGGCAAAAGTCAAGTCATTGTGCCTCCCAATATATCTTCTTCCATTTATATTCATCTGTTCTTTCTTCATAAGTTAGGCTTGCGGCTTGCCTGCACTGGAAAAGTCAGGATCTACATAATGAAGCGTTGAATGAACATGCTTGCATGCTAGGAACCATCCCTTCTTCAAAAAGATATCAAGTAAATAGGATAGCTAATCTTATATATGCCATATGGGTACGTCCATTACTTATGATCATGTTTTAAGATAATTAACCTAATCAATTACGCCTATACGGACTATGTAATTTGCACTCATAGTGTCCACCAGGATTTTCTGTGGGCGTTATTAGCATTTGCATTGCATCTACGGTCAGAAAGCATGCAATAGATGAAGCTATATAAGGTAGACCCTGTAGTTCTGTACACAATAAACGCAAGGAATATGATGCAGTGCGTGGGAAAGATTCCCTCCTTTTCTCCTTCGATATCTTATCTTTTATAAAATTATATATTATCAAAATGTTAAATTATAAAATGAGAAATAAATAACTAAATTCAAACAGCTAAAGTTTGACACGAACAGGTTAAAAACGTATTAAAGAAAATAAAAAATTATTTTATAAGAAACTAAAACACAAACACACAGCGTAGTCTTGGCCGGAGGCAGAGAGTCGGAAATTAAAAGGAACAACACCTCCAGGATCCATCTTTGACCCAATCTTCGTTATCACCTTCTCATCTATCTCTGCCATGTAAAGCTCAGCTTCAGCTGCTAAGAACTTTGTGTGTGTGTGTGTGTGTTTATATACATGTATAAAGACATGATTATAAGTAAGTGAAACTATACATAAAAATTATTGAAAATTAGGTAAAATTATAGGGTTTTGAAGATTAGCTTTTTTAATTAAACGTAATTCCTTTCTTACTTCTCTTCTGTGCCTGTCTTATCCGCTTCTCCGTTCATAATTAACATGAAAAGAATATCGGATGTCCCCGAAGGGACAACGACAAGAACATAAAAGAAATGGACAAAGCAAAAGCGTTGACAAGTACAGTGACACCAATGGACATAGTAACTCATATGGCTAATCGTTTTTCATACGCAGATATAAGAAATTTATTTATTTCACTCTTACATTAATGGAAAATCGACATATTATTGTTACTCGCCATCAATTTTATTATCGGAGAGGGCCGTTATATTATGGCAGTAGTCAGTGGAGTTCCCACACGGCGAAGTCTTGTCCACTGGTAGCGAGCACCGCGTTTTGAGGAAGAAGGTTCTTGAGATCACCGTTGGGTCCAATCTTGACGACGACCTTCTGGTCTATCTCAGCCATGTACAGATCAGCATCGGCTGCCAGAATGCTGACGCTGCTCGTTGGGTTTATCCCATTCCTCTTCCTTATGTCCGTCAAATTCTTTATGGGCGCTCGCTGTTCTACCCAATCGATGTAGTGATCGTAGAACTGCACACGTACGCATCACAACACAGTAAGTATCTGTATTCTTCTGAGACAACTAATTAAAACTACAGAAAAAATAGGGTACGTACAACGGTGGGATGGCCCGGGTGAGTAAGTATGTATGCGTATCCCTGCATGACTTTGTCATCAGGGAATGGCCATTTTTTCTGAGTGGAACCTGTGTCATGATTTTCAATGAACGTCACCGCATTTTCTGGCTTTCTCCCGATCATTCCCGGCGGCTTCCCGTTCGAATCCTTCAACCTCCATAGCTCCCCTTGTACGGCGGCTTGAAGGATCCCTTTCGTCGTGAAATCAAAGGCGGTGACAGCACCGCCGGCCTGTTCCACCCAATTCACCAGCGCATCCCGATGAGCGTCTTGATTATTCTGAGGCTTCCCGTCCTGTCCATAAGACAGAGAGTCCCATTTTTCCCCGACGGCAAAGTCTGGGGAGGTTCGTTGCATGTAAACCTTGGTAATATCGGCGGCATAGCCCTTTACGAAATCGAATCTCCATCCGTCGAATCCTACCTCGGTCTTCAACCAATTCATCCAATCTGAAAGCTCTGACTGAACCTGAGGATTGAGATGGTCGATGTCCGGTGCGGCGTCGTATGGCTCTCCGCTGTCAGGATTTCCGGTGCCGTCAGAATAAGCAGTGTCGTCTTTGCAAATGAAAGATGGGCCCCAATCGAGACGTGAATCAGGAGTGCCACCTTCGAAGATGCTAAGTCCTCTCTCGTCCAGCCTCTCTGCAGTCCTGTGGTTGATGACTATGTCGGCTATGCATTTCACTCCCCTGTCGCGAAATGCCGCTATCAGTGACTTCAATTCCTCCTTGTTACCGTATTTCGAGGTGTCAAGATCATATAATCTTTTCGGCAGGTAGCCTGCACGTTGAATGCAAATGCGCGCGCACACACACACACACACATATTAAAATAAACAAAAATTCACAACAAAGTCGCTGCACGAACTGAAAAGAGTTACAAGTATTGTAAGACTCCCAACCTTGAGGACCATCAGGGTGAGAGTTGGAGGGAGGAGGAAGCCAGACATATTCGACTCCAAGATCTGCAATTAAAGGCACCTGGGTCTTGAGATAGTTGTAAAATCCTCCTGCTTTCTCAAGGGATACCCAGTTGAAACCCTACAGGTACACAGCGAATGTGTTAAACTCATTTGTTTGTGTGTGTGTATTAAGAGTGAAGGATGAGTGATCAAGGAAATGAATACATGGGGTGATACGTACGTACCTGGAACAGTATGGTAGAAGAGGAGAAGAAAGGGAGAAGCGAAATGCAGAGGAAGGCGAAACAGAAAGAAGCGAGAGATTTCATGTTTCTTATTAGATGTTGTGGCCTGGTGAGGACGAGGCTGATTCTGAGACGCCTTATAGGCATCAACCACGGCGCCTATCTTCCTTGAAAATTCAAATGACGTATGTGTGTCCTCTTATGAGATTACGTCAATACGCGGAAAACAATAACTTTCAAGCTTTGACCAAAGCACTAAATATTTCCTACGCTCTGCGGCAAGCATTCCATAAAAATGGTCAATTAAAATAAAAATTTAAAAATATTCCTTTTTCAATCTATAATCTGTCTATATTATACTGTTATTCATTAATTATGAACGCGGAGTTCCACTTAAGATTAACTGCATGTGTGTATATAAAACATATATAATCTCACGATTTGATTTTAGCAAGTGTTTTAGATAACTCTCTAAATTAAAATAAGTAATCTAAAAAAATATACTAGTTCCGATCCTTAATATAACCAAGGAACAAAAATATACCAGTCCGGTCCTTAGTATCAGAGATTGTTGTTTTTGGAATGTTTTGGGCTTTTGGCAATCAACCTAAAATATAAGTCACATGCTCTTTATACCACGAAATATATTCTTTCTGGATTGCCCCTCATTAATATTGTTGAACCAAAAACTAAGCACGGGTTTTCAATTAATTACCATCCTTTAGCTTTCCCAAAACTCTCCATTAATTAAGGGCAAACAATATTAAAAAAAATTTATTATTAATTTAGTTAGTTTAATTAACCAAGTTTAATTGATTTTATCGATTTTGTATGAGATAAATATCAGCGTCTTTTATATAGTTATATTTAAGGATGGGAGAAGCAACTTGTAAAAGGTGCTTGCTACCTTTCTTACAACTTGAATGAACGCGGAAATGGATAAGAACTCTCCTTTCATTTTTCTCCCTCAATGATGAATCATCTCCAGGAGATGAACAGAGAAAGCTGTAGAATTGAAATTGTTTGAGGCGGCTGCGGCTAGCTGGCTGGCTACGACCCACAACGAAGAAACAATAGTTATCCAAACGACGAGTGCGTAGAGATGAACAAATGGCGTGAAATCATGGAGTGATTGAGGGAGAGGATGGCAAAAGTCAAGTCATTGTGCTCCCAATATATCTTCTTCTTCCCTTTATGTTCATCTATTTTGCAGCCCTGTTCTTTCTTCATAGGTTAGGCTTGCCTCCACTAGAAAAGTCAATGAAGCGTTGAATGAACATGCATGCATGCCAGGAACCATCCCTTCTTCAAAAAGATATTAAGTAAATAGGGAATGGTGTTCCAGGATGAGTTAGAATGTACGCGAATCCCTGCATGACTTTGTCTGAAGGGAATGGCCACAGTTTCTAAGTGGAACCTGTGTCATGATTGTCAGTGAACGTCACCGCATTTTCTGGCTTTCTCCCGATCATTCCCAGCGTCTTCCCTTTCGAATCCTTCAACCTCCATAGCTCCCCTTGTACGGCGGCTTGAAGGATCCCTTTGGTCGTGAAATCAAAGGCGGTGACAGCACCGTCGGCCTGTTCCACCCAATTCACCAGCACATCCCGATAAGCGTCTTGATTAATCTGAGGCTTCCCGTCCTGCCCATAAGACAGAGGGTCCCATTTTTCCCTGACGGCAAAGTCTAGCGAGGTTCGTTGCATGTAAATCTTGTAATATTGGGGGCATAGCCCTTTACGAAATCAAATCTCCATCCGTCAAATCCTACCTCGGTCTTCAACCAATTCATCCAATCTGACAGCTCTGACTGAACCTGAGGATTGAGATGGTGGATGTCCGGTGTGGCGTCGTATGGCTCTCTGCTGTCAGGATTTCCGGTGCCGTCAGAATAAGCAGTGTCGTCTTTGCAAATGAAAGATGGGCCCCAATCGAGTCGTGAATCAGGAGTGCCTCTTTCGAAGATGCAGTAAATTCCTCTTCCGTCCTTTCTCTCCGCGATTCTATGGTTGATGACTATGTCAGCCAAGCATTTAATTTTCTTTTCATGGAAAGCTGCGATCAGTGACTTTAGTTCCTCCATGGAACCATATTTTGATGCATCCAGATCGTACAGCCTTCCCGGAAGGTATCCTTAAATGACAGTCAACAGAAAGTCAATGGCTCAAAAATTGAGCGACACGGAGATAGTGATTAGTGTACAGTAATAGGGTTTACGTACCTTGGGGAGAAACGGATTGAGAAGGAGGAGGGAGCCAAACATGGGTAATTCCTGAATTGGCTAGGTCAGAAATGGAGTTCTTGAGCGAGTTGCACCATCCTCCTTTGTTTCTTGATTCCCAGTTGAAACCCTATGACAAACAGTTTTGAGTTTAATATAAATATATGGAGGCGATCGAGTGAGTTATTGTGAGGGAAAAGAAAAACACAGATATATGAAACCTGAAAGAGCAGAGCAGCGGATGGCCTCACTTCGCTGTATTATTGGCGCTTCAGCTAAGTGCCTGTGACATCATATAGGAACATTATTTTGTTGATTTGGCAACAAATTCGGACACCTGCAATAACAGATATTGTTGAACTTTCTGAGTCAAATTATCTAAGTGAATAATATCAATATCAGGATATATAATAAATTTTAATAATTATTATTTACTCTTTGTGAATATTATGAATTAATTTTTTTGATTTGGTGTAGTACATTATATTTTTATAGTTTGCATTCTGAGTGAATTTGGACTTTGCTCCTTGCTAGTTGCTAAAATTCATGAAAGCTATTAACAGTTTGAACAAAGCAGGATAAACCTCCATGTCACTGGAGATGAGATTCACGAGTTTTAAGATTATCTATTATACTAGCTGGTATGGGAGTGAAATTCTAAAAACATAATAAAATTGACATCACTGGCTAGTACTTTACAAATTTACAGATAATAGTAGTGTGAAAAAAATTCAAAAACTATACATTGGAGGAAGGATTTTGCAAATTTGGAAGTGTGAACCTAATTCTTTTTGAACACTTTTAAGTATATATTGCTTGAATCCAGGTTAAATCTGAGAGGAGAGATCCATGAAGTAAATCTCTGGTTCAGTCTCACTAACTGAACGCAACTGGGACATTAGCCTAGGTTCAATCTAGTTACAATGACAGGGAAAGAGCGTTTTTTACTTTCCTGTTAGAAAAGAGGGCCTAAGCCCGAGAAGAAAAGAAAAAACTAGTCCCTGTGGGGAATTAATCCCAAACTCTCTTTAAGGAGCAAATTAAAGTCCGAAGGTGCTGTGGACAAGTATCTAAAACAGCTGTCTTTGAGAATCCAAATTTAGCAAGGCCGCCGTCTGGAGAGATGTTTCTCTTATATTACCTCCTATTGTTAATATAAAAATTAGTTTAATATTTAATTTAGTCATAAATATAAAACTCAAATATATTTTATTTTTCATATTTATCTTTTTAAAAAAAAAAAAGTCATATGTTGAACCGGTAAACATTATTATAGCTCAGGAAGCTATTCATTCGATGAGAAGGAAAATTAGTAGAATAGGTTGGATGGCCATTAAGGTTGACCTAGAAAACGCTTTTGACAGGCTTCACTGGGATTTTATAAAAGATACCCTAGAGGAGGTACATATCCCCTCCAGCTTGATATCTATCTTTATGAAGTGCACATCCTCAGCGAGCATGCAAGTTACTTGGAATGGTAAACCAAGCGAAACATTCTCCCCACAACGCGAAATCTAACAAGGATGCCCACTATCCACCAAGCGAAACCTTCTCCCCACAACATGAAAGCCGACAAGGATGCCCACTATCCCCTTATATATTTGTGTGCTGCATGGAATGGTTATCACAAGCCATCACTAAGGAAGTGGAACGAGGAGCCTGGCACCCTATCCATATGGGCAAAAATAGCCCACCACTGTCTCACCTATTCTTTGCCGATGACCTATTCCTCTTCAGCTCTATGGAAGGCACACAAGTCAGACTCATACATCATATGTTAAGTGAGTTCTGTGCATCATCGGGACACAAATTGAATGCTTTGAAGACAAGGGTATACTTCTCCAAAAATGTGGGCACCCAAATTGCCAACTCCATTTGTGAACTTCTCGGCTACTAGAAGACGATGCACCTCGGGCACTATTTGGGAGTTCTTTTGCCGCACAAACAGGTAACCAAAGACACTTATAAGTACACTGAAGAAAGAATGCAATGCAAGCTGTCAGGGTGGAAAATTCAATCCCTCTCACTGTCTGGTAGAATCACTCTGGCTCAATCAGTCCTGTTTACAATCCCACTTTATGCAATGCAAACCTCCAGAATTCCAATGTCAACAAAGACAAAAATGCAAAGCATAATTCGCAACTTTGTATGGGATCGAACGAGAACCACAAGGGCATCCACCTGATCAAGTGGTTTGAAGCTTGCCAACTAAAGAAACATGGAGGATGTGGAATGAAGAATTTGGAGTACCAAAACTCAGCTTTCCTAATCAAGCTTGCTGTTGCAATCATGTCCAAACCAAGCCTCCTTTAGGTTAAAATTTTGCGTGCAAAGTATGGCTGGCAGAATAATTACAAAGAACTACCAAGAGTCAAATTGGCCTCCCACCTATGGAGAAGTCTCACAGCTGTATGGGAAGACACGGCCTTGGGCATTAAGTGGAACATTGGAAACTGGCACAATGTAAGGTTCTGGGAGGACCATTGGGTAGGCAATCTTGGCCCACTAAAGCATCTGTCTTTCACCCTGCTCTCTGAACCTAAGCTACAATTGTCGATATCCAATTTGTCAACCAAGAGGGCCAATGGGACTGGCCCAAATTTGAAAGGAAGCTCCCTAGAGACATACTCGACCAAATAGCCACAATGCCCCCACCCAAGGCCTCTGACCTGCTAGTACTCTGCCACTGGTACTTGGAACGCAATAGGGAAGTCTTGGTAAAATCGGCTTACAACCTCGTGGCCCAAAATGATCTGAATGATGAGGACAATAAATGGTACCTAGCCTGGAGCTGGCCCGGACCAAGCAGAGTTAGAACATTCCTCTGGCTCACTTTGAGTTGGTAAATCGGTAACAAATACAGAGCGACTCCGTAGGCACATGACAACGTCTACGACTTGCAATATTTGTGGCGCTGATGTAGAATATATTGATCATTTGTTGCGACAGTACAAGCTGGCGGCTGAATGTTGGCAACTAATAATCCCCCCCACACCACTTGACGCACTTCAAATTAGTAAGCATGGTAGATTGGCTTCAGGAAAACCTTAATCGTCAGGAAAAGAGCCCACTGTGGTGCATAATCTTTGGTGTTCTATGCTGGAAGCTTTGGCACGCATGCAACAATTTAATCTTCACTGAGGAACAGACTTCAAGCTTCCGGATGGTCAATGAAAGGCTAGCATTTGCCAATCACATTACGAAGGCCAAAAAGAACTTTTGTAGTCTTTTGACCTGATACAGTAAGCCCGAAGAACGAGGCTGTTTTCTTTCTTACCTTTGTCCCTTATTTGCACTGTACATATTTCCTTGATTAATGAACTCCTTTTTACTCAAAGAAAAAAGAAGTCATATGTTAAAAATTCTAGGTTGCATGAAGGGGTTGTGGTCGAGCTATTTACCATTTCAACCAAGTTTTTGGAATCAGACTCCGTCATAATTTTCCTGAATCCTATCTCCCAACTTCTAGGTCGAGTCTTAACTCCATAAGATCCATCATTCCACACATGATATCACAGACATACATACATGCATAGAGTCGTCATCCTATAAATCAGGGATTATTTAAAGTTGATAAAATATCACAACTATGTGGTTAATGGTAATGAAAAGACTTCTGTGTCTCATTTCTGCATTTCATGGCATTGATTTGAGGAGTATTTTGTTATCTTTTCTTCCTAAATTAAAAGTGTTTATAACAACTATTGCTAGTCGCATAATAAAATAACCTAAGTTCCATAATTTGATTGCAAAAACGAATCTTAAATATGCAAGTGTCAAAGAGAAGGAGGGAGCCAGGGACCTACTTCCCTGTAAGACTAGCATCAGCTTGGCTTCTCTGGAGACTGGAGCGGCATGTCTTCTCTCTCTTCCTTATTCGCTTTCTTTTAACAATCATTTCTCCTATTTCCTATACAAACATGTCTTTTCCTTGAAAATTTTTTGCTCTTCAAGTTTCTTTTTAAATAAATCAACTAAAAAAAAGTGTTACTGTTCATTTTTTAAATCAACCAATATATCCCAAAAAATTCAAATCTAGGTAAGTTAAAAAGGACCTTAAAAATTGGCCAAAAAAAATAAGAGGACCTTAAAATGTGTGGGGAAAGAAAAAACCAGGCAACTAAAGTGAGAAGGGCTACGTGGCGTGATGTTTCTATGCAAGAGACGAGGAAACCACGCAAAGCTCCCGGCTCTCCGTGGCGTGTCGTGCAACAACAAGGAAGCTACTACGTACAAGCAATGTTCATCTTTGATACCCAAATGAATAATAATGTTTTTTATCTCTAATATAATAATTAGTTGGAAGTTAACTTTAATTATGAATATTTCTCCGGTCTTAAATAAAAAACTCCATTTACAGTGTAAATTGTACTGTAAAATGGGTTTTATATTTAGGATTGAGGGAGTATGAGATTTCAATATGTTTTGTCTTTTACATTTATTTTATTTAAAATTATTCTTATTAATTGCATATGATGAGACAGTCCGTATCAAGGAATAATTAATATAGAAAAAAAGATATAAAAAGATATTTTTTAAAAAATTAATGTATTTTTAATAAATAATTAATTTAACTTGTTTTTTTAATTTATCAAATTAGATAATTAAATTTTAAATTAAAGATTGGAAGTGGTAACATCTAACACCAATAAGCTCATGATAGCTGATTTCAAATGATCGAACGTGACTTTTTATGGTTTTATTATCGTCAGCACATCCAACTATTCATTATTTTTTAATTTTTATTTGAGTCTCATGATTTAATTAAAAATGATAGTTCTTGGCTTCTTGCCGAAAATATTAAATCTCCTGACATATGAATGGTAAAAACAGGGCGCGAGCTGGCCGAAGTCCGAACCGATTAGTTCGAACCGGATGCACAGCGACGATGTCAGAGATTGTACTCTAAGAAGCATAATACGTATTATTCAATATTCTGCGTATGTACAAGGTCAAGAAAACACCATTCTATATATGAAATCCCTTTGTTTTGGTCTCGAGATTTATATCATATAATATAATGATCGGCAGATTTCTCCCACACCGCATAGTCCTGGCCTGAGGTGGCCAGTCGAAAATTAGAAGGAACAAGTCCGTCAAGATCCATCTTAGGCCCAATCTTCATCATCACCTTGCTATCCATTTCTGCCATATACAGATCCGCTTCAGCTGCTAATATCTTGATGCTGCTCTTCTCATTGATCCCGTTCCGCCTCCTTATCCCGCTCAATTTCCCTATCTCATTCTTCAGTCCCCAATCCAGTAGGTGGTCGTAGAACTGCAAATCAAAAGATTACATCAGGCACCATTTTCTCTATGCTTAGCAGTTCAATAGATCACAAGTTTGGAGAAAGAAAGCATACTATCGATGGTGTTCCAGGATGAGTTAGAATGTATGCGTATCCCTGCATGACTTTGTCTGAAGGGAATGGCCATTGTTTCTGAGTGGAACCTGTGTCATGATTGTCAATGAACGTCACCGCATTTTCTGGCTTTGTCCCGATCATTCCTGGCGGCTTCCCGTTTGAATCCTTCAACCTCCATAGCTCCCCTTGTACGGCGGCTTGGAGGATCCCTTTGGTTGTGAAATCAGAGGCGGTGACAGCACCGCCGGCCTGGTCCACCCAATTCACCAACGCACCACGATGAGCGTCTTGGTTGTAATCAGGCTTCCCGTCCTGCCTGTAAGACAGAGAGTCCCATTTTTCCCCGACGGCGAAGTCTGGTGAGGTTCGTTGCATGTAAATTTTGGTGATATTGGGAGCATAGCCCTTTGCGAAATCAAAACGCCATCCATCAAACCCTACTTCGGTCTTCAGCCAATTCATCCAATCTGACAGCTCTGACTGAACCTGAGGATTGAGATGGTCGATGTCCGGCGCGGGTTCGTATGGCTCTCCACTGTCGAGATGTCCGGTGCCATCAGAGTAGGCGGTGTCGTCCCTGCAAATGAACGATGGACCCCAATCGAGACGTGAATCAGGAGTGCCACCTTCGAAGATGCAGTAGATTCCTCTTCCGTCCTTCCTCTCCGCAGTTCTGTGGTTGATTACTATGTCAGCCAAGCATTTAATTCCCTTCTCATGGAAAGCTGCGATCAGTGACTTCAGTTCATCCTTGGAACCATATTTTGACGCATCCAGATCATATAGCCTTCCCGGAAGATATCCTTAATTGACATTCAAGTGTAACATAAAGAAAAGCATGTGAATTGGGTATTGGGTATTGGGTAACAAGTAAAAAATAAAGCATCATGACGAAAAAATGAACGAGAGATGGTAATTATTATCAATTAATTGGAGTTAATTACCTTGAGGAGAAACGGATTGAGAAGGAGGGGGGAGCCAAACATGGGTGATCCCGACACTGGCTAGGGCAGAGATTGAGTTCTTGAGCGAGTCGTACCACCCTCCTTTGTTACTTGATTCCCAGTTGAAACCCTGCCATTATGATTGCGATCGAGTTCAATTCAATTGATGTTGTATGGAAATTTGTGTAGGAGAAACAGGACAGAGAAGAAGTTGAAACCTGAAAGAGCAGGGCAGCGGGTGAAGAAAGGGGAAAGGAGCAAAGGCAGAGACAAAATATGCAGAGCAAAGGGAGGGAAGCCATGTCCTCAATTACGTATTGGCGCTTCTGCCAACTGCCTCTGTTCTGATGTGTCTTGTGTGAGTGGCATGGGCTTTTATAGAGGAATTATTTTGTTGATTTGGGCACACGCAGTTAATTGTCAGATTAGGAATCATTAGCACGTCTGATTATTTTTTGACATATTATTAGATAGATGCTAGTTTATCCAGCATTAGTGCATGATTGCCAGGTAGCGAGCCTTGCAAGAAAGGAAAATTTGATTATCGAATGACAGGCTCAATCATAAGTAGTGTATATACTATCTCGGTTCTAATTATGATCTCATTTATAGTCTACAAATGAAGTTTATAATTAAGACCGGAAGTAGTACTGCATAAGTTAACTCAGATGGCTTCTTTTAACTCTTGTGTGAATTCATTAGAGGATTTACAATATTAAAGTATTATTCAAAACCCATATATGACAGACGAAAACAGTACTCTGAAGGAAGATAGGTTTCATCGGCGCACACCACAAAAAGAAAAGAAAAGGAAGAAGGACACTAGATTTGGCTCGGGTCAAGGTGAATCGTTCATTTTGGGATAATGATAGAAAGTCAAGAAAAACCTAGTAAATTTGAAGAGATAGTGATGAGAAGGAACAATAGTCTCGACTTCTAGAAACGCTGTTCACGTACAACAATTATTGACGAGCGGTGTAAGCCTGCTAGGCTGGATAGCTTTTAATTCCATAATGTCAATGCTTATATGTCCCACTTCGGCCCCCCGACCCAAGGCCCCAAGGAAAAAAAATCCGGGACAAAGTCTGTGTCCCCATTGAAACGGATTCCTTTCTCATCTTTCTAATTTTTCATCACTGCTTCGAAATTTGGTTATGGAGCACAGTAGCATCACAGCTTCAGAGGGAGAAAAGAGAGAGGGGGAGGGGGTTGTTTATGTTCCCCCATGAAACAGCCCTTACATTTGCACAAAGCAATTGAGGGGAGGAACACAATTCTTAGGTGCTGTGACGGATGCCAAATAACACCATGTGCCTGTTGTCGGCTTGTCGCACTTGAAGGATCTCTAAATAAATTCGAGACCAAATTAAAACATCTATTTTAGCTTTTTTAAATGTCATTTCATTTTGAGATAAAAATATTGAGCAGCAACAAAAAAATTACAACCCAACCTTCAAATTAAAATTTTGCATGCCATCGTCATAATAATTTTGAATTTTAAGATCTCATATTAACAGCAACTAATGTGTGCCACCCCGTGCTGTGGAATTATTTCACCTTTTTGCAACCCAGGTAAAAATTCTCAACTTCCAAGTCTAACCAGTATCTTCAAATGAAAGTAGGTTTTGATAGATATCACCAAACATTTACCTAAATGAAATTAATTATCATTTATCGTTGATAATAATTATAATACTTTGTTTACCATGATAAAAAATAAATTAAAAAAAAAACTCCTTACTGTTTAAAGTTTTGAGCAAATTTGCATAAGATTATTTTGACGTACTCCAGAACAGAAATTACACATTCATGAGCCATATATTCTCCTACGAATGATGATACATGTAAATTAAATGCATGCATTTAGCATTTTAGCTTATACTAACTATCTACTTTCTTTGATTACTGCCAAAGGACAAAGAAATCCGGTACACAGGGTCAGCGCCATCTTTTCTCACATCTTGGAAGGCCTTGGGAAGATATCTGGCGTGAATTTCTGGGCAGCACTCAGACTTCCTTTAATCTTCATTGCACCCCTGAATTCATAAATCTCCACAGAATTAGTTACACACAAGGATGTAAAAGAAACGGTCGTTTGAGATAACCGGAGGCTCAGATTTACTTGAAGATTCTAATTTTACAAAAAAAAAAAAAAGGACTTCCAAGTTAAAATCTCAGAGAAAATGCAATTGATTAAAGTACTCAATCTCCTGAGAGGACCTATCCAGAAAGGAAAACCAAGTACTTAAGAATGCATTGAGAGGTCATACCTCATAAAAGCCATCTGTGGGTTCATTTTCCCCAGTGCAACTTTTACAAAATCCTCATCCTTAAATGAAAATGTTGCATCAGGCTTCCCTCCTTCGTATGGCCCTAAACATCCACATACCCAAATAGTCATACCATTCAGCACGGTTCTTCCCAATATATGACTCAGTTGGTTCAAGAAAATGGTCACATGCACAGCCTAAGATCAATATACACGCAGAGGACAATTTTGGCAGCTTGAGGAAATTTCAGGTAATAAAATCCTCATCCATGTACAGAATAAGACAATGCTTAACAGTCCAGTAGTGGAACAATATCCCAGATCCTCACTTGTCTTGGATCAGCACAAGTGCTTAATTTGCTGAGTCCATTTGACAGATTAGTAACAAAATTTGCCACTGTGATAGAAAAACAGGTTTGAACCTCAAGTAGTTACTCCCACATGATGCAAAGCACACTAAAACACCCATTTTGCTGCCATGTATATCATACTCTTCCCCGGATTACAGTGTTAATTTGATTTATCTGTTCTCATCTTAGCTGTCGTCGGATGATTTCCTTCTTCTATCGGTGACAGAGGTATGTGCTGTTTATTTCTTTTTTTTTTTCCCGGTAAAAAGATACATGTGCTTCTATAAATTTGATTAGGTATCAAATAGAGACGATAAACAGAAGCAATCATTCAACTATGCCTCGTAAAATAAAATACACACGAAGGCCAACTTTTGCTGTAGCTCAAGTTCATGAATGAACAATGCAGTTATAAGATGAAGTCTAATGAAATTATTATACGGAGAATCAAATAACGAATTATTTAAAATCGAGGGAATAAAGAAGACGAAATTGAAAAGCCTACCTCTTTTGACCTCCCCTTTCTTGAGATCAACGGTGTAGATGACCTCATCGACTCCAAGTTTCTGTAATAGATGCAGGAAAGATAAAATTAAAAGAAATAAAAACAAGGTAAAAGATGAAGATAGGAGGGGAAAACGAAGAAAAGAGGAAAAAAGAAAAAAGGGAGGGGGACCTTGGGGCCAATCTGAATCTGATAGACGAGGCCAATCTTGCTGGTAAGTTGTTTGCCGGCGTCGGAGGAGAGATGTTGCTTCATCTGCTCCATTATAGCGTCGGACTTCAGCTCCGAATTGGAATTAGCCATTACCTACGCCAGTCTCTACCTGCTCTTCTCCAAACTTGCTTGCGATGAGCACTCCAAGTTTTCTTATTTGATAATCATAAATAGGACGGGTGAGAGACGGAACAAGTTAGTTCGGCGGATCAGGATCGGATGGGGAACGCCTCACGCATTTCAAGGTGGTGTTTTTGCTGACGTGTCTTGCGCCTAAAAATTTTCTTTGACCGGAGGTTCCAACGGGATCTTCTTTAAAAAAAAATTTTAAAAAAAAAAACTCCTAAGAAAAACGAAGAACAGAAAACAAAGTTTAAAGAAGAAAAAAAAGGTGTTTGGAAAACCATAGGAGTACTTTTTTTTTTTTGGCCGAAGATATAAGTACTTTTAAAAAACATTTTCTTACAAATTAAAACTAATACCTTTACATATTTATTTTATATAATAATGTAGAATTATCTTTAAAAGTTATGATTTCGTTACTATCCAAACCGAAAACTTAAATTTGTAAATAAGTAGTTGGGCTCAAGTAGGCCTCCTCTAAATTCAACTCCGGATTATTTACTCAGGAGTCCTGATCATTTACAGACCCAGAACGTTGAGTAGAAATTGGGCCCATAACTTAATCCCACAAAATCAAGATCCCTTGGGATAGTCGTTGTCGTAAATGTTTTTGCTGTGCAGAAAAATCAAAGCAAAAGAATATACGGATGACCTCAATCTCATTCATAAACCTGGACTTTTAAAACATAATAAATTTATATTTAAAAAACATAATAAATTTATTAATATTTATAGGAAGCCACTAAAGATTCTGATAGAAGTTGATTGGTGAAAACTGAAGAAGGCGTTGGGTTGTTGGAGAGGAAAGCATGGAGGGGGCAGATGAGGTGGTGATTGCGTGTCAACTTCCCATTTGAAGTTTCTAAGTAACGGTATCGCCAAGGGCCAGCCGTTCAACGGTCGCCGGCAACTGTTAGGTAACCTTCCCTCCCCTCCTTTCTTCAACTGAAGTGCCTCGTCCCTTTGCCTTGTTCCTGCGCATCCTCTACCTGCTATCCTTTTAATTAATTTTTGCAATTTTAGTCTTTATGCCTTTCCTTTGTCTGATCTTCTTGGAATAAGGTCACGATGATCCGTTAGAATATGTGATAACTATATAAGTGTTTCAGCCTGTTGAAATGTTGGGTATTGCTGCCAAACTTTCCGAAATGCATTTAATACTTTCTTCTTTTAAAAAAAATTTACTCCAGGGGGAGCTGATCATTAGTTCAATACTAGTTTGTTCTTGCTCAGGCTTTCTATTTTCCTTCTAAATTATCAAGAAGCTTTCCTGCAGGGAAAAAGAATAAAGAAAGTAAAGAACGAATCTTTCCGTCCGTGTTGTTCCTGAAAGCATGCGAAAAACCTTATCCTCAGGAGACAAGTAAAACGCTAACGTATGGCTGCTAATTTTTGTTTTTTTCCATTTCCATTTTCTTTTCAACCAAGAACCAACCAACCAATTAATTTTTTTTTTCACTCTCAGATTGGGCTTTAGTTGCAATTGGCTGCTTTTCCGAATATGCAATATCATGGTCTCATAGAAGTTACAGATTACTGCTTTTGCGGAATTCAGAGAGATCTCAGTGTCAAACTTCTGGCGGTTGTCAATGTTTGATTTAACGATGAACTGTGTCTCAGAAACATTCATGCCCCTGTAACTATTGATAAGCTTTCTCGTTTTGTTAGATATCTATTTTATTCGGTATAAATTGGCATACGCATAGATCTTTATACACTTCCCTGATAGATTTGATAAAATTTCAAAACCTCCCTTGAATAGGCTCCCAATCGGAGTCTCCTTGCCTGCTCAAACAGAAAAGTGGTTTATTCTCTCATTTGCGGAATTCATTCAAGCTGTGGGTCATTTTGGTAACGCTTTTATTAACAAGAAATGAATGAGTAAGAGACCCGTTGGTTCTATTGTATTGGGCACTGTCTACCTGTTCAAAATTTCCTTCCAGTACATACAAGATTTTGTCTGGAAGGATGCCGAAGGTTGTCGTGCAGAGGCATAATTTTATGTATGGCAAGTCCTTTTTCAGTGACAGGCACTCACAAAACCAGCTAGCTTCTAAAAACTCCCATGCAGTTTTCAGCTTGGTCTCTGGGCATGTTCACGAGAAATTATGTCTTGGTAGGGCGAAAATCGAACCCATAATAAAAAGAAGCCACACTATTGGTCCCTGTAACATAGGAGTTGCAAATGACTATCAAGAAGGCTTGTCCGAAGAAGATGATGATCTCTGTCCCGTTGAATGTGTCAGAGAATTCAAAACTGATGAAGAGTTCCACAGAATCCTGGACAAGGCTAAGGAAACTGGAGCTTTAGTTGTGGTAGATTTCTACCGCACCTCTTGTGGAAGCTGCAAGTATATTGAGCACGGTTTTTCTAAACTGTGCAAGAAATCCGGTGATCATGAAGCTCCTGTAATCTTTTTAAAGCATAATGTTAGTAAACTTATGTCCTTTTTCTTTAGCTCATCTATGTTTCAGAAAAATATGAGCTTGGGGCCTTTAATGTGCTTCACTTTAGTGTCCTTTGTAATGCCCCAAGTTCTCAAATATTTTTTTCCTTTCTTTCTTTTTCATTAGATTTTACATGAATTGAGTGACATTTTGATATCTTGCTGTGATAAAATGAAGTTTTGATTATATGTTAAGCAAGGTAATCATTTGTTTTCAGGGGGGACTTACGGTGCCTTTGGTTGCAGGTAATCGACGAATATGATGAGCAGTCGGAGGTTGCTGATCGGCTTAGAATCAGGGTACTTCCTTTACACTAACTGTTGAATGATTTAAATTAAAGTTCTAATCAATACGATGGAGACTTGAGGGATAGCTAATCTCCAGACAGATTTACACGCCTGACAATAACTTAATGGTTCCCTACTTGTTTAAGCGACTTGAGTGGTACAGAGTGCCCTTTTCTTCTTTCATTTGAGCTCCCGTTGTCTTTCTCAACTACATACCAGTTTTTCTTTCAAACCACTTTCTTTGTATCCGTACTAGACATCCCTAGGTGCTCGTTTTTGTATGTTTTATTTATTACTACCTCCGGTCCTAATTATAAGAGCTAGTTAACTAATTTGAAGAGATTAAGAAAAGAAGTTAAGTTAGTTATTTGTAATAAATATGTGTTGTCTTTCCTAAAATATCCTTACTAATTAAGTGTATTGGTTAAAACTATCATTATTAGAAGAACTACCTTGGAAAAAAATATATAAATATGAGAGACAAAGTGGATTGCGGTCTTATATTTAGGACCAAAATAAAAGTCAAATAAAATCTTATATTAAGAATCAAATGTAATACATTAGAAGGGGTTGTACTCTTAACCAAGATCCATGCCTCGTTCTGCTTTTACCATCTAAGCTAACCTTAGATGTTTAGTCATGCGTATTTTATTTTCTAAATATTACAGATGATCATTACCATCGAGTTTTTTGATCCGCTTAAATGAACTGATGCAGAGTGTCCCTCTTTTCCATTTTTATAAAAATGGGGTTCTGGTGGAAGCATTCGCAACGAGGGACAAAGGCAGGATTATTGAAGCCTTGCTCAAGCATTCTTCTCTTGAACCCCAAGATATTTTGAGTTGACTGTGAAGCGGTAGGCCAAGTTGGTGCTGATGCATGAATTTGTGCTTAAATTTTATTAAGCATGAATAAAACAGAGGATAACTATCTGTTCTGTATATTGACATACAGTCAGATATCAAATGTTCCGGTCACCTGATCAAGGCTGTTGTATGATTGTGGATATTCTACTTCGGCCTTTTCATTTGTGGGAAGATTTACTCCTCTGTCTTAAATTTTATACACGTGCACAATGATGAGAAATACAGAGTACATATAATTTTCTATGCACAAGCAACTCCTTGAGTAGATCCTGACCTTTTCGTTCCTCATATCATATCGAAGGTCAGGAAATGATGAGGGATTTGGATTCTTTGAAATGATCAGTTTCCTAAAGTTAAGAGACAGATCGAAAGAAAGAAATAAAGAGTAAATTCTATATCACTATCTCTCCTCTTTTAAAAAACTTCAAACAGTTGGAATAGGCCTTAACTACGAAGCTTTAAGAGGGTGTCAGGCAATCATAAAAAATGCTTTTAAAAATACTTTTTCAAATCGAGATAAACTCCTTTATATATATTTACTTTGTATTATATTATAAAAACACTTTTAAAATCATGATTTTGATTCCATCCAAACACTTTAAATCTCAAAAGGAAATACTAAAGCGGGTCTCTGGCAAAATGCATGTTATATTTAGTAAACTTAGCGTTTGGCTTTCAGGTGAAGAGAATGAACGGAATATAAGCGACAGGGATTAGGAAACCAGATGAGGGCAGGGTGGCTGTTACGAGGAGCGTGGTCCTCAGAAGCGAAATATCAAAGCAGAAGCAGATGAGACGAGAATCAAGGGGTTAAATTAAGGGAGCCAATCTTGGTGGGGCCCTTGTTCCCGAGGACCAGATACTCCAAGCAACGAGGGTGTGAGTAAGGGGTGCCTTAAATGCAGCATCACGAATCAAACAAAGAATGACTCAAGCGATCATGTGAGGCAAAACGTGGCTCTCCTTCAGCCTCTGCCCTACGGATCATGAATTCGCTGTAAGCCAGGGCGCGTGTTGTGTAGTTTTGTCGCTATGTCATGTTACTCATGCAACACGTACAAACACTAAGCTGGGAATATGAGTGCTGTCCCAACTTTTTCTCAGTCGCAACCAATTCATTGATAGTTTATGTATATTTTAATCTTCAGATCAGCACCTCATTCTGCTCCATTACCCCTTCTTCTATTATCAAATCCTATAATACATCATGATTATCAGATATCTTGCTTGAAGAAAAAGAATTACCTTCCGCCGTTTGAGTTTTTTTTCCCGTCTTTTCTTTTTTGGGAAAAGTAGTGGGAGAGGGTGGGAGGATGGGAATAAAGGGGCAAAAATTTTATAACAGCTAGGGAAAATTACAGAAGAAAAATGTGAATAACAGAGAAAGTAGATGGCGGATCAGGCATTATGATTAGAGGAGACGCTTGCATGCTGCTTTCTAGCTGGTAGATTCTCTCCAAAATCTGGCTGGTAATCCATCCACAGGCACTGGAAATGGGCCATACTGAATCCCAAATTGTGATCCTTTCACTTCCCACCTACATCACACTCGGACAAAGAAGTTACTGTCAGTAATCATAGGTGTTAATACATAATACCACCTCCACTATCTTCTCTCCTCTCACCTAGCACCTGCCTCTTCTAGTTACTTCCTCTTTACTGTGCCTATACTTAGTTCATCATTTTATTCTTTCAAGTACTTGGTTAACCTTTGACCATTAGTTACAACTCCGGTTTTCAAATTTTTAGTTCGTATACGAATGCTGCTTTTTTCACTTCATCATCTCCTTTCCTAGTTGCAGTACCTAAACTCAGTGACCAAATGGTGGACCATAATCAGCGACTCCAGCTTAGCAAGCTGATTGCCGGGACAGGCATGTTCTCCACTGCCAAATGGCATGAAAGTATTCGGTTTTGGTGCCACCTAAATGAAGAAACAGAAACAAATACGCATGTTACAAATAAATAGATTCAGCTGTCTTTAAATATTGAAATACACACATTACAGAGAGTAAATTAGACTGCTCAGACATGCATGTATACCTCAAACCTAGAAGGGTTAAATTTCTGAGGATCGGGAAAAAAATGTGAATTATGATGAATGTTTCTGAACAGAGGCAAGACTTTCCATCCTTTTGGTATTAGGTACCCTGTTTCAAATAGTCAAGTCAGCCATTCCATTCGATGTGATCAACCTTTTCGCGAAGGACCAGTGTAGTTTATTTTTCGTTTTTCATTGTCAGAACTCAAAATGCTCGGCATTTTAGATTATAGGATGTTAGATTCCTCTTACCCTTGTAATCTACATCTGCCACTGCTTCTCTGAAAGCGAATGATATAATGCTTGCCATTCTCAAGCTCTCTAAGACAACCTGAGCAAGTCCACGGTTTTTCCATCGTTAGCCTTTCATGCGAAACAACTACAACAGACAGCTGAAACTTTCCTTTATTAATTTATTTATTTTCTTCATTGCCCCACATCTCTAATCAGGCGCCCCAATAGCATTGTCTCCACTTGTACGTTGCAACGTAGAGATACATAAAAGCTAATATTCGTTTTCTTAGAGTCAGTAAGACACAGCATTAACCGCGTACCTTGTTGGTAATCTGCATGCTTCTAGTCTGATTCCAACTCAATTGTAGGTTGCCTTCATCATTTGACCTGTGAATAGCCTTCTGTTCCGCCTGCAGAACAAGCACTAGTTGGAGCATTATTGAGAAATTAAAACATCACTAAAGCAAATGGTTTTCAACATATTGATCATACCGTTACAGCCTCCAGAAGTTTGGGCTCATCGTGCAGGTATTTTATTATCCATGTCATGACACTAGCTGTTGTGTCTTGAGCAGCAAACAACACTCCAATAATGTTATCTGAGATTTCCTCATCGCTCAAGACTTCCCCGTTCTCATTTCTGCAGCTCAATAGGCAGCCCATGAGATCCTTTTCAGGCAATTTCTTCTCTTTGCGCCCGCTAATTATCTCTCTTATAATCTCGTCAAGTCTCTTTCTTGCCTGTATATTCATTCAGCGTTCAACGAAAGAGGAACATTCCAATGTCATAACACATATAGTTATGATATGATTTATAAAGTCAAAGGAGTATTTTAATAACAAAAAACGAAAATTCTTACCAACAGTGCCTTTTTGAATGGGGTTCCTGGAATGCTGGTGGGGAAGGAATTATAGCCTCTGTCTACTATACAGTAATTCCTCTTGAGCTCCTCTTTCAACCTCGGCTCCACATGGCCAAAGACCAGGAGGATACCCACCTCGAAAGAAAACTGCAAGCATCCGAGACAGGGGTAACCACTTGATCATTGACCCTTAATAATTTATAGTCCGTATATGACATAATAGTTATGTGGGTGTTATGTGAAGAAATGACAGAAAAAAACATACGTAACAAACAAACGTCGGAATATAAACAATATAATAATCGTTCTAATGATTGGCGTGTATATATATACACAAAGGTAGCGAGAGAAGAACTCACCTTTTTCATTTCACTAAATGTGTTAACGACTGGCGCGTCCGCCCAAGAATCCATGGCAGAAACAGCCAAGGATTGAATATGAGGCACCAATTTGCGAAGTGATTCGAGAGAAAGCGAATCCTGAACGAGCTTCCTCAAACGCATATGGTACTGACCTTGGTGGAAAAACAGAGCAGAGGGGCCAATCAAGCGTTCCTTGCTCTTAGGATATGTAGGCTTAAACAAGGGAGCATGACTCACAAGCACGAAGTGAGCCGCCTCGGGACTAGCCAGCATCACGGAGGGGCAACCCAGAATATTGGTCTTGAATATTTCACCATACCTGTAATTCAATTATCGCATTAACGAACCACGAAATGAGAAGAAACAAAACAAACAAGAACTTAATGCCGGCCGACGAACCTTTTCTGTCTGGCGGCGAAGAAAACATTGGGATTCTGAGAGTAGAGTTGAAGAGTCTCTCCTATATGAGGCCATCCCATGGAACCAGGAGGAAGCTGTGGACTTGTTTGTGGTTTTGTGTGTCTCTTGTGTAAGAACAAGAATACGAAAGAGAACAAGGGTATGAGAAATAAAAGAGCGTAAGCAAGAAAGGTTTCCATTATTGTGTGTGGTTGAGAAAAGGTGGCCTTAGAGAGAAATGCAGGGAATGTTATAGACTTGAGAGTGGAGAACGAGGGAGAAGCGAGTTATATAGAGAAGGAGGGAAGGAGGGAAGACGTAGACGTGAGTCAATAGGCGACGGATAAAGATGCATTATTTGTGATTCCATATGCTTCAACTGCAGAAGGTACAACGTATATGGCTTGCTCAGTAAATTTGGTTATCTGATTCGCTCTATAAAATCGAAAACTCAGCATAAGGGATTCTCACCAAAAAAAAAAATTTATCAATTTGTACATTTAGAAATAAAATAAAATTACATGGCCCCCACACCACACGTTGTGATACCTGATGACGACGCCATGAAAGATCCACGCTTTTTTTTTTTTGGCCAGTGACGCACTATAAAATTAGACATTATATATTTCAGATTTTTTCCCCCTTTTACAACAATAAATATATAATGCATTTATGAACAAACAAAAATGAAATAATCAACCGGATTGGATTTATTTCATATTCATTTATTCATATATGTGAAGAGAGTGCGATAATTTCATTGAAAAGAAAAGGAAGGTGTAATATAGAAAATACTAGTACGTGAGTAGGTAAAAATATTGACTCCAAAAAAAAAAAAGTAGGTAAAAATATAAATAAAATTAAAAAATTATAATGAAAGATGAAATACAGATCCCCAGTGCGGACTCTATGAGACTGTGACATCAAACTGGGATTACGTTGAAATTAGCTGTCGATTTTAACTCTCTCGATCCGATTTATACCACTAGAGTCTCTTTTTCTTCATCCAACGATCTTCCAGATATATCAATAATTTACTTTGTCTTATTAGGGGGAAAAAAGGCAGTTTACTTTTTTTTTGCCAGAATTTAAATTTTGATGATGCAATAAACCTTATCAAATCTCATCGTTAGTGAACCACAAAGAGTATGATCTATTTTTATGTTTCATACCGTAGGCAAAAAAAATTATGTTTCCTACTAATAATATTTTTATTTATTTATCAAAATAAAATACAATATAAAATAATGTTACGATTACTGCATATCAATGCATTGTAAGTATTTCATCTTGCTCAAGCGGAATTATAGGTTCCCTAGGAATGCAAGATATTTAAATATATATATTATCAGATATACATATATGTAATCATGTTTAATTGGTGAACCTTCTAATAATATTTCCTATTTTGTGCAAATTTTAATTTTTATAAACAAAATTTAATTTAAATTTTTTGGTTTGTTAATTGTAAGAATAGTTTGAGTAAATAGATTATATATGAGAACATTGCTTTTATGTTTATAACTTCAAAGTTTTTATTTTATATTAATTTTTTCATCAATTATGATAAGTTAGCTCCTTTTCCATGAGTTTAAAAGTCTTAACTAAACACAAGCTTCATGCAAAATGAATAATTTTAAAAATTAATGGTATTACTACCTCCGGTCACAATTATAAGAACTAGTTGACTAATTTGAAAAGATTAAGAAAATAAGTTAAATTAGTTATTTGTAATAAATAGGTTTTGTTTTACTAAAATATCCTTATGAATTAAATGTATTGGCTAGAACTATCATTATTAGAAGGATCTTCTTAGAAAAAAAACATAAATATGAGAAACAAAGTGAATTGAGGTCTTATACTTATGATCAAAATAAAAGTTAAATAATGTCTTATATTAAGGACCGGAGGCAGTATTTAATATTTTAAAAATAAAGCAGTGTTTTTATAGATTTAATGTATGTATGTATGCATATTGGGGGATGAGCAATTAAATGGAGCACATAAAATCCTCGTCTGTTCTCCTTTTTCCAAAAAAAAAGTAAGATTTCAACCTAAATTTATGTCCCTAAACCCTCTCATAACGACTTAAGCCATCCTAAGAGGGCAGTGCCATAAATATATTAGATTTGTGTGTCTAAAATAACGCGCGAGTGTGAGGATAATGACGTAATAGTAATAAGCTTCCATGACGAGCAAGTTGTTTAAGAAATTGGCAAATCGTCCCTGGACTTTTCCTTTAACGATAGTGCGTTGCAAGGTTATTTGTATCTATCCCTTTTGACATAAATTTGAAAATCTTGTAAATTGCAAATTAACATGTAGCAAAAATAATCAAGAAACAACTTTAAATACTTCCAGAATGTCATAACTAATTAGTACTACCTGCGGTGTTTAATATAAAACCTTATTTGATTTTTATTTTGATCATAAATATAAGACCTCAATCCACTTTGTCTCTCATATGTATTTATAGATTTTTTTTCAAAAATAATCATTCTAACAATGGTAGTTATAGCCAATACACTTAATTAGTAAGGACATTTTAGGAAAGACAACACATATTTATTACAAATAACTAACTTAACTTCTTTCCTTAATCTTCTCAAATTAGTCAACTAGCTCTTATAAATAGGACCGAAGGTAGTATTTAACTATTCTGTCTAATAATATCATATACTACCTCTGGTCCTATTTATAAGAGCTAGTTGACTAATTTAATGAGATTAAAGAAAGAAGTTAAGTTAGTTATTTATAATAAATATGTATTGTCTTTCCTAAAATATCCTTACTAATCAAGTATATTGGCTAGAACTGTTATTGTTCGAATGACTATTTTGGAAAAAAAATACATAAATATGAAAGACAAAATGGATTGAAATCTTATATTTATAACCAAAATAAAAGTTAAATAAGGTCTTATATTGAAGACCGGTGTTGTTTTTATAAATTAATTGATGTGTAGTATTATATGTGTCAAATCAAAGTATTGTGAGTTTTTTGTACCAAAAAAAAAGGGATTGTTAGTTTAGGAAAGTATCTTTTCTTAAATTATTTTTTACGCGTATATAAACTCAAATTCGAGACATGTGTCTCATATTTAAGTGGTTATAATCCGTTTTATTAAAATCAATGTCAGCCAGCATTAACTATTCTATATCAGTGTTTTCTAATTTTTAAGTCCCATTAAAATTTATTAAAACGAAATATTGAAATGTGTAGAAAAATTAAAATATCAATAATTGGACAGAGTCCAAAAATAATATTTATCATCATGCATGGCCTGGTAATAATATGATTCTCTATAAGTTTAATATTTTACATTGACATGATATTTTATTCAAAATTATCATTAAACCATATAAATGATGTAATGTTTCAAAAACTTTCAATTTTTTGATAAATATTTTTTTGAAAAAACATCAAATGGTTCAACTGATTTTATTTTCATAGTATTCAGATTTCACTCAGTGTATAAAAAAATTATAGTTAGCCGATATTACTGAGCTCTTTTTGGATAAGAGCGTAATTTAAATCGCGGATGATAAACAGAAATTAATTGATCTCAGGAGCGACGCAACCAAGTTAGAATCGACCATTCGATTATGGACAGCGGTTTCATTTCTATTGACTTTGACTTTTGACTTTATTTTGGGTTAGCACGTCGTGTGTTTTATTGTATTTCTATGTTTAAATTAGAGTCGGAACAATTGAAGTTTTATATTACCTCCGTTACTTATTTGATTTTTATTTTAATTCTAAATATAAGATCTTAATATACTTTATTTCTTATATTTATCTTTTTTTTAAGGTAGTTATTGTAATAATGATAATTCTGATCAATACACTTTATTATCAGAGATATTTTAGAAAAGATAATATCTATTTACTATAAATAACAAATTTAAAACTTTTTTAATCTATTTAAATTAGTTAATTAGCTCTTATATTAAAGATCAGAGATAATAATTTATAAATTGAAGATGAGATGAAAGCTAGTTATTAATATAATGAATTTTATGTTAGGATTTTAAATATATATATATATATATATATATATGAGTACCAGAAGGATTAGAAAAACCCATGATTTTGAGACCAAAGTAATAAATTACTATCTTCTATCTTTAATATAAGACTTCATTTGACTTTTATTTTGGTCTTAAATATAAGACCCCAATCTACTTTATCTTTCATATTTATTTATTTTCAAGATAGTCCTTCTAATAATGATAGTTCTAACCAATAAACCTGATTAGCAAGGATATTTTAGGAAAGACAACACCTATTTATTATAAATAACAAACTTAACTTGTTTTCTTAATGTATTCAAATTAATCAACTAGTTTTTATATTTAGGATCAGAGCTAATATATAGTTTCAAATGTAGCGTAGTTTTGAGACTAAAAACCACAATGCTCTAACCGTTTTTTTTCAAGCAAGAAATTTTTTTCTCCAACCATCTTGTTGATAACCACACATGGTACGGTTTTGCAAACCTAAAAGCTAAATGGAACACATATAGCCTTGGCATGCTCTCTCCTTTAGACAGCCGGACACAGGCTTCGTTTTGCTAGTTTCAATAATACTCCTTCCGTTCCTTATTACAAGAGACAAATAACCAAATTACGTTGATCAAAAAAATAGTTAAATTTAGTTGAGGACAATTAATATGTCAAAAGTATAATATTTTTTCCAACAATACCCCCATTAGGAGAGAGAGTATGAGAGAGAACAATTAAATTATTAAAAGAAAGAGAAGTGGGAGGGAGGGAGAGTATGAGTTAGAGACAAAATAAATAGGGGTAAAATAGGAAATCAATACAAAAAAATAGATATAACTTTTAAGTGTCTCTTATATATTGGAACATGCCATGAGCATCAAATGTCTCTTATAATAAGGAACAGAGGGACCGGCAGGTGTTGCTGTACTATATTACAGTGATAGAGAAAACCTCACTGTAATTACTATTTAGCCAAAGCTTTCCGCTGCATGAAAGCTGATTTTTGTGCTCTTGATCAATCTCTATCTTTTTTTGAAAAGGTAAACCTCGATGAAGGAAGATAGCCTTCATTCAAAGAAAAAAGAGATTTGGATTATTGAAGTGAAGTGATTTTTAGCATGCCCGCAAAATTATGTGATTGATGTTGTGTTTAATTACAAGTTTTCATTTCGGAGTTGGAATAAATTTATTACACACTGACACGGTACCCAAGATCCATATAATAACAC